ATGAGAATGCTCGAGCACCTGATTGGGATTTTGATTTTGCTGGTGTTTGTCTTCAGCTGGTGATGGTTTCTACCATGCCATTGTCGACCTCAAACTACTGTGATGTGTGGGAATACTGTGGGCAGTTGTTTCAGTGTTCCACATTAAGCATGAAGTCCAGGTTCTTGTCATGGGGGTCCAATCTCATTCTCAAGAACCCCAGAACCCCCCCTTTATTGCATCACTGATCATGCTGATGTCCAGAGGAAGTTGCCTTTTTGACTTACCTAATGTGACATGGGTGTGATTGTACCCCCAGCGCATAATGCACATAGAGGGCCCCTTTGTCATATCAGCTGAATAATTGTATCCATGAACCCATAGAGGGCCCCTTATGTTTTATCCTAATATCAGCTGAATAATTGTATTCATGAACCCACAGAGGGCCCCTTATGTTGTATCCTATTATCAGCTGAATAATTGTATTCATGAACCCATAGAGGGCCCCTTATGTTTTATCCTAATATCAGCTGAATAATTGTATCCATGAACCCATAGAGGGCCCCTTATGTTTTATCCTTATATCAGCTGAATAATTGTGTACAACAACCCATAGAGGGCCCCTTATTTTTTATCCTAATATCAGCTGAATAATTGTATTCATGAACCCGTAGAGGGCCCCTTATCATGTTGTATCCTATTATCGGCTGAATAATTGTATTCATGAACCCATAGAGGGCCCCTTATGTTTTATCCTTATATCAGCTGAATAATTGAATTCATGAACCCACAGAGGGCCCCTTTGTCATGTTTGTCATATCAGCTGAATAATTGTATTCATGAACCCATAGAGGGCCCTTATGTTTTATCCTAATACCAGCTGAATAATTGGATTCATGAACCCATAGAGGGCCCCTTATATTTTATCCTAATATCAGCTGAATAGCTCTATTCAGGAACCCACAGAGGGCCCCTTATCATGTTGTATCCTATTATCAGCTGAATAATTGTATTCATGAACCCATAGAGGGCCCCTTATGTTTTATCCTAATATCAGCTGAATAATTGTGTACAACAACCCATAGAGGGCCCCTTATGTTTTATCCTAATATCAGCTAAATAGTTGTATTCATGAACCGATAGAGGGCCCCTTGTGTTTTATCCTAATATCAGCTGAATAATTCTATTCATGAACCCACAGAGGGCCCCTTATCATGTTTTATTCTAATGTCAGCTGAATAATTGTATTCATGAACCCATAGAGGGCCCCTTATGTTTTATCCTGATATCAGCTAAATACATGTTTATCCTGATATCAGCTGAATAATTGTATTCATGAACCCAAAGAGGGCCCCTTATCATGTTGTATCCTATTATCAGCTGAATAATTGTGTTTATTGAACCCATAGAGGGCCCCTTATGTTCTATCCTGATATCAGCTAAATACATGTTTATCCTGATATCAGCTGAATACATGTTTATCCTGATATCAGCTGAATACATGTTTATCCTGATATCAGCTGAATACATGTTTATCCTGATATCAGCGGAATACATGTTTATCCTGATATCAGCTGAATACATGTTTATCTTGATATCATGAATACATGTTTATCCTGATATCATAAATACATGTTTATCCTGATATCAGCTGACTATTTGTATCCAGAACTTATATTTGTATACATGTCCGAGACTGATAGAGGGCCCCTTTATCATGTTTGTCCTGCTATGATTTGACACATGGCTGATGGCACGAGACAAACACCCAGATTGATGTCCCTCCATGTGATGTAATTCCTGGAAGGCAACAGGCTGCTGATAGATGGCACATACAGAGAGCTGTCTCTCACAGCCGGCTGTCACAGTTGTACTGGAAAGTGACAAGTATGTTAAGCCTCCAGCAGATCAGATATCATGCAAACTTTGCCATCTCAACAACATAGAAGATGAAGCCTGTTTTGTATCACATGTATAATATATTCTACGAGGTCGGCAAGATATTGTCCTAAGGCCAATCTCACTGACCCCTGCCCCTGTAGTAAGTGACCAGTCCCGATGTACCAGTGATAATACAAGGGCAGACTCCATAGTCACATAGCTGCGCTGACTGTTGTCTCTCTACTGTATCAGGGGCGGTCAGGTAGCCTAGTGGTTAAAGCGTTCGCTCGTCACGCCGAAGACCCGGGTTCGATTCCAGACATGGGTACAACTTGTGAAGCCCATTTGTGGTGTCCCCCGCCGTGATATTGCTGGAATATTGCTAAAGGCGGCGTAAAACCATACTCACTCACTCACTCACTCTACTGTATCATATTATCATGGAACTGTTCTGGGTGAACAATACCTTCCAAATGGCGTGCTGGTTTTCTTGGGGAATTAGTCAGCAAAGAGCCAGAGTCACAGGAGACTAATCACAATTTTATTTACAAGAACAATTAACAATGTACAATACACTCTGAGGGTGCCACAGAGAGTCGGTACAAACTCTGGGCTGTGGGAGAGAGGTCTGCTTGGTAAGAGAGTCAAACCCCTTCTCTGTCCTAAAACCTGCCTACAGTATGTATTTAACAAAAATTTGAACAATAAAAAGGAATAGGATTGGTTGATACACGATTGGTTGTGCCCTATGCTAATAACTCATAAAAGCACTTGATGTGGATCTAATTATTATAGGATAACTTAGTATAAATGTTATCCCATGATAATATGTTTCCATCACTAGTTTCTTTCTTAATTACAACCTGATGTTATGAGTAACTTACTTATCATCAATTTCAATCAGGACATTAAAAACTCGGGGGACTAATTATGACATAATAGCCTCAATACAATAACACAACAATATGTTTATCCAACAGAAATTAGCAGCTAGCTCAAGTCACTTTGTCTTATATTATTATGATAAAAGCAGCCTTAGAAATTCTATTAGGTTTTTTTTCTTCACGGGTCCTGTCCTGCTGTCCTGTCTGAATGTGGGCTTTTAAGAACATATACATATTTTTTTTCATGTTTTCTTCCTTAGTTTGTTTTTGTTTGTTGTTTGTTGGTTAATGCTGCACTCGGCCCTTAGTATATGAAACCATGATTATGCTTGTCATAAGAGGCGACTAACAGGATCAGGTGGTTAGACTCGCTGACTTGGTTGATGCATGTCATCTTGTTCTAATTGTTTGGGGGGGCACGGTTGGCCCAGTCGTCTAAGGCGCCGCGATTCACTGTGCAGAGTTGCGTCCCTTGGGCACGCCAGAAACCTATGATTGTGGGTTCAAATCCCGGTTCGCCCCGATTATGTTTCTAGGTTTGTCAGCACCATACCCGTGCTGGTGGGTTTCACCGAAGTGGTAACCGTCTGAGACCTGCATCACTTCGGGCTTTCCTCCCACATTAAGCTGACACGCCGTGATATCACTGGAATACTGTTTAAAGCGGCGTTAAACTCTACTCACTCACTCACTAATTGCGTGGATCGATGCTCATGATGTCAATCACTAGATTGTCTGGTACAGGCTTGATTACTTACAGAGCGCCTTCATATAGCTGAAATACTGCTGAGTGCAGTGTTAAACAACAAACAAACAAACAATGAAAGGACAGAAATTGCTTATATGAATATCCTTTCCACTTTGTATGTATCCTGTGTACAGTGTGTGCCGTAATGTTTCTGACCTCTGAGCCTTAACCTGCCTTTAGGTCGTAAATATATGAAAATTTATCATGATGCTGTTTAAAACTGATGTTGAATTCTGAATTACATGTGTTTAATAGATTAGTTGGACCCTGTATTAAAGTACTTTTGTTGAACCCTGTTTAAATATGTTTTTGTTGTGACCCTGTATACATGGTGTAAAGATTCTTTCTTGTGAGTGATGAGTGAGTGAGTGAGTGAGTATGGTTTTGCGCCGCCTTTAGCAATATTCCAGCAATATCACGGCGGGGGACACCAGAAATGGGCTTCACACATCGTACCCATGTAAGCATGATGAGGGGAATTGCTTTAACCACTAGGCTCCCCCGCCGCCTCTTTCTTGTCCATGTTGTCACCCTCTACTAAAATACATTTGTTAAACTCAAAGCCCAGATGTATTAAAGTACATTCGTTAAACTCCAAGCCCAGATGTATTAAAGTACATTTGTTAAACTCCAAACCCAGATGTATTAAAGTACATTTGTTAAACTCCAAACCCAGATGTATTAAAGTACATTTGTTGAACTCCAAACCCAGATGTATCAAAATGTACATTTGTTGAATAAACATACAACTTGTTGTATGTAAAGTTATACAAAGTCGTATATTTTCTTATTTACTCACAAACTTTAAGAATGCCAATCAAACAGTTACATTTGTTGAACACCAAACCCAGATGTATTAAAATACATTTGTGGAACACCAAAGTCAGGTGTATTAAATTGCATTTGTGGAACACCAAAGTCAGGTGTATTAAATTGCATTTGTGGAACACCAAAGTCAGGTGTATTAAAATACATTTGTGGCACACCAAAGTCAGGTGTATTAAGATATAAATTTTGAACACCAAACCAAGGTGTATTAAATTTAAAATACGTCTGTTGAACATCAAACCGAGATGTATTTAAATACATTTATTGAACTCAAAAATCCAGGTGTATTAAAATACGTTTGTTTAACATCAACATCCCCGGTTTTTTAAGGTATATTTGTGCAAGGCTCACTCTGTGATAGCGCTTACCAATACGGGAGCACAGTGTATGGGAGAACATGTTGAATCACCAGATTAACCCACTATGTACGTTTGTGCCTCCTCTACACTGCTAGACATCAGCTTTTGTAGCCGTTAATGTCCTCATATTTCTTGTGTACAATATTAAACACAATGAGCTACATGCTTTTATTAGAAAATGCCGGAAGGCTTAAGTAATGTCAGTCCAAAAAAAAGCTAGTGTTTTTGTGAAAGCTGTAAAGTGACAGATGAAAGACATGTTTAAGTAAGAAAGGAAGTACTACCGTCTTAACGTCGCTCACTCTCCTGTTTATCTTTCAGTCTTACAAGTGTGACATGTGCCGAATATCTGCCTCAGTCACATGACCAGGCCCGGCAGGGAAGCGATGGCACGACTGGCTGTTGGTACAATGGGACCATGACGTAAGCTGACACGCCCCCTCCAGCACACGTGGGACTGACAGACAATTCATTATGAATGTCAACACGGATGACCCGGGCACTGTGCAAGGGTCGTCCACCAACACAGGTGTTGTGCTCAAAGACGCTACTCTTGATAGCTACTCGGACGGATCGTCGCATATCTTTTCCGAGTTTGTGGACATGGATGCTATACGTCGCGACCTCGGCCAGTCAGCATCATCGTTTACCTCTGATGACTTGGAAGATGGGGATCAGCTGTCAATACTGTTTAATTTGTACAAGTTGGGGGAGAAGAAACAACTAAAACAGTTGCTGCGGCAGTCGATGTGGCCAGCGGACCACATGATCCGACATTCGCTGTGGACGTCGCTGTGCAAGCACTTACTGAGAGCTGATGGGGATCTCTATGATGAAATGGACAAAGAACTTTTTGGAGATGACGGTAGGATATTATTTTGCTTTCATGCAATTATTTCACTAATGTCAACAGTTTTCCATTTACTTTGTATGTGTTTAATCTTCAACTTGTCACAAGGTAATATAGGTTTGTGTTATTTTTGACGAAATGTAATACTTGCAAGAGTTGATAATGTTGGAAGTTGCCTGTGTTAGACACAGGTGTGTGTTTATTGCTGGTAACAAACAATCAAGACACATTGTATGTACTGAGGGCTGAAGTCAGTGTCAGTTTCCTATATGCTTAAGATGATGGGAGATGCAGTGATGCTGCATGCTGAAGTTTGAAGGACGATCCCTATGAATTTCCTATTGGCCTATATCATGTACATGATGTATATTACTATTGGGTGTTATTTATTACCCCGACCTTGTCAAGCCGTACACAGTCACCCTTGTGTCTCTTATCTTTAATTTATGGGTTCATTATACTGTCAGAGATCCAAGGTATTTTGGCAACACTATTAAATCATGTTGACAGAAAGTTAACTTGGTCAAATTTGGATGAGACTGTTGAACTTCCTTGTTTTTTATGTTTTCCAAACATCTCAGAGTTGTAAGTTCATCTACAGCCTTAGAAATTTATTTCTTTTAAGGCTGGTCAAGAGGACTAGAGTAGACCTTATTTAACTAGTGCTCAGAATTAGAAGCGAGTCCTGCTTCAACGAAACAAAAACATTTACTATGTTTACATTTTCTGGCAGTTTACAGTTTGTAGCAATCCTTGAGATCCCTCGAATGCTACTGAGTCAATAAGGACTACCATCGATGGATGTTAACTTGGCCTCAGCACAATTTAGTAGTCTCAGGCTGACGGACTAGTGTGAATTTCAAAGGCTGGTCTAGAGATTCTTAATGTGAATATTTATTTATGATGCGCCAAATCCATCTTCGGAAGCATGCTCAGAGTGCTACATTAATACCTTGGTCAATAGATCAGTGTACACCTGATTGTCTTTCTCAGCTCCCTAGGGAGCATACATTCTTCTGGCTGTGAAGCATGTGAACATTTTCTCCAGACAGGTCAATTAATGACACCCAGTCTCCAGTGGGTGACATACTGCTGGCAGCCCAACTGAGCTAACTGCTTGTGTTTATACACACAAAACTGAGAAGCTCAGGGGCCGTATCAAAACTACTCAAAGCATTTTATTTGATTTTCAGTGTGTGAATGTGAGAAGAGAGCGCAGGGGTTGACACTATGTGCTAAGTCAAACTAGTCCACTGTACATATCAGACTAGTGGTACATGTTTCTTTGGATTCTGCGAGAAAACAGCTTTCACTAATCTCATTCTAACCCTGAGCGGATACAACTATAAAATGACATATTATGGTCTCCACAAGGGACGTGGGGTAAATGTAAACACACTGATTTATGATGATTTATCTTTAGAAACCTGAGTTCAATATGGTGATATGTAACCTGATATAACGCATGTGTGTTTGAACAGTCTCCAATGCAACTCTAAACTGCTAAAGGAAAACGTGACTGTGAGGGTGGTAAACTACTTCGTCATGTACTCTTGGTCTTATTGAGTCCAGTATGCTGGTATCTGTGTCGCTGTTTAATGTTTGGTGAATTGAAAGGAATACAGGTGTGACATATGTTCTTTAGGCCTCAGTCACATTTGCTGTATGGCTAGGATACGGCAGCCGTAGCTCTTCAGAATTGAGAGATACCTGTGGCGGCCGCGGAGGATCTGCGGTGTGTGGCGGCCGCAGAGGATCTGTGGTGGCCTCAGGGTCGCCCTAGGGCGTATCCCTATATTTTACAGGCCGGAGGGGTTGCCGTGGGATTATAGTGCGGAGTTATAACTTTTTTAGTTTCTAGGTTTGCAGTAGCAATTAGACAATTAGACATGGCGTAGCCTTGACGTAGAGAGGTTCCACGGCGACCATACGTCGGGTGTACGGTGGCCTTGTATTTGACCGTGCATCATCACTTCAAAGGCTACGGCAGCCGCAGGTTTAAAGGTCTCCACAAATTCAAAATAGCCCGTGCGGCTACCCTAACATATGTGACTACTACAGTATGTGACCGTGGGAATGCTGCAGCGGCCCTATAATAGCTATTGGTCGTAGATATTTAAGACCCCACGGCCGCCACAGGAAATTGTGACTGAGGCATTAACACAGGCACGATGCTTAGCACATTTAAGTTCCAAAGGGCACATCGTTATGACTAGGAGAGAAGGAAAATTAGGTAGTTCTTAAACCATTACGATGATGTCATGCTTTTCTGACTGGCTGTTCTGAACAAATTGTAAACAAGTAAAACTGAGAGACAGTGAGTGAGTGAGTGAGTGAGTTGGGTTTAACGCCGCCTTTAACAGTATTCCAGTTATATCACGGCGTGACAGCTTAATGTGGGAGGAAACCCAAAGTGATGCAGGTCTCAGACGTTTACCACTTCGGTGAAACCCACGAGCACGGGTATGGTGCTGACAAACCTAGAAACATAATCGGGGCGAACCGAGATTCAAACCCACAATCATAGGTTTCTGGCGTGCCCAAGGGACGCAACTCTGCACAGCGAATCACGGCGCCTTAGACGACTTGGCCACCCATGCCCCCCTGAGAGACAACAATGTAAGGTCATTATGCGGAATTATAGGGAAATTATATATCAGGCATAACATGGTTTAAGTCGGAGAAGTCAGTTGAATCTGTTGATTCTGGAAGTAGAAGCAACTCAAGTGATTTCTTCACTACTTAAGATTATTCGACTCAGGTTTAGTAAATATGTTTTACTTCGACTATGTCAATGGAATATTGGTTACCATGGTTACAAGCACTGTTTATCATCAATTCAATTACATCCTTACCCATGTTTTCTGTCAGGGTATTTCATAGGATAACATACATCTGGAGTTTATTACACCTACCAGCTTTAGAAATTGGTACTAGTCCTGTAGTCCTTGCCAAGCTGCCAAATAGTTAAGGTATCACAAGGACTTGTAGGAATTTGCTATTTTTAAGGGTGTTGCTATATGTTATCATTATATGGACTGGTGGACTAAAACTGTAAGTTTCTGTGACTGCCTACTTGATTGTAATACTGGTAGACACAAGTTTTAAAATAAATAAACTTATAAGTAGAGTCCAAACAAGCTTTAAAAATGATATGAACAACACACACATTTATTGAACAACACAAATTTATTGAACAACACACAAATTTATCCACTGTTTTACTTATGAGATGCCCCCTGGTAGTGTGGAGGGCTACCTCTGTCAGCAGGACTGTGACTGTTATGTTGGCCAAGGGCTACCCCTGCTGGCCTCCTGCTGGCCTCCTGCTGGCCCACAGGGTGTGTAGCACACAAACATGAAGGCTCTCTCTGTCATCACGCCAGTCACACAGGGATAAGATGGGCTCAGAGAAGCCGGTGGAGTGACTGACGGTGGAGTGACTGACCGCTTGTTGCTGACATCGTGGAGTGAACATGGCTACTGTCAGACCAGCTACACTGGCCGAGGTGGTCAGGGTCTACCACTGGTTTTTCTGGCCCAGGCAGTCATGATAGAGCAGGAATATGGCTAACTGTGCCACAAAGCAACATACCCAGTTTTAACAGCCGAAACTGACTTTTTCATGCAGATTGCATTGTTGAAATGAAGCTTTTCGATACAATGTTTGTTTGTTTGTTTGTTGTTTAATGCCACAATCAGCAATATTATATATATAATGGCTGTTTGTAAATAATCGTGTCTGAACCAAACAATCCAGTGATTGACATCATGAGCTTCGATCTACACAGTTGGGATACAATGGCATGCATCAACAAAGTCAGTGAGCCTGACCACCCGATCGTGTTAGTCGCCTTTTACAGCAAGCATGGGTTGCTGAAGACCTATTCTAACCCGAATCTTTACGGGTATTGCGATATAGTGAAATTGCATCAGAATGCTTTGTAGACCATTGTGACATCAATCCTGATGACATCACTGATCTCTCTGCCACTGAAGCTAATTTGCTAAACCTTTTACACTCACATTTACTGTTTTCAAACTAAAAAGTTAGAAGAAAGATCTCCCCCTCGTGTTTTTTTTTTATCAAAGACACTCGGATTAGATTCTCTATTTATATATTTACCCACCTGACACATCTTCCCAAAGGCAAGGGAGTAAACTCACTATTAAAGTCCAGTTTCCACCCTTGCCGAACTAGCCTGGAATTTCTGGGCTTGATCGTAGTGCCACTGTGATTATTACAAGCTATGTCCCTCTTATTGGCCAATCAGATTCTACCTCTAATATCACTTGCATTTGCTTCAAACAAAATGGCAGCACCCATTCAAGACAATCTGATCGATCATTAAGATCTTTATTGTAATAAAACAGGTCTTACCCTATGAACATGGTGAAGTGCATCAAATCACTTGAGCACCTTGATAAAACATGAAACGATTTTGGATAATAACTGTTGACGACCTGTGTGGTACACATGCTCTGCAAGTCCTGCAATCAAACGAAATCTGCACCGCAGTGGCAAGTCATTTCGTTAGTCTGGCCAAAATATACCGGTAACTCCACAATTCTAGCCTAGTTCAGCAAGAGTGGAAACTGGGCTTTTATAGTGAGTCAACTCCCTTGCCTGAGGAAGATGACCTACGATTGCTACTGTTCTGAAAAATAAGAAAATCATGCAGTAGTTTCTACTGCTGTTGCATGGCAACAATCCATAGCAACGATCTGGGGTAACTAGGTAGTTCATCCGACCACTGGGGGCACGGGTGGCCCAGTCCTCTATGGCGCCGCAATTCGCTGTGCAGAGTTGCGTCCCTTGGGCACGCCAGAAACTTATGATTGTGGGTTCGAATCTCGGTTCGCCCCGATTATGTTTCTAGGTTTGTCAGCACCATACCAGTGCTTGTGGGTTTCACCGGAGAAGTAAATGTCTGAGACCTGCATCACTTCGGGCTTTCCTCCCACATTAAGCTGACACGCCGTGATATAACTGGAATACTTTTAAAAGTCACTCATCCGACCACTGCTGTTAGGGTTGGACAGACTTGTCCTGTTATTCTGGAAGAGTGGCCTGTGTACGTGATTCACCGTTAATACTCCGACAATGTGAGATGGCCGTGATTCACCGTTAATACTCCGACAATGTGAGACAGCGTTGTTAATGACATTAAGAGATGGACCTGACTAAGCACCTGTCATGGGTATTGAGATGTGTGAAGCATGACATCCGGGGGATCAGGTTAATTAATGTTGTAAACATTTCTGTTTGTGTCTTCATGAAAGGATTAAATAAAAATGATCACTTTATATACATGTCTTAATTATTGCAGAGAATAGGGTGAGCCTGCAGGGCTAGAAATGAACAGTTTAGTCCAGGAGTCCACTAATTAGACTTAAAGATGTGTCGGAATGTTAACTAATTTCTTATCCCAAACAAACCTCCACCGGAGATGTCACTTGAGTGAGATCAAGCGTTTTCTCCTAGGATATAACCCTGCAGAGTAATTACAGCACTAGTACTGCAGACCATTGTGACATCATCAGTTACCATGACATCACAATCAGATCACAGAGTAATTACATCACTAGTACTGCAGACCATTGTGACATCATCAGTTACCAAGACGTCACAATCAAATCACAGAGTAATTACAGCACTAGTACTGCAGACCATTGTGACATCATCAGTTACCATGACATCACAATCAAATCACAGAGTAATTACATCACGAGTACTGCAGACCATTGTGACATCATCAGTTACCATGACATCACAATCAAATCACAGAGTAATTACATCACGAGTACTGCAGACCATTGTGACATCATCAGTTACCATGACATCACAATCAGATCACAGAGTAATTACATCACTCGTTCTGCAGACCATTGTGACATCATCAGTTACCATGATGTCCCAATCAAATCACAGAGTAATTACATCACTAGTACTGCAGACCATTGTGACATCATCAGTTACCATGACGTCACAATCACATCATATCACTAATCTCTCTGCAACTGATAGTGGTTAGGTTCAAAACTCTGGATTTTACGTTTTACAAACTGAAAAAGTTGGCCTCTTCAAAGTTGATGTCAAAAGTCCCTTGGGTGAGATTATTTGTCAAGTGATGGATAGTGTTAGGGATGCAATAAACATGATCAGCAGGAACTCCTCTAAACCTCCATACATCAAAGCAGTGCCTGCTGGATAACTATCGGCTGATATTCCCAGTAAGTTTAGACCAAACCCTCTAATGTGTGGGTGTTGTGTAGACAAATGTGGCTGTAAATCACTTGGCACAAGATACACAGGGCGGTTAACTCCACGTGCTCATACCTTGTATTACTACACAGCTTTTAAAGTTACTATATTGAGTAAATATACGTCTTGAACATCAATTATAATTTTTTAAGAATGTCATTAAATAATAAACAGATTACAACCTTCATGTGTTTCCATACAACAAATATCATAGTTTAGGAATAAAAAATATGTACTATGCTTGATGAACAAGCCAGAGACTTGCATAATACAATTTTGGTACCTGACTTGTCTATGCTATTTATGGTACAGAAACACACTCTGCAAATAATCTCTATATAACGTCATGAGTCGGTACACTCCAAATGAGACCCGTGAAGATCCGGGCTAGAATAGGTTTTCAGCAACCCATGCTTGACCCGTGAAGATCCAGGGTAGAATAGGTTTTCAGCAACCCATGCCTGCCGTAAAAGGTGACTCATAATGCTTGTCGTAAGAAGCGACTAACGGGATCGGGTGGTCAGGCTCCCTGACGTGGTTGATGCATGTCATTGTATCCCAATTGTGTGGATCGATGCTCATGATGTCAATCATTGGATTGTCTGGTCCAGACTCGATTATTTACAGACCGACGTAATATAGCTGAAATATTGTTGAGTGTGGCGTTAAACATCAAACATAAAAAACAAAACGCTCCAAATGATCGTTGTTTTGTTAGCACTATACCCGTGGTGACGGGGGCATGGCGGTAACTCTTGTACCTGCATCCCTGGTCAAAGCTCACTTACTCTAAAATCATGCTCATTGTCCACTCAGTTTGACATACCCCGTCCAACTCACTCACCTACGCACCAACCCACTAACTCACCAACCAACTCATCCACTGATTCATGCACTCAACCCTACTCACCCACTCATCCATCCACCCACTCACCGACCCAACCACAAACCCACCCACTCTCTCACCCACCAAACCACTCATCCATCCACCCACTCACTCACCCAACCACTCACCCACCCACTCTCTCTCACTCACCCAGTCACCACTCACTCACTCATTCACTCCTGTATTTTCCCCAGTGACAGCATTGGACATCCCTCTGCCCGGGTTCGTCGACCAGGTCAACCTGACCTCGTACCATCTTTCCCATGAAGGGATGCGCCTCATCACCAAGATCGTCGCCGTCATCAACCACACCAACCCCGACGTCAGCTACAGCCCTGCCGCGTTCTCTGTGGCTAGTCTATTTCTCCACTACATGGGCCCCTCCGACGTCTACAACTGCATCTACGCTCTACTTACAAGCAAAGACACTCGCTATCTCACTCAGACAAGTATCTCTCTCGATGCATCCAAACTCGTCCTGCGGGATTTGACCAAGAAATATGCAGTAAGTTTTCCTTGGATTTAGCTTTCATCATTTTTATTTTGAATTTTAATTATGACTTCAAAGGTGGATGTATTTGTTTATTTGGATTCACCTGCATGTTTTATTTGATATGCATGACAGCAGAAACAATTTCTTTAGCAATCAAATGCAAAATACACTAAAGCTATTGAACTAATGCTTGTTAGCATGGTTAGAAAAACGTCTGTTGGGAGGGATTGCATGTGGTGTCCTTTTATTATCCATTTAGTTCAAGGTAAAATAGATAATAAAAATGCATACAAAGTGCACCTGTTATGTAATTGACTGTTGAAGTATCCTGCCACTGATATAACACAGACATAACCATTGATGTCCTGCATATTGATGATGTTAGAGTCATGTTGGCAGGGGCACCTGCTAGGATAGGATCACTGTGCTTCCGTTGAGCCTGGCTCAACAGTCATTTAATGTTGTATATTTGGTGATCTACAAAGACTCTTCTCAGTAAACCAAGGCTTTATCGAGACCTGTTCAGAGGCTAATGTTTGGCCCCAAGTCTGCACCAAGGCAGGCTTTATCTAGACCTGCTCAGTGGCTGATATTTGGCCCCAAGTCTGCACCAAGGCAGGCTTTATCTAGACTAGCTCAGAGGCTGATATCTGGCCCCGAGTCTGCACCAAGGCAGGCTTTATCTAGACCTGCTCAGAGGCTGATATTTGGCCCCAAGTCTGCACCAAGGCAGGCTTTATCTAGACTAGCTCAGAGGCTGATATTTGGCCCCAAGTCTGCACCAAGGCAGAAGTGTATCTAGACCTGTCCAGAGGCTGATATCTGGCCCCAAGTCTGCACCAAGGCAGAAGTTTATCTAGACTAGCTCAGAGGCTGAGATCTGGCCCCGAGTCTGCACCAAGGCAGGCTTTATCTAGACTAGCTCAGAGGCTGATATTTGGCCCCGAGTCTGCACCAAGGCAGGCTTTATCTAGACTGGCTCAGAGGCTGATATCTGGCCCCAAGTCTGCACCAAGGCAGGCTTTATCTAAACCTGCTCAGAGGCTGATATTTGGCCCCAAGTCTGCACCAAGGCAGGCTTTATCTAGACTAGCTCAGAGGCTGATATCTGGCCCCAAGTCTGCACCAAGGCAGAAGTGTATCTAGACCTGCTCAGAGGCTGATATTTGGCCCCAAGTCTGCACCAAGGCAGAAGTGTATCTAGACTAGCTCAGAGGCTGATATCTGGCCCCGAGTCTGCACCAAGGCAGGCTTTATCTAGACTAGCTCAGAGGCTGATATCTGGCCCAAAGTCTGCACCAAGGCAGACTTTATGTAGACTTGCTCAGAGGCTGATATTTGGCCCCGAGTCTGCACCAAGGCAGGCTTTATCTAGACTTGCTCAGAGGCTGATATTTGGCCCCGAGTCTGCACCAAGGCAGGCTTTATCTAGACTAGCTCAGAGGCTGATATTTGGCCCCAAGTCTGCACCAAGGCAAGCTTTATCTAGACTAGCTCAGAGGCTGATATTTGGCCCCAAGTCTGCACCAAGGCAGGCTTTATCTAGACTAGCTCAGAGGCTGATATTTGGCCCCGAGTCTGCACCAAGGCAGGCTTTATCTAGACTTGCTCATAGGCTGATATTTGGCCCCAAGTCTGCACCAAGGCAGGGGATTTTCTAGACCTGTCCAGAGGCTGATATCTGGCCCCAAGTCTGCACCAAGGCAGAAGTTTATCTAGACTAGCCCAGAGGCTGATATCTGGCCCCGAGTCTGCACCAAGGCAGGCTTTATCTAGACTAGCTCAGAGGCTGATATCTGGCCCCAAGTCTGCACCAAGGCGGGCTTTATGTAGACTAGCTCAGAGGCTGATATCTGGCCCCAAGTCTGCACCAAGGCAGGCTTTATGTAGACTAGCTCAGAGGCTGATATCTGGCCCCAAGTCTGCACCAAGGCAGGCTTTATCTAGACCTGCTCAGAGGCTGATATTTAGCCCCGAGTCTGCACCAAGGCAGAAGTGTATCTAGACCTGCTCAGAGGCTGATATTTGGCCCCAAGTCTGCACCAAGGCAGAAGTGTATCTAGACTAGCTCAGAGGCTGATATTTGGCCCCAAGTCTGCACCAAGGCAGAAGTGTATCTAGACTAGCTCAGAGGCTGATATCTGGCCCCAAGTCTGCACCAAGGCAGGCTTTATCTAGACTAGCTCAGAGGCTGATATCTGGCCCCGAGTCTGCACCAAGGCAGGCTTTATCTAGACCTGCTCAGAGGCTGATATCTGGCCCAAAGTCTGCACCAAGGCAGGCTTTATCTAGACTAGCTCAGAGGCTGATATTTGTCCCCAAGTCTGCACCAAGGCAGAAGTGTATCTAGACTAGCTCAGAGGCCAATATTTGGCCCCGAGTCTGCACCAAGGCAGGCTTTATCTAGACCTGCTCAGAGGCCAATATTTGGCCCCGAGTCTGCACCAAGGCAGGCTTTATCTAGACCTGCTCAAGGGCCAATATTTGGCCCCGAGTCTGCACCAAGGCAGGCTTTATCTAGACTAGCTCAGAGGCCAATATTTGGCCCCAAGTCTGCAGGACATGTCAGTAGTTCCAAAGTTTAATTTAAACAAATTTACAATTCATGTTAAATAGGTTAACTAATGTTTGCAGTGTTCCCGTTTACCGGTAATTACCAGTTTTTTACCGGTTAATTTAGGCTTGGACTGGTAAATCAGGTGACTGCCAGTCCCTGTGGACCGGCAAATAAAGATCCTTATAAATCTTGATGTTGAACAAAACATTCCGTGATATTCATAGCAATATATTTTTTTTAAGAAGTCAGTTTGTCTCTTACCATCAGGTCATCCCCTTGTCTCGAAATATTAAAAAAGAGAGAGAAAATTGTGACTGAAGTTTGTGTGAATGACATGTAGATCTAACTAAGTTATTTCAGAGATGACTCATTGCACTGAACATGATTTTGAAAGAATTAAAACCAGCTAATTTTCATACATTTTTTATGTCTTGAAAGTTGGGACTGGCAATAATTAGTGGGGACTGGTAATGTTTAGAGTTGGCAGTCCACCAGGACTGGCAGTTTCAAAAGCCAGCGGGAACGCTGTGTTTGGGCTTTGTGGAGGTGCTGGTATTGATAACAGGGCCCACAGAGGAGAGGCTTTTATACAGTGTCGTGCTTATGGTGCCTTGGGACCGCCTCCGTGGTCTTGTGGTAGAGCGTCCGCCCGGAGAGCGGAAGGTCCAGGGTTCGATCCCGGGCCGCGTCATACAAAAAGACGTTAAAAGATTGTACTTGTTGTTACCCTGTCTGGCGCTCGGCATTAAGGGGCTAAAACAAGGACTGGTCGGCTCGGAGTCAGTATACTGTGTCTGAGTGGGGTATTCATGTTAAACTGCGGCATGGTATCTCAGTGAGCTAGCACTATAAATCGGCATCAGTCCGGACTAGTACAAGCAGCCACACACACACATACACGTGCATGCACGTCGCTATATAAGTGCAATAATCTTGGACGCGACGTTAAACCCAACTTCACCTCACCTTATGGTGCCTTGCTTGAATTTCAAATATTTATATTTTATAATAAGAATGAAAAACATCACTCATTTTTTAGAATTGCTCAGCTGTTAGACAATAAATCTGATGTATTGCTTTGCATTTCCTGGTTTCTTCCCACATGAAGCTGGCATGCTTGTGGAATACTGCTCAAAGCAACGTTAAACCCCACTCACTCACTGTTCTACCAGATTTATTTAGATGTAGTAAAGAAATCTTTTGATTCAATTCAGAAATCGGCTTATGTTCACATCGTAAGACAGAGCAGCAACACGGAGGCTGTGTTTGAGAACTGGTTGTGGTGGATCTACAGGGACCTGCCCTTCTCTTACCTGGTAGGTAGCACCCCACTCCACCTGTCACTGTGGTGGATCTACAGGGACCTGTCCTTCCCTTACCTGGTAGGTAGCACCCCCACTCCACCTGTCACAGTGGTGGATCTACAGGGACCTGCCCTTCTCTTACCTGGTAGGTAGCACCCCCACTCCACCTGTCACTGTGGTCGATCTACAGGGACCTACCCTTCTCTTATATCGGTAGCACCCACACTCCACCTGTCACTGTGGTGGATCTACAGGGACCTGCCCTTCCCTTACCTGGTAGGTAGCACCCCCACTCCACCTGTCACTGTGGTGGATCTACAGGGACCTGCCCTTCCCTTACCTGGTAGGTAGCACCCCCACTCCACCTGTCACTGTGGTTGATCTACAGGGACCTGCCCTTCCCTTACCTGGTAGGTAGCACCCCCACTCCACCTGTCACTGTGGTGGATCTACAGGGACCTGCCCTTCCCTTACCTGGTAGGTAGCACCCCCACTCCACCTGTCACTGTGGTGGATCTACAGGGACCTGCCCTTCTCTTACCTGGTAGGTAGCACCCCCACTCCACCTGTCACTGTGGTCGATCTACAGGGACCTACCCTTCTCTTATATCGGTAGCACACACACTCCACCTGTCACTGTGGTCGATCTACAGGGACCTGCCCTTCCCTTATATCAGTAGCCCCCCCACTCCACCTGTCACTGTGGTCGATCTACAGGGACCTGCCCTTCCCTTACCTGGTAGGTAGCACCCCCACTCCACCTGTCACTGTGGTGGATCTACAGGGACCTGCCCTTCTCTTACCTGGTAGGTAGCACCCCCACTCCACCTGTCACTGTGGTGGATCTACAGGGACCTGCCCTTCCCTTACCTGGTAGGTAGCACCCCCTCTCCACCTGTCACTGTGGTTGATCTACAGGGACCTGCCCTTCCCTTATATCGGTAGCACCCCCACTCCACCTGTCACTGTGGTGGATCTACAGGGACCTGCCCTTCCCTTACCTGGTAGGTAGCACCCCCACTCCACCTGTCACTGTGGTGGATCTACAGGGACCTGCCCTTCCCTTATATCGGTAGCACCCACACTCCACCTGTCACTGTGGTGGATCTACAGAGACCTGCCCTTCCCTTATATCGGTAGCACCCCCACTCCACCTGTCACTGTGGTGGATCTACAGGGACCTGCCCTTCCTTTAAATAGGTAGCACCCCCATTCCCCCTGTCACAGTGGTGGATCTACAGGAATTTTTATGTCTCCCACCAGTAATATAGACTCTTATGCAACATAAAATGAAATTACCTCCTTTTTCAGGATGTCAATAAATTGTACAAGCTTGTACCTGTATTTAAATAACGATGACTCCCTGAAACCAATCCGACCGAGTCAATGTCGGGCAGCTCCATTTTTATGTACAAGTGGGTTAAGTTTGGTATTTCTCACAACATGCACAAGTGCACCTTTTATCCCAATAAGGATTGTGTTATTCCTCCCACCTTTTGGTGCGATCGTTCGGCCATTGCGTTCATCTGTGCTGCCAAGGTACATCTAAGGGGAACAACTCACTAGACACTTCCCTCTCAAAAATAATGGGACCAATTTACGACATTGTCAAGTTGCTATCTTCCAAAGGTAAGGGTTAACTAGCTATAAAAGTCCAGTTTCCACCTTTGCCGAATTAGACTGGAATTTCTGGGCTCGATCGTAGCAACACCAGTGGTAATTACGAGTCGTGTCCCTTCTAAGCCTCTCCTATTGACCAATCAGATTCCACCTCTTGTATCACTTGCATTTGCTTTAAACAAAATTGCGGAGCCCAGTCAAGACAATCTAATCAATTATCAAGATCTATATTGTGATAAAACGGGTCTTACATCGCAATGTGCATCAGATCACGTAAGCACCTTGATTAAAAACATGAAAAGATTTGGATAATATCTGCTGACGCGGGGTTGGCGGTGCACATCCTTTGCAAATCCTGCGATTGACCGAAATCTGCCCAACAGTTTACAAACCGGATTTCGAATTTGATACACGATTTTGATTGGACTATGCTTAGACTTGTTAGTCAAGCCAAAATATAACTCCATAATACCAGCCTTGTTCGGCAAGGGTGGAAACCAGACTTTTATAGTCAGTTAACTCTCTTGCCTCGGGAAGATGCATGACGTGAGCGCATGTTCAAATCTGCAGAAATGACAACATGATAGAAGAATGTTTTATCATGACATAAACCACGCTTCGTTCTTCGATTTATCGCGTAGCTATCGTCTGTATTTGACATGCAGGTCTCTGCAGTAACTATGATGGGGAGTTCAGGTAACAGGGTACAACGGGTAGACAAGGACACTATACATTCATTTAGATTTTCAGTTTTAAAAAAAAGTGATGCGCGGGGCATTATTTGTTTTGTATTGTATTTCGGGGATTCATGTTTGCTGGGGCTGTGGTGTATTTCCTCAAGATGGAGGGAACACACCATGCAAACATGTTGAGAATAAACAATGAGGAATCACAGATTATCTGTCCTGAACAAATAAGAAAAATTATGTCCAAGTTTGAGATACACATAAGTAAATGTGTGTGGTAATATCAGTATATCAGTTCTTTCCACGATACGTATAACAATATCATTATTTCATGCTTGATATATTGGGTGATGTCAAATAGCAATTTTCTTAATGTTATTTTTTTGCCAAATGACTTCGCTGCTCCGCAGCATCCGCTGCAGGGATTCGGGGCCCCAGGATGGCTGTGTATTTATTGACTGAGGAAACACCATGTTGTACCAGCATCTTGTTTTGTTCCATTTATGAACTTCAAGTCCTACCTAAATGTGTCAGATTGCTGCTGAATTCAAAGTTTATAATAATACAATATATTGTGATGCGTATCACAATACGGCCTTGTGCAACGCAAAATATTGTGATACACTTTAAACCTTCAATACCCATCCCTACACAAAAGGACACTAGTGCATCATGTTCTTGTACAGCAAATGTGGATATGTTGTATTGCTGATTTGTACAATTCTAGTACCACAAATATTCTTTCCGACAAAGATAGACACTTATGACTCAAGTTCAAACATCTATTTTTTTCAAAGACACATCATGTCTCTTTTGATACCAAAATATGCATAAGATTAAAAGAATTTTCAAGCATAAAAACGTGAGTCCGTTTGTACAAGGGTCATTGAGCAACAGGGCAAGTGTTGAGACGGCTGGCAATGAGAATCTTCTTCCTGCAGAGAAGCGTTTGTTTAGGCATGTCTAGCTGACCACAACACGTCGACATCCCGCCACCTCGCTGTGTCAGGCAGCGGCGTGATCGAGGAGGCAGTGCGCACCTCCTGACGGGCACATATTTGTCTGAGATTAAAGGACTTAACAGCCTTGTGCTTTATCCCCTGGTCTGGAGGATATATATATATAGAAATACTGTCGCCGTCTCAGTTAGATTTTGGACGTTGTGGGTAGTGGATTAGTTAGTATCGGTTCTTTCTAATTATCTGGATGATTGATGTGGATAGTTTGGAATGATGAAATTTGTTAATTGATATGAATATTGATCATGTCTAGTTACCTGGGTTATTGATACTGGTAGCTATTTGATGTGAGTAGTGGAGTTAGTATTTGAACATGTCTTATGATCTGGATAATTATTCATGATTTTAATCATAATTTTGACAATTTGTATTATATTCCTCTTGGAAAACCGGTGAAAAGGAACTTGTCATTTTATTTTAATAATTGGTTGATATGTTTTGTATTGTTTATTTTATTTCGTTTGATGTGAATTGTTTAAACCCCTGGGCTGTTCAGGGGGACTACGGCTCTGACTTTACGGTGAATGGATTGTGTTTGTTTGGCAGGGACTTGTTTGTCACAGCACCATGTAATAATGGGGTGGTAGGGTAGTCTACTGGTTACAATGTAAGCTCGTCATGCCAACGACCCGGGTTCGATTCCCCACATGAATGCAACATGTGATGCCATTTCTGGTGTCCCCCGCCATGATATTGCTGGAATATTGCTGAATGGTGGTGTACTCACTCACTCCCTCCCTCATTACTCACTCACTCACTCACTCACTCACTCACTCACTCACTCACTCACTCACTCACTCACTCTTGATAATAATAAACTTGGGCCCACTTTGGGAAAATATCCACATGCAGGAAGGATTCCTTCTTTGATCATGGGGCAGATTAGTACGAGTGGGCATGGGACAGATATTTAGAAAATAACCAGCTGGCCACGAGGAATTATTAAACATCTCCTCTGTATGGGTGAAGTGAGTAAATCCTGAGCCTTTGGTGCCAGACATTCCTGAGCCTTTGGTGCCGGACATTCCTGAGCCTTTGGTGCCGGACATTCCTGAGCCTTTGGTGCCGGACATACACCTTTCCTTCACAGGGGACAGATAAGCTGTAAATCCCAGTTGCGAGTAGGTTATTCTATGTATTACTGATTGTCATTTGTAGAACGAAAATTGTATGAAATGTCAGCCCAGCAGAGAACCTTCACTGAAGTCAGCCTGTTGTCCTGATTTTTTCACATGACATTATCAATTATTTTTGACGTCATGAGCAATGGATGATGCCTTATTGCATTGTTCCCACCATTGTAGCAATTTAACGGCATATCTCTTCAACAGACCCATCAGGTTTAAGAATCACGAAAGTGCACATGGGCAAATATCGGAAAGTCAGTTACTGGATGTTGCTACTGATGAAGGTAATATTCTGTTTGTCAACTTGGGAACTCTGTTTCAGGTGAAGATAACAGACTGCTTCCTGGTTGAAGGTGTAAAGGTTTTGTACAGAGCGGTCCTAGCCGTCCTCATACTGTACGCCAAATACTCAGGTGAGCTGCACACTGTACAGAGCGGTCCTAGCCATCCTCATACTGTACGCCAAATACTCAGGTGAGCTGCACACTGTACAGAGTGGTCCTAGCCGTCCTCATACTTTACGCCAAATACTCAGGTGAGCTGCACACTGTACAGAGCCGTCCTAGCCATCCTATACTGTACGCCAAATACTCAGGTGAGCTGCACACTGTACAGAGCGGTCCTAGCCGTCCTCATACTGTACGCCAAATACTCAGGTGAGCTGCACACTGTACAGAGCGGTCCTAGCCGTCCTCATACTGTACGCCAAATACTCAGGTGAGCTGCACACTGTACAGAGCTGTCCTAGCCGTCCTCATACTGTACGCCAAATACTCAGGTGAGCTGCACACTGTACAGAGCGGTCCTAGCCATCCTTATACTGTACGCCAAATACTCAGGTGAGCTGCACACTGTACAGAGCGGTCCTAGCCGTCCTCATACTGTACGCCAAATACTCAGGTGAGCTGCACACTGTACAGAGCGGTCCTAGCCGTCCTCATAATGTACGCCAAACACTCAGGTGAGCTGCACACTGTACAGAGAGGTCCTAGCCGTCCTTATACTGTACGCCAAATACTCAGGTGAGCTGCACGCTGTACAGAGCGGTCCTAGCCGTCCTCATACTGTACGCCAAACACTCAGGTGAGCTGCACACTGTACAGAGAGGTCCTAGCCATCCTTATACTGTACGCCAAATACTCAGGTGAGCTGCACACTGTACAGAGCGGTCCTAGCCGTCCTCATACTGTACGCCAAATACTCAGGTGAGCTGCACACTGTACAGAGCGGTCCTAGCCGTCCTCATAATGTACGCCAAACACTCAGGTGAGCTGCACACTGTACAGAGAGGTCCTAGCCGTCCTTATACTGTACGCCAAATACTCAGGTGAGCTGCACGCTGTACAGAGCGGTCCTAGCCGTCCTCATACTGTACGCCAAATACTCAGGTGAGCTGCACACTGTACAGAGCGGTCCTAGCCGTCCTCATACTGTACGCCAAATACTCAGGTGAGCTGCACACTGTACAGAGCGGTCCTAGCCGTCCTCATACTGTACGCCAAACACTCAGGTGAGCTGCACACTGTACAGAGAGGTCCTAGCCGTCCTTATACTGTACGCCAAATACTCAGGTGAGCTGCACACTGTACAGAGCGGTCCTAGCCGTCCTCATACTGTACGCCAAATACTCAGGTGAGCTGCACCCTGTACAGAGCGGTCCTAGCCGTCCTCATACTGTACGCCAAATACTCAGGTGAGCTGCACACTGTACAGAGCGGTCCTAGCCGTCCTCATACTGTACGCCAAATACTCAGGTGAGCTGCACACTGTACAGAGAGGTCCTAGCTGTCCTTATACTGTACGCCAAATACTCAGGTGAGCTGCACGCTGTACAGAGCGGTCCTAGCCGTCCTCATACTGTACGCCAAATACTCAGGTGAGCTGCACACTGTACAGAGCTGTCCTAGCTGTCCTCATACTGTACGCCAAATACTCAGGTGGGCTGCACACTGTACAGAGCGGTCCTAGCCGTCCTCATACTGTACGCCAAATACTCAGGTGAGCTGCACGCTGTACAGAGCGGTCCTAGCTGTCCTCATACTGTACGCCAAATACTCAGGTGAGCTGCACACTGTACAGAGCGGTCCTAGCCGTCCTCATAGTGTCCGCCAAATACTCAGGTGAGCTGCACACTGTACAGAGTGGTCCTAGCCGTCCTCATAGTGTCCGCCAAATACTCAGGTGAGCTGCACACTGTACAGAGCGGTCCTAGCTGTCCTCATACTGTACGCCAAATACTCAGGTGAGCTGCACACTGTACAGAGCGGTCCTAGCCGTCCTCATACTGTACGCCAAATACTCAGGTGAGCTGCACACTGTACAGAGCTGTCCTAGCTGTCCTCATACTGTACGCCAAATACTCAGGTGAGCTGCACACTGTACAGAGCGGTCCTAGCCGTCCTCATACTGTACGCCAAATACTCAGGTGAGCTGCACACTGTACAGAGCGGTCCTAGCTGTCCTCATACTGTACGCCAAATACTCAGGTGAGCTGCACACTGTACAGAGCGGTCCTAGCTGTCCTCATACTGTACGCCAAATACTCAGGTGAGCTGCACACTGTACAGAGAGGTCCTAGCCGTCCTTATACTGTACGCCAAATACTCAGGTGAGCTGCACGCTGTACAGAGCGGTCCTAGCCGTCCTCATACTGTACGCCAAATACTCAGGTGAGCTGCACACTGTACAGAGCTGTCCTAGCTGTCCTCATACTGTACGCCAAATACTCAGGTGGGCTGCACACTGTACAGAGCGGTCCTAGCCGTCCTCATACTGTACGCCAAATACTCAGGTGAGCTGCACGCTGTACAGAGCGGTCCTAGCTGTCCTCATACTGTACGCCAAATACTCAGGTGAGCTGCACACTGTACAGAGCGGTCCTAGCCGTCCTCATAGTGTCCGCCAAATACTCAGGTGAGCTGTACACTGTACAGAGCGGTCCTAGCCGTCCTCATAGTGTCCGCCAAATACTCAGGTGAGCTGCACACTGTACAGAGCTGTCCTAGCTGTCCTCATACTGTACGCCAAATACTCAGGTGAGCTGCACACTGTACAGAGCGGTCCTAGCCGTCCTCATACTGTACGCCAAATACTCAGGTGAGCTGCACACTGTACAGAGCTGTCCTAGCTGTCCTCATACTGTACGCCAAATACTCAGGTGAGCTGCACACTGTACAGAGCGGTCCTAGCCGTCCTCATACTGTACGCCAAATACTCAGGTGAGCTGCACACTGTACAGAGCGGTCCTAGCTGTCCTCATACTGTACGCCAAATACTCAGGTGAGCTGCACACGGTACAGAGCTGTCCTAGCTGTCCTCATACTGTACGCCAAATACTCAGGTGAGCTGCACACGGTACAGAGCGGTCCTAGCTGTCCTCATACTGTACGCCAAATACTCAGGTGAGCTGCACACGGTACAGAGCGGTCCTAGCTGTCCTCATACTGTACGCCAAATACTCAGGTGAGCTGCACACTGTACAGAGCGGTCCTAGCCATCCTCATACTGTACCTGAAACTGGCAACTAAAAATTACCAATTAAAAACTCTATTGAAATTCAATGCAATGACCTCATCTATGAAGTAACTTAGTCAGATCTATGTGTCATTCACACAAAGTTCAGTCACAATTTTCTCCCTCTTTTTTTGAATATTTCGAGTCGCTGCAAATATATATTTTACTTGCACAAAAAAAAGACAAATGGAAACCCTGATGGAAACAGACAACCTGACTTTGTTTGAAAAATATACTTCATATATATATATGAATCTCGCCAATGTTTTGTTCAACAACAAAGATTAATAAGGTACTTTATTTGCCGTCCACAGGGACTGGCAGTCACATGAATTACCGGTCCAAGCCTAATTTTACCAGTTAAAAAACTGGTAATTATTGGTAAACGGGAACACTGAGGATAGTACCATTTGTTTCTGACCTCCTCCATCTTGTACCATTAGTCTCTTGATTACGTTTCAGCAGGAAACTATGTAGCCAATGCGCCCAGGGTCTTTATCATGAAAGAATAAAGATATAATACCCTGGATTACTGAGGATGTAATAATGATTTCTAGATGATGTGGTACTTACTCCCTCCCTGTTGAGGATTGTTGGGGTTTCTGATCTGGAAAGTTCTCTGTTGTAAGAATACTAATATGTGATGATGCCAGTGATCAGATGGGTGATGCTCTTGGTGTTCATGCTGCAGGTAAGCGAGCTGCCTCAAACGGAGAGCCCGTCAGCGTCAACATCTCAAACAACATCAGCCGATTCTGTGAGAAGATGCCAGTGGATCTCACCAAATTCTTGAAGGTGAGATATGCACCGAGTAGTAGATAGCATGTGATGATATATTCTGAGTGGTAGATAACATGTGATGATATATTCTGAGTGGTTGATAACATGTGATGATATATTCTGAGTGGTTGATAACATGTGATGATATATTCTGAGTGGTAGATAACATGTGATGATATATTCTGAATGGGAGATAACATGTGATGATATATTCTGAGTGGTAGATAACATGTGATGATACATTCTGAGTGGTAGATAACATGTGATGATATGCACTGAGTGGCAGATAACATGTGATGATATATTCTGAGTGGTTAAAACATGTGATGATATATTCTGAGTGGTAGATAACATGATGTTATACACTGAGTGGGAGATAACATGATGTTATACACTGAGTGGGAGATAACATGTGATGATATGCACTGAGTGGGAGATAACATGATGATATACACTGAGTGGTAGATAACATCTGATGATATGCACTGAGTGGTAGATAACATGTGATGATATGCACTGAGTGGTAGATAACATCTGATGATATATTCTGAGTGGTTAAAAATTGTGATGATATATTCTGAGTGGTAGATAACATCTGATGATTTGCACTGAGTGGTAGATAACATCTGATGATATGCACTGAGTGGTAGATATTATCTGATGATATGCACTGACCGGGAGATAACATGTAATGATATACACTGAGTGGCAGATAACATGTGATGATGTACACTGAGTGGTTGATAACGTGATGATATACACTGAGTGGCAGATAACATGTGATGATATACACTGAGTGGCAGATAACGTGATGATATACACTGAGTGGCAGATAACGTGATGATATACACTGAGTGGCAGATAACATGTGATGATATACACTGAGTGGTTGATAACGTGATGATATACACTGAGTGGCAGATAACGTGATGATATACACTGAGTGGCAGATAACATGTGATGATAGATAAGATGAGAAACCTCTTCATGCAATACATATTTTTCAACTGTTCATGATTCAGATTGCCTTTGGCATACGTGGTTTGTCTCGGAAGGAAATCAAACGTCTGGAGTTGAAACACGAGATGTACATAAACAGCAGAATTCACATCCATTCTGCCAAGACCGACCTTATGATGAGACGGGCTTCCACCCACTCCATTGGAGTACCAATGTCAAGGTCATTTAGTGGACCAATCATCATGCAGCATATGAAAGGGTCAAGTGTTCTCACGCCCGATATGGTGAGTAGTTGGAAGATTTGTGTGTGTGCCAAATTTGCAATGTGAAATTATTAAACCAGTGTATGAAACTCTGTACCAGCTTGAGATTGTGCATAAATAATGACTATAAATGAATATTATATAGCTGTTGGAAATTATCTAGTCTCAGAAACAGAAGCTGACCATTCCGAAAAGATTGTTTTTAATCAGGTAATTAAAAACCCTTCATTTGTCTGGCAGGGGGATGTGAAACCCAGTCTGTTCAGACAATGTCATTTCTGTTTTCAAATTGGCACAAGGAGCACTGGTGGCGCATTTGTTTAAAGTACCGCAAATCACTCTAAGAGTTACGCCACTTAGTAGGGGTAAAACTAACATTTTTAGTCCACTAGTCCTTATAATGATTACATATAGCCAAACCATTAAAAATGGAAAATTTCTACTAGTCCTTATGATGCCTTAACTATTGGGCAGATTGGCAAGGACTACAGGACTAGTGCCAATTTCTACTAGTCCTTATGATGCCTTAACTATTGGGCAGATTGGCAAGGACTACAGGACTAGTGCCAATTTCTACTAGTCCTCATGATGCCTTAACTATTGGGCAGATTGGCAAGGACTACAGGACAAGTGCCAATTTCTACTAGTCCTCATGATGCCTTAACTATTGGGCAGATTGGCCAGGACTACAGAACTAGTGCCAATTTCTAACGCTGCTTAGGTATGCAAGAAACCTCTGATCAAAGGTTCAAATCTGAGATTCTCCCCCTGGGCTTTGCTCATATGTTTTGAATTTCAGTTTTGGATTTGGTTTCAATTTTGGAAGATTTGGTACCATATCTAGTTCAAGCTCTGACATGTCAATTCACAATATGGCTGAGATATTGCTGACGTGACTTTTAACTCCCTCCCTCAAACATGTCGAAATGGATAAAATTCTGACAAGCCATTGATCCCAATCAGAAAGAATCAGGTATTTAATCTATGATCAACGTATCCTGGCAGGACTAAGGGAGACAACCATGATTTGTAGTCCACAGGTTAGACCATTAGACCTGTCAAACTTTGGGCTTTCCGGCCAAAGTAAGCGTACTCGTAGTGATAAAACTGAGAAACTGTTCAAAGCAGCCTTAAACCTAACTCACTCACTCACTCACTTCTGTTACACGCAGCCCTCCACTTCTCGGGGTAGGTCCAGGTCTCTCGGGATTCACGTTTTCCCAAATTTCAAAAGTAGCATTATCACTCAGGAAGATGTGAGTATCAGGGGAAACAACTCTGTCAATGTAGCATGGGCACGTCATTGGCGGACATCTTGCTTCTGCTACCTTTTCAGTTTGTTTTCTTCATGCACAGCGATTGGTTTTTTTCTGTGATGTGAAAAGTTTTAGTTTTGTTTATATTTTTGTCAAAAGGCACCACTTCTTTCCAACTTTTACTGATCACATACTCAGTGTTCTGCCAAGGCTGCGGCCTCATGGCATTGTTGCTTTCATTTTTTTATTGGTGCATAATTAGCGTGTTTGTGTAGCTAGGTTTATTTTATATAATTATGGGGGCCACTGACTGTCTCAAAAAATATTTTACATCACTCACACAGCTGTTTTCGTTATGGAAGGTAAACTTGTCTCATTTTGCTGTGATACCCATGAAGATTCCGGGGTAGAATAGGTCTTCAGCAACCCATGCTTGCCATAAAAGGTGACTATGCTTGTCGTTAAAGGCGACTAACGGGATCGGGTGGTCAGGCTCGCTGACTTGGTTGATGCATGTCATCAATCCCAATTGGGTTTATCGATGCTCATGATATCAATCACTGGATTGTCTGGTCCAGACTCGATTATTTACAGACCGCCGTCATATAGCTGGAATATTGCTGAGGGCGGCGTTAAACAACAAACCAACCAACCATTTTGCTGTGGGAGCATTGGTGGCCCAGTCGTCTAAGGCGCCTCGATTCGCTGTGCAGAGTTGCGTCTCTTCGGCGCGCCAGAAAGCTATGATTGTCGTTCGAATCCTGGTTCGCCCCGATTATGTTTCTAGGTTTGTCAGCACCATACCAGTGCTCGTGGGTTTCACGAAAGTGGTAAATGTCTGAGTCCTCCATCACTTCGGGCTTTCCTCCCACATTAAGCTGACACGCCGTGATACAACTGTAATACCCAGTGATACAACTTCAAAGAATTTTGATGCAATGGTTGGAAGAAATTGTATCTGAAATTATTATTTTATCAGGAATAGTATATTCCAATGTCGTGTTATTTTACTTGCAGCTTTTACAAAATATATTTGAAATTATAAGAACCATAAGCGTAACACTTTGGTACAGGTGATTGCTACTGCAGGATATTTTTACGTATGGAACAATTTGACGAGTCACCATAGGGACTTCCTGCTCTTCATGTATTTTGATTTCGGAAATGTTATGTTGACACAATAGCCAAATTGCCACAAATATGACCTTTCACGAGTCAAAGTATGGCATTTATGATATATGTATGGCAACTAAGGTTCATTTCAAGGGTCAATAGTGGTAGTCTGACCGTGGTTGCTGTAAAGAATGATGAGTTGTGCATTCTACTGATCACTTCACAAACGATTTTTCCGAAATTAATGTTAACAATGTTGAATGAAATTTTGAATAAAATTAATAAAATATATTACAAACATAAGTCAAGATATACAATGAACACGTTTTTATAACCAGACAGTATAATAATGGGATTAAATTGTGTACTTCAGTTCAGATTTGTTGACGGGTATTTTGAAACGAGTACCGTCTTCGACGTAATAAGCGCCCAACCCTAATAAGCGCCCATGGCGATATTTGCTGATATATTGGCTAGTAAACAATCCTAATTAGCACCCCTTCCGATTGATCAATGTACACAATGTATTTATTCGCTTAACACGCACTCGTGTGTTATATGCACCCTTAATTATGGGCAATTAAATGCTAGAAAAATATATCTGTCGTACATAAACATTTCAGGCTGTCACCATCAACATGATAAACCACAAAATTTATCTTTCAACTGTTTTTTTTCCAACAAAATAATATTCTAATAAGAGCCCCCTATTTCTAATTTTGAGAGCGCCCTGGCGCTTATTACGTCGAATACGGTACCTTGAAGAGGCATGCTATGGCAAGGAATATTGTTGCAGCATCACATAGCGTTACATTGGAGAAAGAAGCCAGAGAAAACATTCTGTACATATAGTAGTTGCTACATATCTCTTCAGATAAGGGGTGGTGAGGTAGCCTAGTGGTTAAAGCATTTGCTTGTCACGCCTAAGACCTGGGTTTGATTCCCCAAATGGGCACAATATGTGAAGTGTCTGGCGTTCCCTGCTGTGATATTGCTGGAATATTGCTTACAGCAGTGTAAATGCATACTCACTCACTCACTTCCTGTAAAGATAACTTGTAGTGCCTCGTTAGTGTTTGTAAAATTGGTCCCTTTACTCTCATATGATAGCTGAAGATACCTGGTTAGATAGAAGGTTGTGTTGGGTGATCCCATTTCTAACTTCTCATGAAGGATGCATTGGTTCCTGAGCCAATCGGATCTCAGCTTTCTGAAATGATTCAGCTTCTGAAAGACAAGGTGTGGTTGGTGGGCGTCAGTATACTGTGTCTGAGTAGGGTATCCATGTTAAACTGCGGCATTGTATCTCAGTGGGCTAGCACTGTATAACAGGCATTAGTTGTGACTAGTACAAGCAGACACAGACACACACATACTCTTTTTTTGAATCCATCATTATTTGTTTTTATGCAGTATGTGTGACATGAACATGGCAAAATAAGAAATTGCAAATATTACCACAAAGTATTGTTTGTGTAGCTGTATGGTAAAGTAAATGCTGATGTGGTATTTAATCAGTCTTGTGTGTCAGTGTTTATTTTGATTCTTGTAGATGTCTACAAGTTTGCATGTTGACCAATCAAAATGTTTCCTATATTCTGTTCTTTACTGTGTTTAACATGGTGTATTCATTTGAACTTTCTTGTCTTCCTGTTTTAAAACTTGAACATTGAATGTTGCGGAAGTTTGACCCACATTGATGCATTTTGTATGACATCCTTATCACCTTGTCTGATCTGCTAGAGACTGACAGTATTTGTTAAATGAATGCTCCCTCTCAACCCGATACTGACCTGATACTGCTCCCCCTCTAGAAAAAAACCTTCTTGGATTAGGCACCATGTGTGTACGAACTGCCTTACGACTCCAAGTACTGCCTAACGACTCCCAAGTACTGCCTAACGACTCCAAGTACTGCCTAACGACTCCAAGTACTGCCTGAGTTTGTGTGGTGTATCTGAGGACATAATCTATTGCCGTGGTATAGCCAAGTGGTTAATGTGCTCGCTTGTGACGGTGAAGGCCAAGGTTCGAATCCCTGTCATATAGCTGGAATATAGCTGGAATATTGCTGGGACCAATATTGACTGGGAACCTACAGAGAAACGCAATAATCTCAAACCCAGATATTCTTGTTACCTTCCATACAATCCTTAAAGGAACGCCCTTATATGGTTAAAGGAATAGTACTCTGCCCATGATTTATATATCGTGAAATTTATTAATCCAGAAAATTGTTAATCCCGACTATGTTACTACTGTCTAGAGGTTTCACTTTCGATGTCGATGTTCAACTAGGACTGTGTTGTTGCAGTTGCACACCGTATGGAGCTGGTTGCCCGCCCGGCTGGCAGTGTGTGTGCCGGAGCTGCTGTTCACGTCGGATGAGCACGGCACCAGTCTACGAACTGTCTACAGCAAGATTGAGTCCAGGCAACAGACACTCTTCTTTATACGCAACACTGAGAATGAGGTGAGATTTACACAAAAACTATTAATGTCAGAATTTTTATATATCTTTGTTTAAGAATTTGCTGTCTCCTAAAAAATGAAATATGAAAACAAAGCAGTTGTTGTTGTTTTCCGCCTAAAAAAGAAAAATGTTGGAGAAAACCTACCTTATTTACTTTGCTAATCTATATTTATCAGTTGGTTAGAGTACTTAATTGAAAACCTGTTGAAGATACTTGTTAATTTTTTTTAAAATTTTCCTTCCTCCTTAGGGATCATCCATTTTGATATTCTGTAGGGGGCTCAGATAGTATTAAAAAAAATAATTATGCTTCAGAATGTTGAACAAAAATTACATTGTTGCAAGGTGTGTTTTTCTTTAATAAAAATTCAGGCTCATAGTTTTAAGTAAAAAAAATACCTGGTTTCGTAGCTGTAGCTGCAAAATACCTAAGGTGCTGTCGGAAATGCTAGAATTTTTTTGCCCGTTAAAGATGGATAGAATTTTTTCACAGAGTGTTGCTATTAAAATAACGGCTACACTCCTTTTGGCTCCAAATGAGAAAGATGAATTGCAAAATAGCTCAAAGTAGTCTTTTAAAAGTCAATTTGGTAAATTGCTATGAACACCCTGTACCCAACAATATCTGTTGTTTGTTATTTTTATTCCCATCACTGGAAACAGTTGTTTAAGAAACTATCATGTTGTTACGTGTACAAGCAGACATCTTGAATGAAGGGGTCACAACGGTGCCAACATGCACTGTAGTAGAATTCTGAAATTCGGGAGGAAATTAAAGACACAATTAATGTTTCCCGGACTCCACGAGAGAGATGGGATTTTGATACACTGCACGTGGCCGATGTTGTCCAATAGGTCACATGATCTCCGCACCATTCATGACTATCTCAGTCCTTAATAAACCCTGGGTGAATAAGAATCATTCCACAGACTACAGGTGGCTACCGTCAGATGGACGAAATCACCCATGGAATCATCAGCTAAAGGTTATCGTGCCATTGTTTTGAACGCCGGAAGCCGTGATCTTTGTCTTATTGATGGCTTTTTTTCAAGGCTAAAAAGAAAACTGGTGATTATCATGGGGATGTGACTGGTGATGTGTTCATAGACTGGTTGGAACCCCAGTGTCATTGTCATGGATACCGCCAGTTATCATAACGTCCGGGAACCTGGTAATGTCACGCCAACCATCAGTAGTCTGAAGGCGACCATGCAGAAATATCTGACATCTTGCTATGTCGACTTCAGACCATCGGAAAATATTCGCCTGAATAAGAGCACAGTAAAGACAGATGTCCTGGCGGTGCAAGAGGTCACGTTGTCTTGCATACGCCAGTCAGACATTGTGAGCTCAACCCTACTGAGCTTATCTAGGCTAACTGTAAAGGGAACGTGGCTAGACATAACACAACAGTCAAACTCTCACATGTCAAAGGATTGATCATCACAGCCTTTGCTAGAATTACACCAGTATGGCAGAAGTCTGAAAATCGTGTTTTGAAATAGAATGTCAACAAATATTTCTTGATTCAAAATCCCCAGCCTTCCAATACTCATCTCGTTTCATAGCTTTTAACTATTCCATAATTATTCCAAGCGAATATAATGCAGTACATATCTTAATTGCTGCCCTGTCAATGCATATATGTATATCAATATAGTACAATAACAGCAATATTTTGAGACCACCCCCAATTCAGGTGACATTGTATATATGAGAATGCATGGCTGGTGTGAGGTCATCACCTCGGGACAGGTGTTAGGTCATCACCTCGGGACAGGTGCTAGGTAATTACCTCAGGCTTTAAACCATTTCATACATGCATGACAACACACAAATATTTTCTAAGTTTATCATCATTTTACCTGTAAAAGTACATTTTAAGGGTAATCACAGTGTCAGTTAGGACAGACTCGATTAGGTAGAATTGCATTAATTTGATATATGCTATAGCCCTATGATTTGTATTTATTAAATGAAGCCAGAAAAGCATTTGTTTAGTGTTTCCAACAGTAATTTAATCTCGATACAAAGATAATATCAAATGGATGATCCCTTAACATTTTAGGGAAACGAAAAAATGATTGGAAATATTTTTGTTTTACATTTTTTTTCAACCTGCTGACCTGAGTTTTTGGGCCAAAAACCCCAAGCCCATCCCTCTCCACCCTGCCGCTCCCAACCCCATCCTCACCCTCACCACCCTGCCGCTCCCAACCCCATCCTCCCCCTCACCACCCTGCCGCTCCCATCCCCATCCTCACCCTCACCACCCTGCCGCTCCCAACCCCATCCTCACCCTCACCACCCTGCCGCTCCCAACCCCATCCTCCCCCTCACCACCCTGCCGCTCCCATCCCCATCCTCACCCTCACCACCCTGCCGCTCCCAACCCCATCCTCACCCTCACCACCCTGCCGCTCCCAACCCCATCCTCCCCCTCACCACCCTGCCGCTCCCATCCCCATCCTCACCCTCTCCACCCTGCCGCTCCCAACCCCATCCTCCCCCTCACCAACCTGCCGCTCCCATCCCCATCCTCACCCTCACCACCCTGCCGCTCCCAACCCCATCCTCACCCTCACCACCCTGCCGCTCCCAACCCCATCCTCACCCTCACCACCCTGCCGCTCCCAACCCCATCCTCCCCCTCACCACCCTGCCGCTCCCATCCCCATCCTCACCCTCTCCACCCTGCCGCTCCCATCCCCATCCTCACCCTCTCCACCCTGCCGCTCCCATCCCCATCCTCACCCTCTCCACCCTGCCGCTCCCATCCCCATCCTCACCCTCTCCACCCTGCCGCTCCCATCCCCATCCTCACCCTCACCACCCTGCCGCTCCCATCCCCATCCTCACCCTCACCACCCTGCCGCTCCCAACCCCATCCTCACCCTCACCACCCTGCCGCTCCCATCCCCATCCTCACCCTCACCACCCTGCCGCTCCCAACCCCATCCTCACCCTCACCACCCTGCCGCTCCCATCCCCATCCTCACCCTCTCCACCCTGCCGCTCCCAACCCCATCCTCCCCCTCACCACCCTGCCGCTCCCATCCCCATCCTCACCCTCACCACCCTGCCGCTCCCATCCCCATCCTCACCCTCACCACCCTGCCGCTCCCAACCCCATCCTCACCCTCACCACCCTGCCGCTCCCATCCCCATCCTCACCCTCACCACCCTGCCGCTCCCATCCCCATCCTCACCCTCACCACCCTGCCGCTCCCATCCCCATCCTCACCCTCACCACCCTGCCGCTCCCATCCCCATCCTCACCCTCACCACCCTGCCGCTCCCATCCCCATCCTCCCCCTCACCACCCAAAAAAAGTCCTGGCATGAGGCTGATAAAATTAACAGCCCGTGGCCATGTGACTTCGAGTCAGTATAGCTTTTAAATATTTATTGTTTATTTCTGACACTAGAAGTTTGGGCTGCTGGTTCGTGTTCATCAGGGTGAATACAGATCTCCGACTGGGACTCCATGTATGACATTCATGTTGTATGGAAAGCTAAGTGTCTGTAATTTGGGTCTTACATTGAACATAAAATAGGTCAGCAAGAGCAACAGGTTAATACATTTCTGCCGCCCCAACAAATCAATACCACACATATTCTGTGAAATAATCATTTTGTGCTGGGTCAGTAAAAAACATGTCTCTTTAGCCTGCGCCACTCCTTGCAACAGCTGGGGGCTTGTGTTATTGATTTTCTGTATACACCCACAAGGGCCTAGCGCAGCATTGTTGCACATTAGTTTAGCATGTTTTGATCAGCTGTTTCATGATAGATGTGAATCAGGTCAAAATATGTCAATGTTGAAGTGTTTGAAAATAATCTGCAATTTAGGTGATACTTTTAATAAAAGTTTTGTTTAAATGCAGATCTGCTGAACCAAAAACATGAAAACAAACATACCGTATTCGACGTAATAAGCGCCCCGCTCTAATAAGCGCCCACGGTGATATTTGCTAATATATTGGCTAGTGAACAATCCCAATTAGCCCCCCTTCCGATTTATCAATATACACAAGACTTATTTATTCGTGTATAATACGCACTCGTGTGTTATATGCACCCTTAATTATGGGCAATTAAATTCTGGAAAAATGCATCTGTCGTATATAAACAGTTCAGACTGTATGCATAAACCACGAAATTTATCTTTCAACTCTGTTTTTTTCACCAAAGAAATATTCTAATAAAAGCCCCCTATTTCTAATTTTGAGAGCGCCCTGGGCGCTTATTACGTCGAATACGGTATTATCTGCACAGAACTATTTGTTATTTTCTGTGCAAGCTTACGTATTCACCACAGAAAACATTGTGCATAAATATGTAAGACCAGCACGACAGTCGTAGGACATGACTACTGGGATTGGGTGGTCAGACCCGCTGACTTGGTTGATTCATGTCAATGTATCCCAATCGCGTGGATCGATGCTCATGATGTCAATCACTTGATTGTCTGGTTCCACGAATATGATCGTCATTCCCATACTAACGGGATCGGGTGGTCGTGCTTACTGACTTGGTTGATGTATGTCATCGTATCCCAATTAAGTGGATTGATGTTTATGGTGTCAGTCATTGGATTGTCTGGTTCCACAAAGATGATCGTCATTCCCATACTAACAGGATTTGATGGTCAGGCTTGCTGACTTGCTTGATGCATGTCATCGTATCCCAGTTGCGAAGGTCGATACTCACGATGTCAGTCACTGGATTGTCTGGTTCCATGAAACGACCTAAGCGCTGAGATGATCGTCATTCCCACACTTACCATATTCGACGTGATAAGCGCCCCGCTCTAAAAAGCGCCCACGGCGATATTTGTTAATTTATTGGCAAGTGAACAATCCCAATTACCACCCTTTCGGATTGATCAATGTACACAAGACTTATCTATTCGTGGATAATACACACTCGTGTGTTATATGCACCCTTAATTATGGGCAATTAAATTCTATTAAATATACATCTGTTGTATATAAACAGTTCAGGCTGTCAACACAATCCACAACATTTATCTTTCAACTCTTGTTTTTTTCCACCAAAATAATATTCTAATTCTCTTTCTAATTTTGAGAGCGCCCTGGGCGCTTATTAGGTCGAATAGGGTAATAATAATAGGCTTACAATAGTCGTTGTTCGGCATTTGTATGATGTTATTGTGGCAGGATCTGATAAAAACAGATTACGTCATGTAACAAATGTTACATCTGGGATACCACTTTCTGAGTAAAGTACAGATTCTTGTCATTTTAGGGGTTGAGTCCCATCCGGGATTCGAACCCACACTGCCAGAGTGGGGCACCTAATCGCCAGCACACAAAGTCAGCGATCCAACCCACTCAGCCACCGAGGCTTCCACAAAATGAAAGTCCGACAACTGGTAGTCCAGATCAGTACTCTGTGTAGCCCCCTGACAAGTGTAACCTGGCACAGCTCCCATGTAACATGACATAATCTGTGAACATACAATGCCATTTAGAAAGTAATCAAATGTAACAAATGTAAAAGTAATCAATGTACATCTGGGATAACACTTTTCTGAGTAAAGTACAGATTCTGGTACTTTTATTGGGTTGAGTCCTGTGATTGGACTCAACCGAAAAAAGTTTGAGGATCTATTGTTTATTCACAGATTACGTCATGTTACATCAGTACCGCATTGCTTCCGAGGTATAATGAAGGTGACAACAATGGCACAAAACTGGTCGCCAGATAGAGGGCTGGTGTTGAGATGTACAAAGATATGGCATCTTCTGTTCATCGTCATTTTCTCTGTTTGCAGGTGTTCGGTGCCTTCTGTTCATTGTCGTTTTCTCTGTTTGCAGGTGTTTGGCGCCTTCTGTTCATTGTCGTTTTCTCTGTTTTCAGGTGTTTGGCGCCTTCTATTCGTCGCCGTTTTCTCTGTTTGCAGGTGTTTGGCGCCTTCTATTCGTCGTTGTTTTCTCTGTTTGCAGGTGTTCGGCGCCTTCTGTTCATAGTCGTTTTCTCTGTTTGCAGGTGTTTGGCGCCTTCTGTTCATCATCGTTTTCTCTGTTTGCAGGTGTTTGGCGCCTTCTGTTCATCGTCATTTTCTCTGTTTTCAGGTGTTCGGCGCCTTCTGTTCATCGTCGTTTTCTCTGTTTGCAGGTGTTTGGCGCCTTGTGTTCATCGTCATTTTCTCTGTTTGCAGGTGTTCGGCGCCTTCTGTTCATTGACGTTTTCTCTGTTTGCAGGTGTTTGGCGCCTTCTGTTCATCGTCGTTTTCTCTGTTTGCAGGTGTTTGGCGCCTTGTATTCATCGTCATTTTCTCTGTTTGCAGGTGTTCGGCGCCTTCTGTTCATTGACGTTTTCTCTGTTTGCAGGTGTTTGGCGCCTTCTGTTCATCGTTGTTTTCTCTGTTTGCAGGTGTTTGGTGCCTTCTGTTCAGCTTCATGGCAGCAGAGGAAGTCAAAGGAGAAGAATCTCTCATACTTTGGCACCGGCGAGACGTTCATCTTCACACTGTACCCCATGAAGTTAAAGTATGATTGGGTGGGACTCTTGTATGAAGATATCCCCAACACAGCAAACATGTTCCTGGCCGGTGACACCTCTATCCTCACCATTGGTGGCGGGTAAGTCTTCACCACTCTCACTTGGCATAAGATGTGACCCTGTGTGGACTGGGTTAGTTTTGTTTGTTTGTTTTGTTTGTTGTTTAACGCCGCACTCAGCAATATTCCAGCTATATGACGGCGGTCTGTAAAATAATCAAGTCTGGACCTGACAATCCAGTGATTGACATCAATTTGGATCGATGACATGTATCAAACAAGTCAGCTGCCTGACCACCCAATAACGTAAGTCGCCTTTTACGACAAGCATAGTCGACTTTTACAGCAAGCATGGGTTGCTGAAGACCTATTCTGCCCCGGAATCTTCACGGGAATGGGTTAGAATATAAGAGGCAACCAAATGGATCAGGTGGTTACGTATAGGGCTTTGACGGTCACTAGAGTACCCAATAATAAAGGGACGGGTGTTGATGGACTCAAGTCCGTTTGCAAGGACTTGGGTACTCATGGAAGGGAGATAACTCTAAATGAACTTGTTGTCAAGGACATAGATCTCTTGTTAGCATTGTCCAGTGGTTTCTGTTCAAAAGTTGCCAAGTAGGTTTGTGTTTACTTTGACCAGGAATGATCTGTTTTTCATATGTATTGAGCTGTTTGAAGTTCTCATGTATCAAGGTCAAAGTGAGTGAGTGAGTGAGTGAGTGAGTGAGTTTGGTTCATCGCCGCTTTTAACAGTATTCCAGTTATATCACAGCGTGACAGCTTAATGTGGGAGGAAAGCCCGAAGTGATGCAGGTCTCAGATGTTTACCACTTCAGTGAAACCCACGAGCACGGGTATGGAGCTGACAAACCTAGAAACATAATCATGGCGAAGCGGGATTTGAACCCACAATCATAGTTTTCTGGCTTGCCCAAGGGACACAACTCTGCACAGCAAATCGTGGCGCCTTAGACGACTGGGCCACCTGGGCCCCCCAGGGTCAAAGTGAGATCACACGGTGCTTGAACATTTCTCTTCCGTTACCTCGGCCTGCTGTGGCTGTGTGCACTGCTTAGGAGATCTGTGTCCTTGTCAACAAGTTTCATGTAGAGTTATCTCCCTTTCTCAGGTACTTAAAAACAGACTCGAGTCCATCTATACCCAACCCGTTATAGGGTACTCGCGTATCCGTCACAGCCCTACAACAAACGTACAAATCTATATTAACATGATAGTGATGAAGACATGAGTATGTATGATATTGTTTGGGTAATTTTCTACGTATTTTTTAGGCAAAGAGAGAATCATCATACAATGTCAACATACAAATTATTTCTTATTATTTGATTTATAGATTTATAGATTTATTTTTTGAAATGAGTAATGAAGCTACTTGCTTATATTTTTTCAACCTAGCTCTTACAACATTAAAGCACAAGTTGTTGCTATGCCTGTTATTTGTCTTTTCAGCCAAGGTGAAGCTATCCAACTCGATGAAAACCTGGTACATTGTCGTACAGAAAAGTGTGACACCTTCGACAACGACCCGCTGTGTGAAAAGCAGGATTTCACCTGTAAGGTGGTTGAGGTGTATGGTTTCAAGTGAGCATCACCATGATCACAGTGACATGGCCTACTTTCTGTGTGTGTCTCAGGCTTCACATGGATCCTGTGATGTCTCTCAGAAATACAGACTTTTGAAAGGGGATCAGCTGTGTTGACAGTGTGACTTTCAGTGAAAGCACAGACGTGTCTCAATAACCAGGAGCCGACACACAAGTGTTGCAGTGGGATACAGATATGTCGTGCATGTTACCATGGTTATGGTCTCCTTGGAGACAGCCAATAGAATCATGTTTCTCATAGGGTTGGAGATAATCAATGGGTTGGAGTGGGTCTTAGACATAGAATCAACCAATGGCGTCATGTTTGTCTTAGACATAGAAATGGTGTCGTGTGTGTCTTGGACATAGAACTGGTGTCATGTGTGTCTTAGACATAGAACTGGTGTCATGTGTGTCTTAGACATAGAATCAGCCAATGCTGTCATGTGTGTCTTGGACATAGAACTGGTGTCATGTGTGTCTTAGACATAGAACTGGTGTCATGTGTGTCTTAGACATAGAATCAGCCAATAGCACCCTGTGTGTCTTAGACATAGAATTGACCATTTTCGTCATGTGTTGTGGACAGCCAAAGAAAGCATGTTTAACCAAGAGACCATGTGTCATAGAAATAGACTTTGACAGTGCCAGACAGAATTAGGCAACAGGATCATGTCTCTAGAACTTACATTTGGTAATAAGGAACAGCCTTGGGACACAATGAATGGGACATAGTGTGTGATAGCAACCATGTGTCTCAAACATCCAGCCAGGCAGTGAGACATCCATCCGATGGGATCATTTGTCTCAAACATCCAGCCAGGCAGTGAGACATCCATCCGATGGGATCATTTGTCTCAAACATCCAACCAGGCAGTGAGACATCCATCCGATGGGATCATTTGTCTCAAACATCCAGCCAGGCAGTGAGACATCCATCCGATGGGATCATTTGTCTCAAACATCCAGCCAGCCAATGAATGACACAGATAATGAAACCATATGTCTGTTCCTAGAAGTGCTGTTCATTGACAGCAGGACATTATGTGGGGTGACAATCAGAGAGTGAGTCTTACACAACAAGATGGTAGGGTCGATGATGAGGTCTTGAGTAGACATCTAATGATGTAGCAATCAAGCTCTCAAACAGGACTAAAGTTAAGCTGCCGGTGTGCATCTCCGTGACATGACCTGTCTACAAGCAAAACTAAAAGGTTTGAAAGGGATGCAAAAGGACCAAAGTATTAAACCTTTTAGACACAGATTAAGCAAGTAAATAAATAAGCAGTAAATTTCATTACCATCTGCTCTCTAAATCTATGTCTGTTTAATTGTTGGAATGTCTGCAAATATAAACAGCTGGGATATGAAATATGCCTTGGCAGAGATGAAAGGGTAAAGAAGCTGGTTGGTCTGTGATGTCAGTTTGGCTGTGGTTGCACTAGGTGTTGTCAGTTGTCGGTGTGAGGATGTAGACAGTAGCTAGGCGTTGTGGATGTTGTGACCTAGCCATATGATGGTGCTTCTGGCTGTAGCTGCTTGTGGTAGTTACAGAGGATAGGGTGGAGAGACAGTGTTGGGGAAAGTGGAGTTATATGATACATATTGCGATTAAAGGGTAGCATCTTTGAGAGTGATATACAATACTTGTGCCCTATTCCCCACCACACAGGTTGCAATGATTTCACTTTGTAATACACCTACACTCTTCTCATGTCTCAATGTTAAAATTACTGTCGGAAATGATGTGTTTAGATTCAAGACATGAATGAATATCAAAGGCAAGATGATGTGTTAATTTTCCTGCTTTATAACAAGCTTGGCATAATTATCACATGATGTACTGCAAGAGTGGTATGGTATGACATATAAATATGATATATGATATGATGTGATATATGAAATGATATATATGATATGATATATATGTGACTATATGATACAAGACTAGCGATGCAACATTGATTGTGATGAAAGATATTGTCAAGTTGAATTCTGTAGAGCATGAGATTTGCTTGGAAGCCCAGTGGTCTTTGAGCTGCAATCGCTGTGCAGAGTTGTGTACCTTTGTCGAGCCAGGATCTGCTGGTTTAGGGTTCAAGTCCCAGATTCTCCCTGATCATGATCATTGTGGTTTTCATCAAAGCGGTAACCGACATCTACGACATCAAACGCAGTGATGTGACTGAAATATGGGTCTGAGGAGTGTAAACTGAACTGATTGTTTCACTGTAGAGCGTGATATTAGTAACTAGGAATCTCTTCAATGTAAATTAAGATAATTTAGAATGGCTGCTATCACTGTACAATCCTAGTAAGTCGGGGGTATGGTGTATACCATGTAGACAATACTTGGTGGCTACACCCCGATACACACAGATGTGGTTGTACCTGCAGCAGAATCCCAAGTGGCTGTGACGATTTCATACTCATATTTGTAGCAGAGGGAGGATTTTGAAAAAGGCAATGGAACAAACGTGAGGTGAAGTGAACAAAAACATAGGTTATCATATTAGGTGTCTGAAGAAAGAGGGGGGCAGACGCTCTCCCTCCCTTCTGGATCGGCCAGTGTGTAATTTTTTATAGGGATTCATATTATCAGTAATCGGTTAGGCGTGTCGTGCCAGTATTTGGTGTAGTAGATAGTCACTTAATGTAAGTGATAGCTTTGAGACAATGTCACACGTGGGGCCTGGCATTAGGTGTCATTACGGATTCGCCAACTTTAAAATGGAAATTTGTGTAAAAAAATATACCGTATTCGACGTAATAAGCGCCCACGGCGACATTTGCTAAGAAATTGGTTTGTGAACAATGCCAATTAGCACCCGATTGATCAATGTACACAACACTTATTTATTCGCGTATAATACGCACTCGTGTGTTATATGCACCCTTAATTATGGGCATTAAATTCTGGAAAAATATATCTGTCGTACATAAACATTTCAGGCTGTCAGCATAAACCACGAAATGTATCTTTCAACTCTGTTTTTTTTCACCAAAATAACATTTTGATAAGAGCCCCCTATTTCTAATTTTGAGAGCGCCCTGGGCGCTTATTACGTCAAATACGGTAATCAGTATTATAATTATTAATTTTCATATCGACAGTAAAACATATGTCAAAATCCTTACACTGGGTTTTATATGTAGGGGCACATATTGCTTAGGAAAACAGGGTTCTTGTGTGCAATGAATAATACTCTCAATTGTAAACTTGTTGAAGGTTTGTGTTGCATTGTTATGTGAAGACTTTGTGTAATATATTCTGTTTCTATTTTCCTATCAGACTAGTAGCGTAACGTGTGTAATATATTTTTGTTCAGGTATGACAAATCGATTGTTTTCTTGTTCCTCTAGGACTTTCAAGCTACCCTCTTTAAGACACAGATACAAAAAACACGTGTTTTTTAAGACTCAGTTAAGTGTAAATACACAGCTCCTTTGGTAGGAACTCTGTAGGACAACATATGCAAATACAAATAGAGTATGGCCAAACCCAGGAACCACAAAAGATCAAGTCTTTGCCAGGTTATTAGAAGTAACAAGAGACTAAATAAATCTTCACAAGAGTTTAGGAACTGTCTTTAGGAACTGTTTGAATCAGCTTTTGGTTTTGTCGTCAGAGGTGTGTTTTGTTTTAATGTGGTTGGATTGTTGAAATAATGTGCAATTGTCTCTTAGTTTTCAGCACTTTATGATGTAATGGTGTGTAATGAATATGGTAAGGTTTTTTTATGAGTAGAGCATTGAATACAACAAATACGGTGCTTTCTTGTTTTTTATGTGCAATATCTAAAACAACAATTTCTTGTTAAGTTGAAAGAATTTACATTAATTTTAATAACAATGAAATAGTCCTAAAAATGTTTTGGAAAGATTTTGTTCATACAAATTGCGAATTGTCAAAACAAGAACCAAATGACATTATCTTTTTAGAAATTTCCTTACAGTGGAAAAAATAGAGAAAACATAAATCAATATGTGTAAATTTACCATTACTTTGTAAAACTTATGTCTGATGTACGTGTTTAATTTTCAAGCGTTCGTTGTATGTTATCAATACACATAATGACATTATGAAATGTGTTCCTCGATGAGCAGAGATCTGACATGTAACGGTGGTTACCAAACTGATATTACGTTGATGTTATGTTCTGTTTGAAATTTATTTGATTCAATGAAATTAAGTGAAGATGTGTTACCATGACAACTTTCATCCATGATGTGTTACCATGGTAACTGCAAAGTATTGACTTTCAAGCAGGGCTGGGACGAGTGTCTATTTATTACTCGTCTTAGTCTTGATTACAACAAAGATTTACCCCCGCCGACCTATTCCTTACCCATTGTAATAAATGACGACACATAGGAGGAAAGCAACAATCAAAACACAAATGATGAAATGACAGAGCACTCTGTATCGCCCGTCTTGTTAAGGTGAGAAACATACCCTTGGAAGCACTCTCACTCACTCACTCACTCACTCACTCACTCACTCACTCACTCACTCACTCCTTTGAAGACAGGAGGCATAATAAAACATTTTGGGTTGACTGTATTATTATTATTATTATTATTATTATAAAGTGAAAAATACAAACACAATGATGGTAAATATATTCAGATTTCTATTAAATGAAGATTTTTTTTATGTTTTCAACTCTTATTTGTACTTTTCTAAAATATAAGGTAGGGCTAAATATACAATACGAAAATACACTGCTCTGGCCTTGGTAATAGCAGGAGCATGATGAGTGAACAGACACGGAACTGAGATACGGAACTGAGATACGGAACTGAGACATGGAACTGAGATACGATACAACAGATGAAAAAGAGGCTGCTGGAGATTTAGAAGAATAGTGTTGTTAATATTGTCCTTGGAGTTACGAAAGCTGTAGAAATATTCTTGCTTTGTGTAATGGAGCCTGGCACTCATTATTGGGATCATATATTTATTTGTATCATGGTGATAAGAAATCACAGTCACCTTTTCATACGTTGCCATTTTTCATAGATTGTTAATATACCCCATCATTCCTTCATCATCCGGCGTGATATCAGTCGTATTGTCATACGCCCATCTTTGAGCCAGCCAATAACCTTAATTTGAATTTTGTATGTTTATTTGTGTAAATATGTATATATGTTCAGTTGTACATTGATTTCTTTGAAACTGCGTGTGACTATCTTTATCCAAGTTTGTTTCTAAACCTTGAGTTCAGTTGAGAGTTTAGTTGCAGTTCTAGGGTTGAGAGTGAAACTTGTTTATTCTGAGAAACATCCTGATTAACACAGCAGACAACTATTGTTGCCGATATTATTGCCCAACCTTGGATATTACATGGTTTCACTGATGACGGTTCTTCAGGAAGTTAAATATTGTTTCACTTTATTTTTAATATCCATTTAAAGTTCTATGATCTACTTCCAAGACCTCATGACCATCAAAATTATATAATATCCTCGGTACTTTGAGATTGGCACCAATTTTAAGACACAGTGCCAATAAGGATTCTCCTGTGACAGTTGTTACAGTGACGTTGAGACCTTTGTAAGTCTGGGAGTTGCAGTAATCGTAAGCTACGATCACCTTGACAGAGTTATTCCATGAACCGATCTTATAAGTACAACTGTCTAGGTCCAGTGTGGTAGTAGAGGTAATCGTAAGCTACGATCACCCTGACAGAGTTATTCCATGAACCGATCTTAGAACTACGCCTGTCCAGGTCCAGTGTGGTAGTAGAGGTAATCGTAAGCTACGATCACCTTGACAGAGTTATTCCATGAACCGATCTTAGAACTACGCCTGTCTAGGTCCAGTGTGGTAGTAGAGGTAATCGTAAGCTACGATCACCTTGACAGAGTTATTCCATGAACCGATCTTAGAACTATGACTGTCTAGGTCCAGTGTGGTAGTAGAGGTAATCGTAAGCTACGATCACCTTGACAGAGTTATTCCATGAACCGATCTTAGAACTACGACTGTCTAGGTCCAGTGTGGTAGTAGAGGTAATCATAAGCTACGATCACCTTGACAGAGTTATTCCATGAACCGATCTTAGAACTACGACTGTCTAGGTCCAGTGTGGTAGTAGAGGTAATCGTAAGCTACGATCACCTTGACAGAGTTATTCCATGAACCGATCTTAGAACTACGACTGTCTAGGTCCAGTGTGGTAGTAGAGGTAATCGTAAGCTACGATCACCTTGACAGAGTTATTCCATGAACCGATCTTAGAACTACGACTGTCTAGGTCCAGTGTGGTAGTAGAGGTAATCGTAAGCTACGATCACCTTGACAGAGTTATTCCATGAACCGATCTTAGAACTACGACTGTCTAGGTCCAGTGTGGTAGTAGAGGTAATCGTAAGCTACGATCACCCTGACAGAGTTATTCCATGAACCGATCTTAGAACTACGCCTGTCTAGGTCCAGTGTGGTAGTAGAGGTAATCGTAAGCTACGATCACCTTGACAGAGTTATTCCATGAACCGATCTTACAAACTACGACTGTCTAGGTCCAGTGTGGTAGTAGAGGTAATCGTAAGCTACGATCACCTTGACAGAGCACTGGGCTATTCCATGAAGTAATCAGAGCACGGTCTTGGAGTAGAGGTAATCGTAAGCTACGATCACCCTGACAGAGCACTGGGCTATTCCATGAATTAATCAGAGCACGGTCTTGGAGTAGAGGTAATCGTAAGCTACGATCACCTTGACAGAGTTATTCCATGAACCGATCTTAGAACTACGACTGTCTAGGTCCAGTGTGGTAGTAGAGGTAATTGTAAGCTACGATCACCTTGACAGAGTTATTCCATGAACCGATCTTAGAACTACGACTGTCTAGGTCCAGTGTGGTAGTAGAGGTAATCGTAAGCTACGATCACCCTGACAGAGTTATTCCATGAACCGATCTTAGAACTACGACTGTCTAGGTCCAGTGTGGTAGAAGAGGTAATCGTAAGCTACGATCACCTTGACAGAGCACTGGGCTATTCCATGAAGTAATCAGGCACGGTCTTGGAGTAGAGGTAATCGTAAGCTACGATCACCCTGACAGAGCACTGGGCTATTCCATGAATTAATCAGAGCACGGTCTTGGAGTAGAGGTAATCGTAAGCTACGATCACCTTGACAGAGCACTGGGCTATTCCATGAACCGATCTTAGAACTATGACTGTCAAGGTCACGGTCTGGGAGTAGAGGTAATCGTAAGCTACGATTAACGTGACAGAGCACTGGGCTTTTCCATGAAGTAATCGTAGCACTTGGATGATTGTACTCAAACATGTACACAGACCTACGACAATCTTAGCGCTAAGATCATGGACCCTGGTCTTGTGTCTTTGATGGAAGCAGGATGTGCTCCACACAGCATTCCATTACTGTGGGTCTCGATATGTCTCATCACTGCAACGTTTACGTTGTATTTCTGTTAAATGGCAACTCAAGTATTGTATGTTCTTATGTGGGTCGATATGTATACCCTTGACAGGGTACATTTTGTATGAATTCCAATACCATTTTAACCTCTTTTTTTGCTGTGTGATTTCAAGAAAGTTTGTAACTTCAGGTTCGTAGTCCATTGTTTCTGATTTCTTCAGAAATATGAATTAAGTAATATCCTTCCCAAGTAAGAGGTGTGACCTAGTTAGTGTTTGTACAAATGAATATAGTGCTGTGCCCTCTCCTTTGTCATAATCCCTGTTTGCTTACACGAGAATCCTTCATTTTGATATGTTTATAAGTGTCAGTGTTGTTTTAGAAATATTTTTTAGGTCTTCAGCAACCCATGCTTGCTGTAAAAGGCGACTATGCTTGTTGAGGAGACGGGTGGTCAGGCTCGCTGACTTGGTTGATACATGTCGTTTCCCAATTGCGTGGATCAATGCTCATGATGTCAATCACTGGATTGTCTGGCCCAGACTCAAATATTTACAGACCGCTGTCATATAGGTGGCATTTGGGTAGCTTAGTGGTTGAAGCGTTAGCCAGCACGCTTTAGTCCTGGGTTTGATTCCGACATGGGTAAAATTTATGTAGTTCCAATTTTGGCGCTCTCTCTGTGATATGGCAGCAATTTTGGTAAAAGCGGTGATAGACCCTACTCTCATTTCCAAATGGAAGATTGTGGTGGCACCAGCTGATTGTAATTGAAGGTATGAGATCACACTATGAATGTACCTGCACATATACCTATTACCAATACCGTAATCAGTGTAAATAGCTGCACAGAGGAATGGTTGGCATCAAAACTAAAACTTACCAAACAGTCCCTTCATACTAATCAGTTATTCTTAAAGAAGGTTTTATGTCAATGATATGTGTGACATCTCTGATGTACCACGCTTTCCTACATGGGAAATAATTACAAAAATATCTGATAATAACCATGGATTGAAGTCCAGTTGCAATATGTATCACATATGTTACTGACAATATTGATGTTGGCACCTGTCCTGGGAACTCGTATCTACCTTGTATTTAATATGCCAGATGTATTATTAGCTGTGATTATATGGTTAACATAATGCTTCAATAGATGCAGCTCCTGGTACCTGCAATATGCCAGGATCTATTTAAGGTGATATGTATAGTACACTGTGAACTGCCTGTGCACATGTCGTATTCAGAGCCCTCAGTGTGGGCGTGTTGCTCTACCTGTTCGGTCAGTGTTTAGCCCCCAAACAATAAAATGAAAGAAGTACACTATTTGTTTGTTTTTTGTGCATCCTTTTATGTTGTTTGTTTCCACTCTGATCTTGTGTGGAGGTTTTGACTCTAACGTCCGAGGGTTCAAAGCCCGCTTCAGCATGACTATGATTTGGTTGGTTGGTTTTTTTTTTTTTTAAATGCGCACTCAGCAATATTCCACCTACATGACCGCGACCTGTACATAATCAAGCCTCGACCAGACATCCTGTGGGTGATGTTATGACCAATGATCCATGCCGTCGGGGTACTTCACATGCCATCTACCGAGTCACCGAGCCTGACCACCTGATCCCTGATCGCCTCGTACAACCAGCATCCGTTGATGGGGACCGATGGACAGCGGCTGACCAATCAAACGGGTGCATTGTGTATCACGCTGCCTTTCAAAGCACTCTCGTTCTGGTCACATCACAGCAAGTGATGCAAGTCTACAACTGTGGTGTGACCGCAAGCACCGATACGGGCTGATGGAACCAGTATGGGACTTAAACCAACATTACTCACATCCTGGCTTGGCTAAGGGATGCAACTCTGCAGAGCATGTAGCCATGGACACAAAAGCAGCGTAAACAAAGATTCCTCAAGTCATACACAGAATCGTCTCCTCGCTCATAACTGTTTGGCGAGCTACCGTCAGCTTTTGATTGCTTGCCATCTGTACAACTCCAAATCAATAGAATAGACTTTTTTATTCATTTAATTTTACAAAAGTGTGTGAAAACATAATTCTGTGCTTATCAAAGTGGACAGACATCATTGCATCAAGTCGACAAACACAATGAAACAACTCCTGTAGTAAAGTACTTCAACCACTGGTCTGTAAACACCCAGTGTAAACACACCATCAGTTTTCCATTTTCAAGGCCATAATGCATTCATTCTCACTTTTCAACCCCACCTACTCTCACAACTTAACATCATTCTAGTATCGTTTTAAGCTTTTAGCAATATTCCAGCAATATCATGGCAGGGGACACCAGAAATGGGCTTCACACATTGTACCCATGTGGAAAATCGAACCAGGTCTTCAGCGTTACAAGCGAACGCTTTACCCACTTGGCTTTAGTGGTGGGACGATGCATCGCGATTTTTTTACTTCTCGATACAAGCATCGATTAGATTCACACTCAGTAAAAAATATCGAGTTTGACCGTAAATGTTTGCTTTAATAACTGTTCCACTAAACACTAATCAGTAGTGCAAGTTAATACTGAAAACAAATATTTTCATTTGTTGTGCCATACTTGACACTGCCAACTGTAAATCGTCAGTGTGCAAGGTATTTGGCCATCCTGTCTATGAAAAGATGGCTTACGCGCCACAGATAAGAGCACATGCAAGTATCGTGATACATATCGGATTGTGAGTAAGGTATCATGATACGTATCGTGACACAGTTGGTGTATCGTCCCAGCCCTACTAGGCTACCCCACAAGTTGCTACAGACGTAGAATATTACTTCATGTGTTCCCTTGCTTCTCTACTGATGACACATACTACTCAAAAGAAGTTAAAGAACACCCAATTCTGTCATGTTACTATAGTTAATCTGTCATGCCATGACTGATTAAGACATGAAAGATTAACCATAGTAACATGAATAATCAGGTGTGCTTTAGTTTCTTCATTGTTGTACACACCGCATAAATAATCACACAGGTAACGTACACACTGCATAAATAATCATACCAGTTGACAGGTAACGTACACACATGCCTTGAACAGTTTGTTTAAAAAAATAAAAAAATATATTACCTCTTGTCTCGCATTTAAAAAACAAATTGATAAAAATCTAACAAAGAATTTATAGCTGATTCATGACTCGGAGATGATCCTTGTTGTCTTAATCAACATAAGATGATCTATGATCAACAAATATTCAAGCCAATTCAAGTGAGCTACAGTGCGTCTAATACTAATGCAAAAATACCAATTAAAAAGAAACAGGCATGCAAATTTATGGATATAAATATTAGAAAAATAAATATCGATGGACAAAGACTAAATGAAGTAATATTATGTCTAAACTAAAATATTATGGCAACATGTTAATTGAAACATCTAAACTATATCATGTATATATCTTTCCTTGACAGCAAGTCATTTATTATTACCAAAATAATAAAATGACATCACAATGTTAAATTTTCCTCATTTGTTTAATTTTTTTAGATGACATATTGACATCTCATATTCATATAGACAATGACTACAAAAAACAATTAAAAAGTACTTAGTTGAGCTTTCAGAAAACATGCACATGTGGTTTTGACTAGTTCTTGTAAAACGCTCTTTCAAAGTGTGATAAACGTCAAATGACGTCACACATGTGAAATGAAAGTATTTTTATTCAAGAACTATTTCTGGAATATTCACCTTGCAGGAATGTCACACAAACCCATAACATTATCAACAATATAACCATCTCTGTGTTAACAAAATATAAAAGTATTAACTTCACTTAAAACAGTAAATGCCATAACAAAAGAAGTTCATTTGATTTATGTTTGTTTTGTTTGTTGTTAAACGCCGCATTCAGCAATGAGCATCGATCCACGCAATTGGGATACGATGACATGTATCAACCAAGTCAGCGAGCCTGACAACATGCTCCTGTTAGTCGCCTCTTACGGCAACCATGGGTTGGTGAAGACTTATTCTATCTTCATGGGTCAAATCCAGCATTCACTGTCAAAACGGTCATTTCACTGGCAGCTCACTCGATGCATATCAAGACATGAGGAGTTTGAGTGACAACATCACGCCCCTTTTCATTCTCCGACATCATAACCACACCACAGAAACACCTGTTGTTACAGACAACATATACTCTTGCAGTAAAATAAAGGAACAGTTTCCTGCAACAATCAAATAATGTTGTCCAATCAGAATGTTGGACGTGATACAGAATCTGCCATCTTGTTTCAAACTTCGACCGTTTCCGATCTTTAAGAAAGGTCAACTCGGGTCACATTACAAGACAATGTTTCAGGATTTCGGGGAAAAATAATTTGTGCAAGAAAATGTTGGACAAAGAGAAAGTTCGGCAATGGTCTATGAAATATTTTATTACACAAATTATTTCTCTCTAACTTCTTGAGTCGGCAAGACTTTCTTTTTCACAATCTAGATTTGTCATGGTACAGACACTCACAGAAAGTATGTGTCTTACTCTGTCCCTGAAACCCCCTTTCAAATTTTAATATGACCGATCCCATATGGTTGATTACTCAAGTAGTAAAGGGGTACCCGGTAGGATGTAAATTCTGTATGTGATTTGTCATCTGTAAGACAAGTGAAAACTCTACAGAACTCCCACAATTTACAATCAGCAGTAAATGGGTACCCGGTAGGAAAACAAGGCATTGGTGAATGCGAGTGTGAGCAACTGTTCAGAATATTGGTTCACAAACATGTCCCGCACGTATGTGGAAGGCACTTTTGGTACAGGCACAAAGGCACAACAAGTATAGACTCACTCACTCACTCACTCACTCACTCACCCACTCACCCACTCACTCACTCACTCACTCACTCACTCACTCACACACACACACACCAGGTCAGGTTCACTGACTTTTGCAAAGTTTAAATATTGCTTTCATAATGTACAAATCAAGTTAAAACATAGAACATAATGCCTCTATAATTAGGATGAACGTGGTTCACGAGGGTTTACCAAGCATACTACTCAACAATAGTTAGGGTTCATCAATCACATTCAACCAACATTTAGACAACCTTGAAATGTTTAAATACTCTACACATAAGTCATGGTGACGAGTGGTCTTGGATTGTGGAGCATCTGAGTTTGTTGCGATGATACGTGTGAACAGTTTACCAGCGATGCAGGTCCTAGATATATACCACTTCCGTGAAACCCATGAGCACATGTATGGTTCTGACAAACTCAAGATCAGCAGCACATCCTGGTACAGGTAAGGCATGTAACTCTGCACAGACAGTTGCAGTAAGTGAGTTGCGATGATACGTGTGAACAGTTTACCAGCGATGCAGGTCCTAGATATATACCACTTCCGTGAAACCCATGAGCACATGTATGGTTCTGACAAACTCAAGATCAGCAGCACATCCTGGCACAGGTAAGGCATGTAACTCTGCACAGACAGTTGCAGTGAGTGAGTGAGTTTGGTTCAGCACTGCTTTTAACAGTATTCCAGTTATATCCCGGCGTGTCAGCTTGATGTGGGAGGAAAGGAGGAAAGTGTTGCAGGTCTAAGACGTTTACTACTTTGGCGAATCCCACGAACACAGGAATCGTGCTAACAAGGGATGCAACTCTGCACAGCGAATTGCGGCGCCTTATACGACTGGGCCACCAGTGCCTCCTAGAGCTGTAGCTACTTGACCGTACCAGAACCCATGTATACTACTCAAAATATGTTAAGGAACACCTGCAGTTGGAAGGCTGCGTGTTGCCATGCCCACCAACCAATTACCCATAGTAACCTGCAAACATTGGGTGTTTTTTTAACGTCTCATGTGTAGCATATATTATCAACTAAAGAATACATTGCAGACTCCTAAGATATTCCTAAATACGTTTGAACAACATATGATTGTGTAATATCCCAATTAGTGTGAACACCCCTGCTGACAAGACCATTTTATTCTAGATTCCTCAATATGCTACTCTCCACACGACTGCTAGATCCCCGAATATGCTACTCTCCACACGACCGCTAGATCCCCGAATATGCTACTCTCCACACAACTGCTAGATCCCCGAATATGCTACTCTCCACACGACTGCTAGATCCCCGAATATGCTACTCCCCACACGACCGCTAGATCCCCGAATATGCTACTCCCCACACGACCGCTAGATCCCCGAATATGCTACTCTCCACACGACCGCTAGATCCCCGAATATGCTACTCTCCACACGACCACTAGATCCCCGAATATGCTACTCTCCACACGACCGCTAGATCCCCGAATATGCTACTCTCCACACGACCGCTAGATCCCCGAATATGCTACTCTCCACACGACCGCTAGATCCCCGAATATGCTACTCTCCACACGACCGCTAGATCCCGGAATATGCTACTCTCAACACGACCGCTAGATCCCCGAATATGCTACTCTCCACACGACCGCTAGATCCCCGAATATGCTACTCTCCACACGACCACTAGATCCCCGAATATGCTACTCTCCACACGACTGCTAGATCCCCGAATATGCTACTCTCCACACGACTGCTAATATCAAACTGCCTAATATACCAAAGATGATCATGGTTGATAAAATACCAGATTGCTGACTGTTATATAATGCTGAGGATTCTGTTAGTGGTCGCCATGGTTCCTGGCGATGCAGTTTCTGTCAGCTATCCGGTTCCCGGTACCACTGCAGCGATCTTGTCACAGCTCGCTCCCACTGTCGATAAATGTCCTTGTATTGAGGCCAGACTGACTGGGGCTCGAACACTCGGTCAGACTTCCGGATATGGCGCAACTGGTCCTTGCTTTCCCACACACCTATATTAATAATAATAATAATAATAATAATAATAAAAATAATAATAATAATAATAATATGCCAAATCCGCACCCAAAAGCGCGCTCAAAATACAACATTATTACGCCGGTCAATGGATCAGTGTGCAGTCAATTTCATTCTCAGCCCACGAGGCACTATACTAGAAGATTAACACTTACATTACCATCTCATCCTACTGGGTACCCATTCACTGCTGGGTGAACAGAGGCAAATTTTGAACTAAGTCGCGTGCCTAGGAGACACCACATGTGCTTCAGTGTGGGGCAGGCCGAAGCCCTAGACATTCTCCGGAGTCCAACCACCGAACACAGTCACCCATCCAACTACACTCCATGACTAACGGTGTCCAACCACCGAATACAGTCACCCATCCAACTACACTCCATGACTCACGGTGTCCAACCACCGAACACAGTCACCCATCCAACTACACTCCATGACTAACGGAGTCCAACCACCGAACACAGTCACCCATCCAACTACACTCCATGACTAACGGCGTCCAACCACCGAACACAGTCACCCATCCATCTACACTCCATGACTAACAGAGTCCAACCACGGAACACAGTCACCCATCCAACGACACTCCATGACTCACGGAGTCCAACCACCGAACACAGTCACCCATCAAGCTACACTCCATGACTAACGGAGTCCAACCACCGAACACAGTCACCCATCCAACTACACTCCATGACTAACGGTGTCCAACCACCGAACACAGTCACCCATCCATCTACACTCCATGACTCAAGGAGTCCAACCACCGAACACAGTCACCCATCCAACTACACTCCATGACTAACGGTGTCCAACCACCGAACACAGTCACCCATCCAACTACACTCCATGACTAACGGAGTCCAACCACGGAACACAGTCACCCATCCAACGACACTCCATCACTCACGGAGTCCAACCACCGAACACAGTCACCCATCCAACTACACTCTATGACTAACGGAGTCCAACCACGGAACACAGTCACCCATCCAACGACACTCCATCACTCACGGAGTCCAACCACCGAACACAGTCACCCATCCAACTACACTCTATGACTAACGGAGTCCAACCACCGAACACAGTCACCCATCCAACTACACTCCATGACTAACGGAGTCCAACCACCGAACACAGTCACCCATCCAACTACACTCCATGACTAACGGCGTCCAACCACCGAACACAGTCACCCATCCAACTACACTCCATGACTAACGGTGTCCAACCACCGAACACAGTCACCCATCCATCTACGCTCCATGACTCAAGGAGTCCAACCACCGAACACAGTCACCCATCCAACTACACTCCATGACTAACGGTGTCCAACCACCGAACACAGTCACCCATCCAACTACACTCCATGACTAACGGAGTCCAACCACCAAACACAGTCATCCATCCAACTACACTCCATGACTAACGGAGTCCAACCTAAGAACACAGTCATCCATCCAACTACACTCCATGACTCACGGAGTCCAACCACGGAACACAGTCACCCATCCAACTACACTCCATGACTAACGGAGTCCAACCACCAAACACAGTCACCCATCCAACTACACTCCGTGACTAACAGAGTCCAACCACCGAACACAGTCACCCATCCAACTACACTCCATGACTAACGGAGTCACAACCTCCGAACACAGTCACCCATCCAACTACACTCCATGACTAACGGAGTCCAACCACCGAACACAGTCACCCATCCAAATACACTCCATGACTAACGGAATCCAACCACCGAACACAGTCACTTATCCAATACACTCCGTGACTAACGGAGTCCAGCCACCGAACACAGTCACCCATCCAACTACATTCCGTGACTATCGGAGTCTAGCCACCGAACACAGGCACCCATCCAACTACACTCCATGACTCACGGAATCCAACCAACGAACACAGTCACCCATCCAACTGCACTCCATGACTCATGGAGTCTCAGCAGCTATCCAGCGTATTACATCTGAAATCTATAATGATAAACACCTGGCACCCATATGCTTCCATAGCTTTGTATTCACCCGATTTGAAAAGACAATGCTAAAAACAATCTTCTACCAAAGAGTGATAAAAATTCTCTGTAAAGTTCCAGAGAAGAGAACTAGGGATGTAACGCCACTTCCTGGACAAAGCTGTGGTGACTGGGGTTGGGGCAAATGGTGAGGTGAAATGGGTGGGTGCATGTCTGTTTCTACAAGTCTGGCCTAATGCCGGTTTAAAAACACTTGCCCGGAGATACAATGCCGCAGTTTAACATGAATACCAAACTCAGACACATTATACTGAATCTGAACCGACCAGTCCGTGTTTTAGCCCCTTAATGCAGAGTGCCAGGCAGGGTAACAACAAGTACCGTCTTTCAACATCTCTTGGTATGAAATGTCCGGGGTTTGAACCACTGACCTCCAGGCAGATGCTCTATCAGCTCCACCACCGAGGTGTGTCTGGGGTTTGAACCACTGACCTCCAGGCAGATGCTCTATCAGCTCGACCACCGAAGTGGCTGCAGTTATGTCCAAAGTATCAACCTAATAGCATGGTCTTTAGACATACAACACACTGGACTAACGAGGATGGTCATGTTGAATTATGTTTTATAATGACAGAGCTGGTAATTCAATGGGTTGGCATTTTTCTCGAAAATGTTTGCAATAATTATTTAATAAAACTGCACTCAACATTTGAACATTTTGAAAGAGGGGAGAGATTACTCAGCAATATTCACCCTATAAGTTGGCGGCCTTTAAAAAATCGAATCTAGACCAGACAAACCAGTGGTTGATAATGTGAGCAATGTCCACTAAGATGTCTCTTATGACAAGCAGCTGTCTAAACAAGCAAGTTGGTGAGTGAGTAAGGGAAGCGAATGAGAGAGAGAGAGAGCGAGTGAGAGTGAGTGAGTGAGTGAGTGAGTGAGTGAGTGAGTGAGTGAGTGAGTGAGTGAGTGAGATAGAGCGAGTGAGAGAGAGCGGGTGAGTGAGGGCGAGTGAGTGAGTGAGAGAGCGAGTGAGAGAGAGCGGGTGAGAGAGAGTGAGTGAGTGAGTGAGAGTGAGTGAGTGAGAGCGAGTGAGAAAGAGCGAGTGAGTGAGTGAGTGAGTGAGTGAGAGTGAGTGAGTGAGAGTGAGAGAGAGTGAGAGAGAGCGAGTGAGGGAGGTTCAAGGTCACCTGCAGCAAGTCCTGCCAGGAACGCGGCCCCGAGACTCGTCATGTCCGGCTGCGTGGAGCGGTCGATGCTGGTGTTGATGAGACTGGACATCAGCTGCATGATGAAGTCGTTGTTGCACACGCCGCCGTCCGCTCTGTACAAGGTCAAAAGTTCACCTGTCATATATTGTTGGACAAAAGTAAAGGGTAAAAACTGACTCTGAGGTCTTGCAAGTCTGGGGAAGAGTGAAATCAGAGTAGGCCGACTCATAAATTTACACCAAGGTTATAAACCGAAAAAGAAAACTTTCATCAACAATGTTGTTTCGAACATACTTTCCAGGAACCTTAAGAAATGGACGCAAAATATCTCTTGCTGACATAACATACAGGGCAGTGATCACCACATCGTATACATACTTAGGGCAATGAGCATCACACTGCATACATATTCACACCGTACACACATTCAGGGCCCCGAACTACATACTGACCTGACGTACGACAGGGGGATCTTGGTCTCTATCAACATCGTCTCGTACAGGACCTTGAACCTGAATGCTAGGGACTCCAGTATGGCTCGGACGATGTGGGCCTTGGTTGTGTTGGGCATCAGTCCGATAAGCGAGGTAGTGGCACGGTCATCATTAATGGGTGCCTGTCATGTTCAAGAGCAATTCTGTAGACTTTAGGGAGGTGCCATTTGCCAAAATTGAGTGAGTGAGTGAGTTGGGTTTAACGCCGCTTTTAACAGTATTCCAGTTATATCACAGCAAGTCAGCTCAATGTGGGAGGAAAGCCTGAAGTGATGCAGGTCTCAGACGTTTACCACTTCGGTGAAACCCACGAGCATGGGTATGGTGCTGACAAACCTAGAAACATAATCGGGGCAAACCGGGATTCGAACCCACAATCATAGGTTTCTGGCGTGCCCAAGGGACGCAACTCTGCACAGCGAATCGCGGCGCCTTAGACGACTGGGCCACCCGTGCCCCCTGCCAACATTGAGAATACACAACGTCAGCTTCCATGCAGGTTCGAAGGTTGACAGTGCCCCCGTGGTCTACACCCCGTGAAATCTCCTTCATATACTACTCAAAAGAAGTTGAAGAACTTCCGATTATCTAATAATACTATAGTTAATATGTCATGCCAGGTTCTTATGAGTACCGGTAGTATATACTGAGGCAATTTAAGAGTTTGTAATTCGAAGTATTCCAAGAAATATTGTCTGTGTGTTAGAACATGCACTGGTACATTGTGAGGTAAGTGATAACGAATGGGACATCAGTACCTGCAGCCCACTGAACGCAGGGACGAAGCACACACCTGCAGAGTCTGAAAAACAAAATGTGAATGTTCTCTTAAGGTAAATAGTATGTTTATACCGACTCCAAAATCCAAATTCCCTAAATTAACATACATATTTGTCTTTTTAAAATTTAGAATTAACTTTGGCAGTGATTTAAGCCAAAAACGTGTGCAAGAGTAGACTGAAAAATTTCGGTCTTGTAACTTGTAGCACAGGAAAGAAGTGACGAATCCCACCCTGTTCAGAGGCTTTTTCACAAGGTACAGTTTACCAAACAACTGGTTGGGACAGCTGACAGTGAAGTGGATTTTTTAAAGTGTGATGGCTATAATTTAATAGGGGTAGTATTCTTAGAATTATACACAATCATAACTATTATTTGATATTTCACAGTACTCATTGAACGTGGGAAAAATCAAAGTTGTTCTGATAAACATTGATTCAACTTAATTTTTAATAAACATGGTAAAGACTTTGCTAAGCCAAATGGCACATTTATTTCAAATTTTGTATTGGGAAAAAAAGATACTTTCATATATAGAAAAGTCATAGTGAAAAAACGTGTTACAATGCCACCGAAAAATGTTTTGCAAATACTCAGACTTCAGCTCATTTTCTCATTCATCTTAAAATCCTTCGTAAGTAACGACACCCCCTACACGGCCACCCCAGAAGAATGAGGACACACGGAGAACATACCTTCCACAGTGTTGGCAATGTTGGCCGTCTCTGTTACGTCTTCAAAGAAACCTTAAAACAACAACAGTGTGTGAGTGAGGAGGTTTTACTCCACTTTTAGCAATGTGTAAGCCATATCATGGCGGGGGACACCACAAGTTGTCTTCTCTCGTTTTACCCAAGTGCGGAAGAAAACACTGCTTAGTCTTCAGCGTGATTAGCCAAAGCTTTAAACCAACAGGCAGGTAGAGTCTCCAGGACCGGAGTGAGTGAGTGAGTGAGTGAGTGAGTGAGTGAGTGAGTGAGTGCGTGATCGAGTGAGTGAGTGAGTGAGTGAGTGATCGAGTGAGTGAGTGAGTGATCGAGTGAGTGATCGAGTGAGTGAGTGAGTGATCGAGTGAGTGAGTGAGTGAGAGTGAGTGAGTGAGTGAGTGAGTGAGAGTGATCGAGTGAGTGAGTGAGTGAGTGAGTGAGTGAGTGAGTGAGTGAGTGAGAGTGATCGAGTGAGTGAGTGAGTGATCGAGTGAGTGATCGAGTGATCGAGTGAGTGAGTGAGTGAGTGAGTGAGTGAGTGAGTGAGTGATCGAGTGATCGAGTGAGTGAGTGAGTGAGTGAGTGAGTGAGTGAGTGAGTGAGTGAGTGAGTGATATGTACAGGGTCCAGAGTGGCCCAGTCATCTAAGGCACTGCAAACTGCTGTGAAGAGTTGCATCACTTGCACACCAGAAACCTATGATTGTGGGTTTGAAATCTGGTTCAACATGTTTATGTTTCTAGGTTTGTCAGCACCATACCCGTTCTTAGTGGTAAACGTCTAAGACCTGCATCACTTCAGGCTTTCCTCACACATCTAGCTTACATGCCGTGATATAACGGGAATACTGTTAAAAGTGGTGTCAAACCCAACTTACTCACTCACTCACTCACTGCAACTCTCTGTGCAGAGTTACATGCCTTACCTGTGCTAGGATGTGCTGCAGGATTCAATATTTTGTATCTAGTATATCCCCAGTGAGCACACATATTTGCATCTGCAGTGGACGGTTGAGCATGTTATTTCATGAGTGAGTGAGTGAGTGAGTGAGTTTTTATGCTGCTTTTAACAATATTCCAGCCATATCACAGCTGGAAACACCAGAAATGGGCCTCACACATTGTACCTGAAATTAAACCCAGGCCTTCCTCGTGATGAGCAAACACTTTAACCGCTAGGCCACCACACCCCACCCCACCCCATTACAGTGCAACGCCATTCCAAGCGTCATCAATCAGATTAACCAATTCCCTGATTACACAGTAAGATTTATGTGAAAAGAGTGAACAAAATGGCAAGAATACTAAACATTATGTCAATATCTTCAGTAGCAGAGTGTTATACTAAACACTCTCATGTGACATAAACACTTCATGTATATGAACCAGCATGGTTCATGCTTGTTGAGGCGTTTGTCTTCCTGACTCCACTGTGCTAGTTCAGACAGAGTGCCTATGTAACCATATTTCATTGTACTTCACCTTTGACAAAGGCACACATCAACCAACAAACCGAGTCTGACCACCAATCTATGATGTCACCTCTAGCGGCCAGCATAGGTCGTCATGAAGCAACTCTAACACTGTACCTAGAGTCTTGCCCCCCCCCCAGCACAGGTCGTCATGAAGCAACTCTAACACTGTACCTAGAGTCTTGCCCCCCCCCCCCCCCCCCGGGCACAGGTCGTCATGAAGCAACTCTAACACTGTACCTAGAGTCTTGGCCCCCCCCAGCACAGGTCGTCATGAAGCAACTCTAAGACTGTACCTAGAGTCTTGGCCCCCCCCCCCCCCCCCCCCCCCCCCAGCACAGGTCGTCATGAAGCAACTCTAACACTGTACCTAGAGTCTTGGCCCCCCCAGGACAGGTCGTCATGCAGCAACTCTAAGACTGTACCTAGAGACTTGGCCCCCCCAGCACAGGTCGTCATGAAGCAACTCTAAGACTGTACCTAGAGACTTGGCCCCCCCAGCACAGGTCGTCATGAAGCAACTCTAAGACTGTACCTAGAGTCTTGGCCCACTCCAGCGTGATCCCCGTGTCGGCCGCCAGACCCTCGGCCAGGTACGTGATCTCGTCCTTGATCTTCCACCCGATGATTGGGTACAGGCCTGAAGGATACAGCAAGAGATTATATTTCTACAACTTTCGTAACACCAAAATAGAAGGACAATATTAATAACGCTTTGCTTCTAAATCTCCAGCAGCCTCTTGTTCATCTGTTGTATCGTGTCTCAGTTCCGTGTCTGTTCATTAATTATGCTCCTGCTATTACCAGTGTATTTTCGTATTGTATATTTGAGTCTACCGTATATTTTAGAAAAGTAAAAAAAAAGGCTGAAAACATAACAAAATCTGTATTTAATAGAAAATTGAATTTATTTACCATCATTTGTGACTTAAAAATAATAATACAATCAACCCAAACAAAGGAGTGGAGTGGAGTGGAGTGGAGTGGAGTGGAGCTGTGTGAGTTGAGTGGTGAGTGAGTGAGTTAATGCTTTATGTCACATCGGCAATATTTCAGCCATATCGTGACAAGTGGAGTTGAGTGGAGCAGAGTAGAGTCGAGCGGAGCTGTGTGAAGTGGAGTGGAGTGGAGTGGAGTGGAGTGGAGTGGAGTGGAGCGGAGTGGAGTGGAGTGGAGTGAGTGGAGCAGAGTAGAGTGGAGCAGAGTGAGAGTGAGGTCAACAAGTTGTGTCATAAGTGAAAATGTCAACGAGTCCACATCAAAAATGAGCTGATAGCGTCAAGTTATCAAGAAAAATATCTTATTACTACAGAAACATACAGTGATGAAGCTTTGTACAGAATCTGTGTTGACTAAGCCAATTTAGAAAAAGTATGAAAACCATGAGAGAGCTGTGAGTACCTGCGACAGAGGCGTGTGGCTTGTTCCCGGTGTTGAGGTCAATGAACGTCCCTGTTCCCATGGTGCACTTGATGTCGCCGACATCGTAACAGCACTGACCAAACATGGCGCCCTGCTGGTCCGCCACCTGGAGTGAGTGAGTGAGTGAGTTCTTACATCAACTTTACAAACATTCTCACAGGACACACAGACTTTAAACTCCATGCCAGGCCGTTAGTCGGGGACTACTCTAGTGTGCAGAGGTCAAGTCAAAATCTAATGATGGTAGTCCTCATTGACAAGTAGCTATTGAAAGCTATCACTCTAAACCAGTTCTCAATGCTTCAATTTCTAATCTAATGATGGTAGTCCTCATTGACAAGTAGCTATTGAAAGCTATCACTCTAAACCAGTTCTCAATGCTTCAATTTCGCTGCAAAAATTGGAAGTGAATAAAACAGACAGACCATGTGAACACTAGGCCTGTTACGATTCACTTGCGTTTTCAGTGAATCAAACCGTATCTATTCAAGAATTGAATTCGTATTCGTGGCCACTAGAATCAAATATTTATGAATATGCAATCATGTGCATTTACATACCCTGTACCTAAAAATATCCATAAGAGCATATTATATGTATAGATTTCTTCAAAGACAACAGTCTTATTATATTTAATTTGACAGTATTATGGTCACTAGTCTTTGTCTGATCTGAGCAGATACTACCTGGATAAGTGCAGTATATAAATGTAAAATATATTAACAATTAACAAACCATGTCAAATAATTAATGTTGTTATTGCTTCACTGAATATAACAAATAATACATCAACTGCTGACTTGTTATTGTATTCGTGATTTAATATTCATATTCGTTACCCTATATTTGTGAACGTGATGTTCGTATTTGTTACCCTATCTTTGTGATAAGAACCGTTTTCGCCTCATAGTGTATTTGTTGCACCCACAGTAAACATAGTAAACAATAAAACATAGTAAACAATAAAACATAGTAAACATTTTAGTCTCTTTCCAGTAGGACTAGGTGAGTGAGTGAGTATGGTTGAACGCTGCTTCTAGCAATATTCCAGCAATATCACGGCGGGGGACACCAGAAATGGGCTTCACACATTGTACCCATGTCGGGAATCGAACCCGGGTCTTCGGCGGGACGAGCGAATGCTTTAACCACTGGGCTACCTGACCGCCCCTAGTAGGACTAGGTATATACTCTGAGGCATAGTGAACTAAGGATTACGTGAGCCCTCTGGACAAGTCTTAAAAGACAAAATGTTTTTTGTTTGTTGTTTAACGCCGCACTCAGCAATTTTCAAGCTATAGGGCGGCAGTCCTAAAAATAATCATCTGGATCACTCAATCCAGTGATTGACATCATGAGAATCAATCCAAGCAACTGGGATAAGATGACATGCATCAACCAAGTCAGCGAGCCTGACCACCCCATCCCGTTAGTCGCCTCTCACAACAATGTCTAAGACTTGGACCAGCTACAATGGTCTTCACTCCTGGGTAACCGAAAACACAACTACGCCTACCGCGACTTCTCCATCACCCTGTTGAGGAGACCAGGGATTAATCCTATGATCACTATCAAGTTGTGTATGTTTGTTTGTTGTTTTACGCTGCACTCACTCAACATTCCAGCAATATGACGGCGGCCTGTATATAATCAAGTCTGGACCAGACAATCCAGTGATTGAGATTGTGAGCATCGATCCACACTGCTGGGGTATGATGACACGGAATTGGCCAATTCACCGAGCCTGACTTCCCGATCTATTTGGACCTAATTCTAACACGGAATCCTACAGGGATCTGATATGATAGTCATTCCACTGATGAAGTTGATGCAAAATGTGAATTTTACTTCTAAGATGAAAAATACTAATAAAAGATTTAAATTTCTTTCAGCTGGTTTACAGTGTTACCCCTAAAAAAAAAAAATTGGTATTTTTTTTGTTTTTGTTTAATTAAAACATATAATTTGGACATGAAAAGGCATGGTTCAGTGTATAGCTGGAGTCACTGCCCCTGACACAGCACTGTCAGGGAAATCATTTCAGAAGCGATTCCTTCTGCAAGGTAGCAAGTTTTGATAGCAAAATCAGGACGGAAGTGATAAAAATGTCTTTTATCAATGATAATATACATTTCATTTTTTTTTTCCATTTTCCCTGTGTTGTGGGTGGGAGGGCCCATCACAACCCTCCCAATATAGCCCTAATTAGAATTAGAAAACAAGGTATTTTGGACATGCAGGCATGACTCAAGTTATTAACTTTACAGAGTTATACATACCGTATTTGACGTAATAAGCGCCCCGCTCTAATAAGCACCCATGGCGATTTTTGCTAATATATTGACTAGTGAACAATCTCAATTAACACCCCTTCGGATTGATCAATGTACACAGGACTTATTTACACAGACTCGTGTGTTATATGCACCCTTGGGCAATTAAATTCTGGAGAAATATATCTGTCGTATATAAACATTTCAGGCTGTCAGCATAAACCACGAAATTTACGATCTTTCAACTCTGTTTTTTTTTCACCAAAATATTATTCTAAAAAGAGCCCCCTATTTCTAATTTTGAGAGTGCCCTTGGTGCTTATTACGTTGAATACGGTAATTTTATTTCATGTTTTACATAAATCCGCCAAATCATATCAAACATAATCAAGTGGTAGATTAAAATTGAAAACAATATTTCTGGACAGATCATCAAAATAAATCTTTTCAAAACATTCACATTTAAGATTAAGTAAAACATTTATAATACCAAGAATTATCATTTGATCATAGTTCCCCAAAGAATGTCCCCAATCTTCAACTTACTGAGGATGTTATTGGAATGGATGCACCCAGAATATCGGGATGGACTTGACCGAACATGCCACTAAACAGAGAAGGGTTAAAATTAAATAAAAATAACATAAAATATATATACAACATCCAGGGTGCGAGGTTTCCTCAAAATTTGATAAACCTGAAAAGACAATGCAGGTGTGGTGAAATGGGGTATCATGAAGACATGCCAAACCTAATTGAATCTTTGGTGTAAAAAATGAGAAATAACAATGTTAAAAGAAAATGTTTGAGTTCCAAGCAATATCTGAGTACAAGCAAATAATTCCCGCAAACATCGAACGATAAAATGACAAGAGCGTATTTTAACATAATAACCAATCAGAGACCTCATATCACTGAGTAATGGATATTTTAACATTATATGAATTGAAAGCATGGCTCTCATTGGTTAGTCCAGTCTTGCTGTAGAACGCTTCATTAACAATTTGCTCAATTTGAGGACTAGCACAAAAGGGTAAATGCAGTCTTAAAATCAGAGCTACTATGTCAAAATCTTAATGGTTGGCCGTTACTGTTGTGTTCAATATTATTGCACAGATATAGCGACTCAAACTTGTCTCAGTAGTTGTATGGGGGCACGGGTGGCCCAGTCATTTATGGCACTGCGATTCGCTGTGCAGAGATGCATCCCTTGGGCACGCCAGAAATCTATGATTGTGGGTTCGAATCCCGGTTATCCCTGATTATGTTTCTAGGTTTGTCAGCACCATACCCGTGCTTGTGGGTTTCACCAAAGTGGTAAACGTCTGAGACCTGCATCACTTCGGTCTTTCCTCCCACATTAAGCTTACACGCCGTGATATAACTGGAATACTGTTAGAAGCGGCATTAAAGCCAACTCACTCACTCACTCACTCAGTAGTTGTATTGTGTTGCTTTGTGGGACTAAATTAGACAAGCTTCTAGGCATGCTGGAAAAGTTCTACTAGACTTGGCATTCGGACTATAGTGGACTGTTGCTGATTGTAACTGGAGAGTGAGTGAGTGAGTATGATGTTACAACACTTTTAGCAATATTCCAGCAACATCATGGTGAGGGACACAGACTTTACACATTGTACACATGGGGAATCGAACTCGGGCCTTCAGCGTGACAATTAAACGCTTTAACCACTGCCCTTGATTGTCATTGTGAGCCCCATGTGCTGATGGGGTGTTCTGAGGGTGTTGTAGGGGTCAAAATAAAAATAAATATAATGCCCTTTTAAAAAAACTCAAATTAAAGATTCATAACACTTTTGACACAGCCCATAAGTGCATGTGACCTCACCTTGTGTCCTTCACCTCGGGGAACATCGACATGGGAATGTTGACCATGTTACAGACGATCTTGCTCCACTCAACCTGTAAATAAACACGTCTATGGCTTAGCAATGATTAAGTTTATTCAAAAGTGTGTCTGCGTCACAGAATGAGCCTAAAGGAAGTGACCAAATGAAAAAAACGACATAAAATCTTCAAGGTCAAATTGCTGTAGCAACTCTAAGGGGTCAAGGTCAAGGTCATAAAACAGTCAGCCCCGAAAAACTTAAAAAGACCTGTAACTTTGAGAATGACAACATTTCACTAACGCCATATACAGAACATGTATGACTTCAAGCATGTGTTGCAGATGAATATTGTTTTATGCTGTTGTCAACATGGACCCCGCAAAGCGCCAGAAGCAACACTTACAGAGTTGAGGTGCTTATAAAAGCATGAGGTATTAGGGACCTGCCCTGGAATTGACAAGGTTAGACAAGCACTGCGTAGTGAGAACCATTTGTACAACTCGGCCCGAAATCCACACGTGGTAGGGGGGTAGTACAAGCAGTCTGCATTAGGGATCTGCTCCGCCCTCAATCCCCAGGGAAAGATATAAGCATTTGCTACATGCTTCAGTGTGAAAGACTGTGTTTTCTGAAGTTGAGTAAAGTGATATTTTCACTGCTGAGAACATAACACTTGATATTTGACTGCAGTGAACATAACACTTGATATTTCACTGCAGTGAACATAACACTTGATATTTCACTGCAGTGAACATAACACTTGATATTTCACTGCAGTGAACATAACACTTGATATTTCACTGCAGTGAACATAACACTTGATATTTCTCTACAGTGAACATAACACTTGATATTTCACTACAGTGAACATAACACTTGATATTTCACTACAGTGAACATAACACTTGATATTTCACTGCAGTGAACATAACACTTGATATTTCACAACAGTGAACATAACACTTAATATTTCACAACAGTGAGTGAGTGAGTGAGTTGGGTTTAACGCCGCTTTTAACAGTATTCCAGTTATATCACGGCGTGTCTGCTTAATGTGGGAGGAAAGCCCGAAGTGATGCAGGTCTCAGACGTTTACCACTTCAGTGAAGCCCACGAGCACTGGTATGGTGCTGTCAAACCTAGAAACATAATCGGGGTGAACCGGGATTCGAACCCATAATCATAGGTTTCTCGCGTGCTCAAGGGAGGCAACTCTGCACAGTGAAACAGGGCGCCTTAAACGACTGGGCCACCCGTGCCCCCTCACAACAGTGAACATAACACTTTGACAGAACTATTAATTGTCATACAAGAGTCACTTCCCCTCAAATTGTCTGCCTTCATCGTGTCTAGACCGTACACAAACTGTTAACTTCCTTTTCACGTTCGTTCCACATTGACAAGGCAAAATATATCGCTTCATGACGTTTATTATTCTCTTGAAAGTGTTTTGTTATAAACTGTAAATTTCTAACTTATCTCGTCAATCAATTCGAATATATTTGTTACTTTGATTTTTTATATGATCATAACTATATGTATAATACAGAATTTTCAGGATCCTAAATATTTTTGTTACTTTAGTTTATAATTTTTAAGATTTGGGTGATTTAAGATTTAAGGGGTGGTGAACCGTCCCTGTGTGTTAGGTAGGGATAATTTACGTTTCAAGGTTTTACATTTGTAATGAAATAGCTTAATATTCCGATAGACAACAAATATATAATAATAGGATGCCACTCGTGAAAATATCTCCTTTCCTCCCGTCACTCGATGAGAGAAACATGATATTTCACTCGACACATGAAATATCCTCTATGATTTGTTTGTTTGTTTGTTGTTTAACTCACACTCAGCAATATTCCAGCTGTCAAATAATCGAGTCTGGACCAGACAAGCCAGTGATTGACATCATGAGCATCGATCTACGCAATTGGGATCGATGACATGTATCAACCAAGTCAGCGAGCCTGACCACCCGATCCCGTTAGTCGCCTTTTACGACAAGCATTGTCGCCTTATCCTCTATGAGGTACCTGGGATCTACTCAGCCCTCAATCCCCGAGGGCAGATACAAACATGAGGTACTGGGGGTCTACTGTACCCAAATCCCTACCAGGGATGCAAGTGACTGGAGTCTGCTGTGCATCCCTACAGCCATCCTCCCGAGGCAAGGGAGTTAACTGACTTTAAAAGTCCAGTTTCCACCCTTGCCGAACTAGACTGGAATTACTGGGCTCGATCGCAGCACCACCAGTGGCTATTACCAGTTTTGTCCCCTCTATGGTTCTCCTATGGACCAATCAGATTCCACCTCTCGTATCACTTGCATTTGCTTCAAACAAAATGATGGCGCCCAGTCAAGATGATCTGATCGATAATCAAGATCTATGTTGTGATAAAATGAGTCTTACATCGCGAAAGGGCATCAAATCACATGAGCACCTTGATTAAAAATATGAAAACATTTGGAAAATATCTGTTGACAACGAGTTGGAGGTGCACATGCTTTGCAAATCCTGCAATCGACCGAAATCTGCACGACAGTTTACAAACCGGGTTTCGGCGTGCGATTTTGATTGCACTATGCATAGACTCGTTAGTCCAGCCAAAATGTAACTCCATAATACCAGCCTAGTTCGGCAAGGGTGGAAACTGGACTTTTATAGTCAGTTAACTCACTTGCCTCGGGATGATGCCCTACAGCCAACACACATGGGGACATGACAGCCACGGTAACACTGACCTGGAATGGATCATAAAGTCCTGTACAGCTGGCGTTGGAGTAGTCCGTGGCGTGGACCTTCTGCCCTGTCAGACAGTACAACAACCAGGTGTCGATGCACCCGAACATCACCTGACCCTCGAAGGCCCTCTTCCGCAGCTGGAGAATAGCCAACGTACAAACCCATAACAACGCTCTCAACAACATGAGAAAACATTCCTCCGAAAGAAAAAACAATGATAGGTTGACCATTGACAAAAAAGACAATAATCCTTTGAATTTATAATTTCAAGATTATAATTACAAATTATAATATTCAAAATTGTTTTACGCTTGTGCTTTTTGAATCGATCAAAACCCTACAATAACTTACAAATTTATTGTTATTTGAACTAAATTAAATATTCAGTTAAATAACAGATCATATTTTATGAAAAAACAATTAAAGTTTGTTTAAATCAGCTATCAAGATGTGGAAAGAATATTAGAACAAAGACCATTGGTGATGTCTTACCTCCGGATAGTTGTCCAGAACCCATAGCAACCTCATGGTAACCTAGCAACAATACACAATGAATGCTGGAGAAACAAGTCACACGTACTTCACAATCGTACAGGGCTTTGGTTAATTGTGGATTGTGCCAATGTTATTACAGTAAAACCTTCTTAGTCCAGACCCTGTTAATCCAGAAACCCCACCTTCAGGTTGACTACCTGATAAACAAGGTTTTCCTGTATTTCAAATACAACTGGAAATTCTAAATTGCCAATCAAGTTGTCAGCAATAGCCCTCCTTCTACACATGGAGACATTCCACATTTTGTATATAACCCTCCTTCTACACATAGAGACATTCCACATTTTGTATATAACCCTCCTTCTACACACAGAGATATTCCACATTTTGTATATAGCCCTCCTTCTACACATAGAGACATTCCACATTTTGTATATAGCCCTCCTTCTACACATGGAGACATTCCACATTTTGTATATAACCCTCCTTCTACACATGGAGACATTCCACATTTTGTATATAACCCTTTTTCTACACATGGAGACATTCCACATTTTGTATATAACCCTCCTTCTACACATGGAGACATTCCACATTTTGTATATAACCCTCCTTCTACACATAGAGACATTCCACATTTTGTATATAACCCTTCTTCTACACATAGAGACATTCCACATTTTGTATATAACCCTGCTTCTTCACATAGAGACATTCCACATTTTTGTATATAACCCTTCTTCTACACATAGAGACATTCCACATTTTGTATATAACCCTTCTTCTACACAGAGACATTCCACATTTTGTATATAACCCTCCTTCTACACATAGAGACATTCCACATTTTTGTATATAACCCTTCTTCTACACATGGAGACATTCCACATTTTGTATATAACCCTGCTTCTTCACATAGAGACATTCCACATTTTTGTATATAACCCTTCTTCTACACATAGAGACATTCCACATTTTGTATATAACCCTCCTTCTACACATAGAGACATCCCACATCCCACATTTAAATTCAAGGCCTTTTTACAGTTGATTTAAATTCAAGGCCTTTTTACAGTCAATTAAAAGTCAAGGCCTTTTTACAGTAGATTTAAGGTCAAGGCCTTTTAACAGATTTAAATCCAAGGACTAGTAAAAGATTTAAATTTAAGGCCTTTCACAGATTTAAATTCAAGGCCTTTTCACAGTAGATTTAAATCCAAGGCCTTTATACAGTCGAGTTAAATTCAAGGCCTTTTAACAGTCAATTTAAAGTCAAGGCCTTTTAACAGTAGATTTAAATTCAAGGCATTTTAACAGATTTTAATTCAAAACCTTTCCACAGTCGAATCCTACCACACAGGGGTGAATCTTTGTTTATGAACAAATATAGTCTATTTGTGTGCAGAAACCTACAGGTCATGAAAGAGAATGATTATTGTAACCTTTCCATGGAAATAGAATAACTTATTTATTACACGACGTAAGGGGGACAAAGCCCAGCACCTGTTTGCTCATGAACTTGAGGACACTAGCGGCCAGGAACCTGTTCTTCCTGGTGAAGACATGGAGAAACTTGGAGCCCGAGTTGAGAGCCTGGAACACAAAAATATGGCTGTCACCATTATCATCATCACCATCACCATCACCATCACCATCATCACCATCACCATCACCATCACCATCATCATGCGATTTGTATAGCGGTAAATCCACATCACTGAGGGACATGCTAAATGCACAAATTCAGCATATGTACATTTATTACTTGCCCGTTTCATCATCATCATCATCATCATCATCATCATGCCATTTGTATAGCGGTAAATCCACATCACTGAGGGACATGCTAAATGCACAAATTCAGCATATGTACATTTATTACTTGCCCGTTTCATCATCATCATCATCATCATCATCATCATGCCATTTGTATAGCGGTAAATCCACATCACTGAGGGACATGCTAAATGCACAAATTCAGCATATGTACATTTATTACTTGCCCGTTTCATCATCATCATCATCATCATCATCATCATGCCATTTGTATAGCGGTAAATCCACATCACTGAGGGACATGCTAAATGCACAAATTCAGCATATGTACATTTATTACTTGCCCGTTTCATCATCATCATCATCATCATCATCATCATGCCATTTGTATAGCGGTAAATCCACATCACTGAGGGACATGCTAAATGCACAAATTCAGCATATGTACATTTATTACTTGCCCGTTTCATCATCATCATCATCATCATCATCATCATGCCATTTGTATAGCGGTAAATCCACATCACTGAGGGACATGCTAAATGCACAAATTCAGCATATGTACATTTATTACTTGCCCGTTTCATCATCATCATCATCATCATCATCATCATGCCATTTGTATAGCGGTAAATCCACATCACTGAGGGACATGCTAAATGCACAAATTCAGCATATGTACATTTATTACTTGCCCGTTTCATCATCATCATCATCATCATCATCATGCCATTTGTATAGCGGTAAATCCACATCACTGAGGGACATGCTAAATGCACAAATTCAGCATATGTACATTTATTACTTGCCCGTTTCATCATCATCATCATCATCATCATCATCATGCCATTTGTATAGCGGTAAATCCACATCACTGAGGGACATGCTAAATGCACAAATTCAGCATATGTACATTTATTACTTGCCCGTTTCATCATCATCATCATCATCATCATCATGCCATTTGTATAGCGGTAAATCCACATCACTGAGGGACATGCTAAATGCACAAATTCAGCATATGTACATTTATTACTTGCCCGTTTCATCATCATCATCATCATCATCATCATCATGCCATTTGTATAGCGGTAAATCCACATCACTGAGGGACATGTTAATGCACAAATTCAGCGTATGTACATTTATTACTTGCCCGTGAAGAGATCACCTGTTTAATAAACATACAGCTGTATTACACATTGTGTAATACCAAAACGCGCGCTTATGTACTCTCAGAACACGTTTCACGAACAAATATTGAAAGCTCTCAACATCCCTTGGCTTATTCAACGACATTGCGTGTGGAGATGATAGATCACTGAGAGGAGCTTATGCACACTCGATGACCCCAGCAACCTTGTTGCTAGGCTGACGTCATATGGCATTGTTTCGCCGATGGATCTTGCAACAAAATTCCACAAATTACGTCATCGGGTATTGTGACGTTATTGTAAACTTGGAGATGCAGGGCCCGTTCCAACAAGGCGATCGTATTGTAGCGCAACGACAGTCGTTAGTCTAAGTTAAAGTATGTGAGTTGCGATAGTCTTAGCCCTACGATAATTTTGTGAATTCTAAAGGTGGACCGTTGTATGGTATTAAATTCATACGTTTCAACTTTTGACATGTTTGAAGTATTATTCTGTTAAAATCAATTGGACTATGCCATGGATCGTGTAGGTGTCAGCCTATTCATATTCAACAGTATAATGAAAAAAACGTTTTAAATGGCAATTAATAAATAAAACACTAAACTCGCTCCTGTGTAAAACCAATTTTATGAAACTCGTTGTAAATAATCTCTTCTAGTAATGTTTTTATAGCAGAATTAACATTTACATTGACGATTAATGAAGTTAGCAATTTTCCAAGCTGGACCCATCATTCCTATTGATATTTACCAGAAGTGAAATCTGTCCGAAATTCTTATTTTCAACTTACCTCTTTGTGTAAGGCCCAATCTCATTAAAATCAGATCTTACTTCTCGCTAACCGCTAAACAAAGATCTGAGGACATCCCATAATGGATCACGTCAGAACGACCTTTCATACGACCAATCAGAGCGTTGCTTACCAAATCATGAAAGTGACAGTCAGAATGTGATTTCTAATCATGGAACCTCGAAAACTTTAGCACGGTGTATTCCGATCGATAGTTACGGGGTTAACGACTGAATCCATACAATCTATACCATCTATTAACCATTCCAGAATGTTCTTTTGTTCAGGTTTTAAATCTTTAATAGAGAATTTGTCAAAATATGTTTTGAAGTGTAGGTGCCAATTTAAAATTAGTGCCGTAAAGCACGAGGGCTGCCTTCTGATTGGCTAATGTCAACTTCTTGTAAGTCATTCCATTGGTCGGTCAAAGTTAGTGCAAGGTCGGTCTGACGTGACCCGTAATGAGATGTCCTCAGATCTTTGTTAACCCCCTGGATGCCAGAGGGACATATATGTCCTTCCTTTACAACCCTCACTTTGAAGTCGAATAAAATTCAAAATACATCACCCACACAAATACACTTCACAGTTTTGAATAAGGTGGGAAATTACCTGTTCTGTGATATCATCCACTGGCATTTTAGGCCAAGCAAAATTACTGAAAATGACCTCTGAAAATTAGGTACATCGTAAATGTCGCCATTTTTTACACATTACTAAATCACCTCTCACGGCGTTATTTACAGCATGTTTTGAAATCTAAATTTAGGATATTTACTCGGAGAAATGAATTTCCAAAATAGCATATTAGTGATCACGGGTATCTGTCTTTTATGAAATCACCAATGATCATTCCAAAACGTCTCCGATAACCCGGGAATCGTTTCGAATGTTTTGGAAAATACGCAAACACGAACGCCAAAGTGAACTTTCCGCCATATTGGCTAATGTTTACAAAATCACGTTTCAGGTACACCGGTTATGAGGCGCCTGTAACATCGCGTATATTTCAAACTTAGCTGCCATACACACATCCTTGAATTACTCATACATTTTAGAATCAAATGACCAATGGTCTTTGTCACCAATACAAAGTGGCTGGATGAATTCAAGCAAAATATGTTAGGTGTGAAAACGAACGCTGTGCTCGAAAAACTGCACTTGTTTGAAATGTAAACAAAGCAAAAAACAGACTTTACACAGTGTAGCATTTTCTCCTATTTTGAGCTTTCCATTCGTCTATTCGTTCAAAATATTGGCTCAACATTTGCAGAATAGTCATAGGAAGAGAATCGTAGGAAGAAATAGGGAATTTAAAATAGATACATTGACAACTTCTGTTGAAAATATCAAATCAATGCAAAGTTACCGTCCTGGTTGACGCCATGACTGACGCAAAATCACGCACAACGACAACGGTATTTATCGGAATTTCTGACTATTTCGGTTTGTTTCAATGAAAATTATAACAACAAATAACAGTACATAGATTGTCAGAATGTTTCTGATTACTTACATGTCACATTTATGTAAATACGATCCCTGAATCAACGAAAGTCCCCTCGTAAAATCCCGCGTACTGTTGACAGTGAACACGCCATTTTGTAAAAGTCTGTCACAGGCAGTGATGTCATACGTCAACATTGTTGTACATATTTGGTAATTTCTTTGAGGTGAAGGTGTTTGAATGAGAGTGCACACGATCATTGTACCATGCTGTTTACAGTTTCAGTTATGATGCAGATTTTGCATATCTTTTATACATTGTTTCACACAATTAGATTCTAATTTCACTTTGGACATTTGTCAATGTTCAAAATGATATCATACGTAAATATCGGCCACAACATGTATGAAGGAACCTTGATAATAAACTGTTTGTTTGAACATTATTTATATAACAATTGATAGGTTTTTAGTGTCGCATACGATATTTCTTTCCTTTGGACAAGTGTTACAAGAAGTGTAAATGTAACTGCAGCATGTACGCATTTCTTGGGATGTGCAATAGTCAATATTATAAGTTCATATTAGCAATGTCCATGAATAGCCGTTTCATTTTATTTTATAACTAAAACTGAATATATTACTTTTACAAAAAAAATCGGTAAAATATATGCACACATTTCTGAAAGAACTGTCTTGGTCTTGGAGCTGTTTTTGATGTCGTTTGATACACAGAACAGTGATATCTAATGATTCGCCAGGTGCGCGTTAGTCACACACATTTTACGAATTATTCCTCTCGTTTTGCATTATATAAACAATGGGTTCATTCTTTTTTCAATATTGTGATCACGGGATATTAAACTGTTTACTTAATTTCTCCAGAAATTTTAAAATGTATAACATAAAATCCATGCCAGGTACCCCGTTGGTTCAACCTTATACGATTATCCTGATAATTCTATACCAATATGATAGTGCTTTCTTCGTATCTTTTATTGTTTCATTCTGAGACGAGATGAAGAGAAATACTAACATGATAATGAACAAATATATGTCCAATACAGAATATAATTTTGGTTGTTTTGAAATATTCTTTTGTGAATTTCATAACGTAAATTGATGCCAAACAGGTGCGTGTCCTGTCCAATTAGGATACACGATAAACTATCTAATTGTTTACATATTGAAGACATTATTTACTTGGTGAAAGCAGTAATTTTATGTTGTGTCGAAAAAGCGTCAAATTCCGTTTTACACATCGAGATTTTCCAAACCATGAACGAAAATTATGGGAGATATATATAAATCAAAATACCAGTGTCGTCTTTCTCCGACGTTATCAAAGACATAAAACCAGCCATGACGTCAAAAGGAATGGTGTTATTTTGGGGTATTTCATTACATTTGATGATAAAGCTAGTGCTCCATTAATAATGGTGCACCATAAGTTAAATTACACTTACACACTCAGGAGAATGTTGGAATATAAGGACTAAGTTATAGGTTAGATAGGGTCATCCATTTCTCTATTACCTTTTTTTATGAAGTACGATTTCATCATTTCTTGTGGGTTTTATTTATAAGAAAACGTATACAGTTTCAATATCGATATTTGTGTTGGAATAGTTTGGTTCCTCGTGAACGAAACACAACGAAAATACATTGTCCTTACCCACAGCTAATTCTCACCCATTGACCTGAGTTACAATAACCTAGTGCTAAGCATAGCGGAGTTATGCCCCCTTTTCTTTGTACGCGTGTAACCTCTCGGTCGCCTTTTGACGTCATAGAGAAAAATCAGTTTTCGTCATTTACGGCATGCTATTTTTGGCATTGAATGTATGTCGTTACACATACGCATATAACTCCATTTGATATATAGTTATGTCGTTCAGATATTAGGCAGTATTTTGTTCGCTGACAGTGTCCGTAAAGCTTCGAAATAAAAAAAATCGTCGCACAGTACTTTTATCGATGTACGATAAAAAGCGGAGAAATTTACTGTTTTTCAATGCAGAATAAATTCTCGGACAACACTTAGAAGCGTATTTCTTTAAAACCGGTTTAATATTTGCAGTTAACTTAACACCATCAAATAGGAAATTTAATATTCTCCACCTCTGCGTAAGTTTATAGCCAGAGGTAGATCCAGTGCCGCGTGAGCGCAATTCTCGCACAACACTTTTCCGATCTTAGGAAAATGTGCGTCAGAAAAAAAAGTCGGCATCCAGAGGGTTAAGCAGTAGCCAGAACTAAGATCTGATTTTAATGAGAGAATAATAAAAGAATTGGTTCTTGGGCAATTACTTTTGAAAACATTGTACTTGTTCAAAATGGTATGCAACCAAATACCAGTAAACAGTTGTACCATCAACCTGGGAAAGGGCCTCCCTACATAAACAAGCATACAAACTCCTATTGCCGCCATGACCACAACACGAGATGCGCAGTAAAGCAGTGAGCATGTAAGGGGAGGTAACTGTGTGCTATACTGAATAGCATTGTTTTTAGTGTTATGATTTTTTGGATTTTTTGGAGGATGTAATTTATAATGAGCATCGATCTACGCAGTTGGGATCAATGACATGATTCAACCAAGTCAGCGAGCCTGACCACCCGATCCCATTAGTCGCCTTTTACGACAAGCATAGTCGCCTTTTACGGCAAGCAAGGGTTGCTGAAGACCTATTTGACCCCGGAATCTTCACGGGTCCTCCACGTCTAGTGTCCGCGTACCTTGAGAGTGTAGGACTGGTTCCACAGTCTGACATAATGACATGACTACACGTCTAGTGTCCGCGTACCTTGAGAGTGTAGGACTGGTTCCACGGTCTGACATAATGACATGACTACACGTCTAGTGTCTGCGTACCTTGAGCGTGTAGGACTGGTTCCACAGTCTGACATAATGACATGACTACACGTCTAGTGTCTGCGTACCTTGAGAGTATAGGACTGGTTCCACAGTCTGACATAATGACATGACTACAAGTCTAGTGTCTGCGTACCTTGAGAGTGTAGGACTGGTTCCACAGTCTGACATAATGACATGACTACACGTCTAGTGTCTGCGTACCTTGAGCGTGTAGGACTGGTTCCACAGTCTGACATAATGACATGACTACACGTCTAGTGTCTGCGTACCTTGAGCGTGTAGGACTGGTTCCACAGTCTGACATAATGACATGACTACATGTCTAGTGTCTGCGTACCTTGAGAGTGTAGGACTGGTTCCACGGTCTGACATAATGACTGACTACACTTCTAGTGTCTGCGTACCTTGAGAGTGTAGGACTGGTTCCACAGTCTGACAAAATGACATGACTACACGTCTAGTGACCGCGTACCTTGAGAGTGTAGGACTGGTTCCACGGTCTGACATAATGACATGACTACACTTCTAGTGTCCGCGTACCTTGAGAGTATAGGACTGGTTCCACAGTCTATAATGACATGACTACACGTCTAGTGTCCGCGTACCTTGAGAGTATAGGACTGGTTCCACAGTCTGACATAATGACATGACTACACATCTAGTGTCCGCGTACCTTGAGAGTATAGGACTGGTTCCACAGTCTATAATGACTACACGTCTAGTGTCCGCGTACCTTGAGAGTATAGGACTGGTTCCACAGTCTATAATGACATGACTACACATCTAGTGTCCTCGTACCTTGAGAGTATAGGACTGGTTCCACAGTCTATAATGACATGACTACACTTCTAGTGTCCGTGTACCTTGAGAGTGTAGGACTGGTTCCACAGTCTGACATAATGACATGACTACACTTCTAGTGTCCGCGTACCTTGAGAGTGTAGGACTGGTTCCACAGTCTGACATAATGAGCCCCCCGGAGGTCCTGCCACGTGATAAGGTTGTGGAAAGGTCGACCCGTCTCCCTGGGTAAAGAAAGAAGCTATCAAAAAGAGTAAAATCCTAGATATGTTTTATATTTGTATACTTATCCTGCATTACTCCTTCATGCGTTTACTGCTTCTTGACAGAAAGAAGAGTTGTGTGAGGTCTTGCTGAATAAGAAGTTATGATTTGTGGCGTCATTACTTCTGTGGCCACGTGGGAGCTGTGTGATGGGATTAGCCACACAACCAGTTGGAATAACTTCTTCTTCGGCAGGACCTCACACAGCTCATATAATTTTTTTTGGTATTTTAACGCCACATTTAGCAATATTCCAGCAATACGACAGTGGTCTGTAGTGAGTGAGTGTGTGAGTATGGTTTTACGCCGCTTCTAGCAATATTCCAGCAATATCACGGCGGGGGACACCAGAAATGGGCTTCACACATTGTACCCATGTCGGGAATCGAACCCGGGTCTTCGGCATGACGAGCGAATGCTTTAACCACTAGGCTACCCGACCGCCCCCGATGGTCTGTAAATAATCGAGTCTGGACCAGACAATCTAGTGATTGATATCATGAGCATCAATCTACGCAGATGGGATATGATGAATTACGCCGCTTTTAGCAATATTCCTGCAATATCAAGGTGGCGGGCAACACCAGAAACGGGTGGCACACAATGTACCCATGTGGGGAATGGAACCCGGATCTTTGGAGTGATGAGCAAACGCTTTAACCACTAGGCTACCTCACTGTCCCAGAGGGTAACGTAGGTACATCTACAAGAGACACTGGGCGTGTACCGACCTGTCCCACGTCATGAAGGTCGCCCTCTGAGTGGCCATGCCCATACACTTGACCTGCTGGACAGTGATGCCGGCCGCTGGAACACAACAGGAAACACAGCTAAAGGCACTGGGGCTCACCTTCCTTAAGTCATGAACTTGAAAACATGCTACAGACAGGCATACCTCCCAGACTTAATCTCAATGTACACTCTCACTAGGAGTTTTCGCTCTGACAGTAAGATCCTGCTCAACAATATTGTGACAAACCTAAGTCATTTGGACATAGATCGTTCCAATGTTATGGTGCTGGACTATGGAATCAACCCCCACTCGAACTAAAGTCAGCACCCTCTCATTCAAGACTGAGCTAAAGTCATATTTGTTCACAAAGTTCTATTGCATACACACTGTATATAGCAATTTTCCTCAGGTAATCAATGTAGTGCTATGACCTTTTACTGAGTGTATGGAATTTGGCGCCACAAAAATGTACTGCTGCCTAGTCGAAACCACCAAGAACGTGAAGACTCCCAAACACTGCAGCCTTCTGGTCTGAGACCTGCATCACTTCAGGCTTTCCTCCCACATCAAGCTGAAACGCCGTGACATAACTTCAATACTGCTCAAAGTGGCGTCAAACCCAACTCACTCTTAACTTTTATGCATACAGGATGCAATATTTCGTGTCTGGTATATCCCCGGTGAAGGTTTGAATGAGTGCACATATTTCTGTCTGCAGCGGACGGTTGAGCATGTTCTTTCATGAGTGAGTGAGTGAGTGAGTGAGTGAGTGAGTAAGTGAGTGGGTGGGTGGGTGAGTGAGTGGGGGTGGGTGAGTGAGTGAGTGAGTGAGTGAGTGAGTGAGAGTGAGAGTGAGTGAGTGAGTGGGAGATCGGGTGGGTGGGTGGGTGAGTGAGTGAGTTGGATCGGGTGGGAGATCGGGTGGGTGGGTGAGTGAAGAGGTATTTATGCCATTCAGTCAAACCTCAACACAGGCTGATTGTGTGCACAAGGAATGAGAAGGCGGGAGAGTGAGTTGATATCGCTTTGAACAGTACAACAATTATTTCATGGGTGAGCTTCAAAACCAAGAGTGACACAGATCGTCAACATTTACAACTCTCAACAAACCATCAATCCAGGCCATGATGCTGACACAACAACGATCATAATCTGGGCAAATCTGAGATTAAAACACATGATCAGAAGATACAGTAGATCCTGGCAGGACAAGGGACACAACTCTGCACAGTGAATTATGGCACCTTCAACCAGTGACTTACACAGAGCCTGCCATTCTTCAGACTTCCTCCTTTTATGGTCCTGATTCCTTGAGAATGGGCAGTTTTGCAGAGCAACTTATGGCACTACCTGCTGGGCCACCTTGATTGAATCTGGTGAATAATCAATGACACAAGTGCGTGCGGGTCCTTACCTCCGATACTCTCCCGCATGACCTGCTTGACCTGTTGGAAGAGGACGTCGGGGTCCATCTCCGCCCATCCCGTCTTCGGATGCAGGATGTCAATCTGACAAACAACATTAATTGTTCAGGATATATTTACGACCACATGTCAAGTGTTGAGATTTCACAATCATAAGGGCGTTCGGGTAGCTTAGTGGTTAAAGTGTTCGCTCCTCACGCCAAACACCCGGGTTTGATTCCCCACATGGGTACAATGTGTGAAGCCCATTTCTGGTGTCCCCCGCCATGATATGACTAAATATTGCTAAAAGCGGCGTCAAACCAAACTCACTCACTCACAATCCTATTGTGGATCATATCCAGGGTTTTATCTTGGTGTCTTCAGATGTTCAGCCCCATGGCTACACCATGTTCCGAAAATGTCCAATTAATAATAATACAGTCAAGTCTCGCTAATCCGATAATCGGCTTTCTCCGACACTAATGATAGGAACTGATTAAATCAGTGCTTAGACCCGTTAATCCGACAGTCTCGCACTCCGACTCCGACACCTAATTTGCAGTAAATTACCGAAATCACTCATTAATCAGTCTCGTTAACCCGACACAGTGATCAGTGTACTTCGAGGTCATCTCCCCGTCGGCTGGTAGCTGTATGATACAACAGCTGCAGAGATAAACTTGCTTAACAATAAACAATTACTGCTTTAAGTAAACAAAACAGGATTATCACATGCCTAGATTACCCCAATCTACAATCTCAAGATACAACTTCTCACTACCGCTGAGGACATCCCATTACAGATCACGTCAGAACGACTTTTCACAAACTTTGACCGACCAATGAAATGACTAACAGGAAGTCAACGTTAGCCACTAAGAAAGCAGCTTTCTTAAGCTTTGCGGTACCATTTTCAAACTGGCAAGTTCCATTCCAGACTATGCTTTTTAAAGTATTTTGAATAAGTCATACAGTCCGTAACAGTTGTTTTGTGTTAAGCTCTAGAGGTTGCATGATTAGAAAACACTTTCCGCTAACAATGTAACATAACAATATGAAAATAAAAAATTTCATTATTTTAATTACGGGTTTGTCTCGTTATCTATCGTGTAGTTGTCCAAATTTCGATCACAAACATTGATTCTACTTAATTTCATTTATCCGACATAATCATATGCAACCAACCATGTCAGATTAATGGGACTTGACTGTATAAAGTGTGCACTTCATTGCACTAGTCACTATACACAAGGAACGTGTGCTTAAAGTGCTAACATTATTACCCTGGTCAGTGGACCAGTCATTACCATCTTATCCTTCCGGGTACCCATTTGTACTGCTGGGTGAACAGCATATTCCGAACTAAGTCGCGTGCTGTGGACACACCCCATGTACGACATGTGCTCCAGTGTGGGCCAGGACCGAAGCCCTGGTGTTACAATTCAAACTACCCCCAGAGAGTTTTATCATTACACTGATATAAGTGAGTGAGTGAGTGAGTGAGTTCGGTTTAACGCTGCTTTTAACAGTATTCCAGTTATATCACGGCGTGTCAGCTTAATGTGGGAGGAAAGCCCGAAGTGATGCATGTCTCAGACGTTTACCACTTCGGTGAAACCCACGAGCACAGGTATGGTGCTGACAAACCTAGAAACATAATCGGGGCAAACCTGGATTCGAACCCACAATCATAGGTTTCTGACGTGCCCAAGGGACGCAACTCTGCACAGCGAATTGCGGGGCCTTAGAAGACTGGGCCACCCGTGGCCCCCCCTGATAAGGACTTGCATTTTAGACAATATGAGTTTGGGTCAATTTCTGGTCAGTGACAGCAACTTTAAACTTGAAATCAGTGTTTTCACAATATCATCAACCAAAAATAAGTAAAAAAACCAACATATTTACAGTCGCTATCAATATACATAAATCATATAAAATACTATACTTAAAATCTGTTGAAAATTTATCTTAAAACCTTAAAAAACACAAACTATGATGAATCATGAGAGGAAACAAAAAACAAACAACAATAATGATGGCTCGCCCTGGAAGACAAATGGTGATGTGACAGATTCCCACCTTCTTGCTGCTTGTTCCCCTAATGACTCCATTCTTGTCGTAGATGTGACCTCGTAGTGTGGTCGTCCCAACGTCCAAGGCCAAGATGTACTGAGCAGCATCGGCCGTCACGTTGTCCTCCCCCATCGTTATTGTTATGCTCCTTGCATGCTACCTGACTTCCTGTAACATCAAGGGGAGACTACTGTAAATCACTGTGGGTCAGTGAAAGCCTCTTCAAGAGTGTACTATAAATACAACCATAGCTCACCTGGTACAAGCTTACAATTAACGTATTACCAGTATTTCAGTAATATCATGACGATTCAGCCATGCCTGGCATGTAATAATCTTGTATATTAAGCGACAACACAATGTCAACGGGGCACTCACACAGATGTTAACATGCAGTTGTAAATTAGAAAGTTTCAATGCTTTTTTACATCTAAACTGATAACATCCTATACGATTTCTAAACCTAAGATTTATACAATGCGCCACACTAAATACATTCAATAGCATAAACATGACTTGCCATACCTTGCAGCCTTAGGAAATTGTTTCTTTTAAGACTAGAGGACCAGAGGATGAGAGTAAACCTTAACTTCCTGGTCCTAGATGCTTGAACAAGACACGAATGTTTACTTTGTTTACATATTCTGTCAATTTTATTGAGTTCCAATTTGAAGCAAAATTGCGGCATTGAAAAATGATACAGAATAATGGCCCTCAACTGCTGATAGTCAATAAGGACTACCGTCATTCGATATTTACCTGTCCTCAGTACAATTCGGTTGACTCGGGCTAGCAGGCTAGCGTGAATTTTGAAGCCTGCCTTGTCTTAACAAGTTAGAACCCAATGTAATCACATTGCAGACGCAACAGGAAGTCCACCTATAGTTTCTCAGTTTTGTTGAACAATGAATGTATCTATCTGGTCTTTACATCAACACATTGTTGTGGAGTGTGTATCTTATCTCCATGATGCTATCACATGGCCTGCACATGGTCACTAAACATGTACACAATCTGGTGACCCTTGACCTGGAGGCCGACCTGTCTACTGGAGAGTGAGTGAGTGAGTGAGTGAGAGAGTGAGTGAGTGAAGGAGGTGAGTGAGTGAGTGAGTGAGTTAAGCAGTTAAGGAGTGAGTGAGGGAGGTAGGGAGGTCTTCCATGAGTGATTGCAGATAGAATATTGGACCCGTGAAGATTCCGGGGTAGAATAGGTCTTCAGCAACCCATACTTGCCGTAAAAGGTGACTATGCTTGTCGTAAAAGGTGACTAACGGGATCGGGTGGTCAGGCTCGCTGACTTGTTTGATGCATGTCATCGATCCCAATTGCGTAGATCAATACTCATGATGTCATCACTGGATTGTCTGGTCCAGACTCGATTATTTTACAGACCGCGTCATATAGCTGGAATATTGCTGAATGCGGCGTTAAACAACAAACAAACAAACAAACAAGATAGAATATTGATGATTGCAGCATTAAAATACGAATGAACAAAACATTCACAACAACAAAAATGAGCCATAGCTCTTAACATGAACCCAATCTGCTAAGTTAGTGAGTGAGAGTGAGTGAGTGAATATGGTTTTACGCCGCTTTTAGCAATATTCCAGCAATATCACGGCAGGGGACACCAGAAATGGGCTTCACGCATTGTACCCATGTCGGGAATCGAACCCGGGTCTTCGGCGTGACGAGCGAACGCTTTAACCACCAGGCTACCCGACCGCCCCCAATCTGCTAAGATGTGGAAACCCAGGAGACCTGCACCTTAGCAAGTGACTTAGCATGATTACCTCTTGGTTACCTGTGGAGACTAGGACACTGCATCACTGAGCAGCAGGTGCTTGTCCAGCCCAGGCTTATATACAGATTACCTTTCTGAAAGAACTGCCCTGGTAGGACACTGCATCACTGAGCAGCAGGTGCTTGTCCCAGCCCAGGCTTATATACAGATTACTTTCTGAAAGAACTGCCCTGGGGGTATGATAAAAAAACAATTACCTTCATTACAAGGCCATGTCTAACCAGGGCTAAACCACTTATGGTATTTCCGATGGGCTGAACAAAAATAATCACACAGAAGTAAATACAATTTGATTTGTTTCTTGAGGTGAGGGGAAATGTGGTTTAACTTTGTGTGCAAGGTAATTGCACTTATATAGCAATTTGCAAGCATGTGTGTGTGTGTGTGTGTGTGTGTGTGTGTGTGTGTGTCTGTGTGTGTGTGTGTGTGTGTGTGTGTGTGTGTGTGAGCGTGCTTGTAATAGTCTGGACTGATACCGATTTATAGTGCTAGCCAGCTGAGATACCATGCCACAGTTTAACATGGATACCCCACTCAAGCACTGTATACGGACTCCGAGCTGGCCATTCCCTGTTTTATCCCCTTAATGCTTAGCACCAGGCAGGGTAACAACAAGCACCAACTTTTAACGTCTGTTGGTATGAAGTGACCTTTCGGTCTCTGGGCAGAAGCTCTATTCACAACACTTTATCACGGCGGGGTACACCAGAAATGGGCTTCACACATTGTACCCATGTCGGGAATCAAACCCGGGTCTTTGGCCTGACGAGCGTTCAGGGAAAGTAATCACAAGTCTTAGATAAAATGGCCACAGCCGCCATGAAAACATGGTTCAAGACCCATTAGGCTGGCGTATATCTTTATAGCTGCAATGAGGTCATGATACAGATATAATAAAATACACTCTTCCATTTTATTGAGAACCATTGTAATATGCTAGGGTCAGATAAGTGACTGTTGCTTAAATTTTCAATTATTCATTTAAGTTGTTTGGTTGTTTAACGCCACACTCAGCATTATTCCAGCTATATGACGGCGGTCTGTAAATAATCAAGTCTGGACCAGACAATCCAGTGATTAATATCATGAACATCGATCCATGCAATTGGGATCGATGACATGCATCAACCAAGTCAGCGAGCCTGACCACCCGATCCCGTGAGTCGCCTTTTACGACAAGCATAGTCACCTTTTACGGCAAGCATGGGTTGCTGAAGACCTTTTCTACCCCGGAATCTTCACGGATCTATTCATTTAAGAATTGAACGTCAGTTTGGATGGGTTCATTGAAGTGTGAACGATATAAAAGTGCTGGTTAAACTTTCGTGTGACACGGTTTAACCAAACTAACTTTCAATTCTTATGATTTCATACTTTGCAACACAATGATTGCTTACTTTGAAGTTCTCTGGTTTCGTATTGCAACAATGTTACTTTGTCGGTATTTGTCGGTTCTCGGTCACACACTCTTCCCCACTCATACTCAGTTACGCAAAGAAAATAGTTCTTTGACTATATCATGTATATACCACATAAGCCGAAAATATGTCAACATCAACATAATTTTATTCTCTGACCAAATGGACAAATAATGTTTGGAATTAATCTTATCTTCAAAAAAGGAAAGTAAATATAACCATAAACATGGCATCGATGCACCGAGGCGAGGTCAACCTTCAAGCGTGGATTTATATATGGCGTCACAAAAGTTTGTAAAGAGGTGCATTTCGAGTTGGACGGGAGCATGAGGATGAAATTTATACTTACTGCTGTTGAAAATGAGTTTATGGAGCAGTTATGGAAAACACCCCGACGCCTGAACCCTCTCATGACACTAGCAAATTGGGAATATCACTTATTTATGAATATGTTGCTTGTGTTTGGATAATCGCAAACCAATTCGGACAATGTGGAATAGACTGGTGGGGATTGTACTGAGTGCTCTGAAACTTGTGTGTTTTGTGTGAGGGTGTGTTATATTTGGAGTTTGGGATTTGTCGTGTGTGCTGTACTACTTTGCTTAACTGGTGTTTCTTATCACCTAAGATGGACCTACTGTATGACCTGATGCCAGCTTCATTTCAGTGCCCCGTCATTCCTCATGTGCCGCCGCTTCTCAGCCTAGAATGCACGGAGAAGGTCGGCCAACTCAGAAACCGGAATACAAATGTAGTAATTCCATCTACGGGTATTTTCTCGTCTCCGATGACCAATCAGTAATCAGGTTTTAATTTGGGATTGATCAGGAGCAGTCGCTTTGATCTGTGTGTCGGTGGCCACATCCGAGCACTGGGTACAACATTGTTTTCATTCGCAGTTGTCTCGGTGCTAATGTTACAAGACCAGACAAAAATAATAAACTAATTATATTCCTGATGAATGCAGGATTAAAAAGAAAATAGAAAAATGAGTTGAATGTAAACACAGATAAAAAATTCGGGGAAACCCCAGAAAGAAGTTCCGGCAAAAGTTCACACGATCAATTTCACAAAATATTGTTCACATCGTGTGAACTTTTCTGTCGATGTAATATGTTTCCATGGCAACAAAGCCGCACCCTGCTTGTAGTGCTGGTGAATATTAATCAGTCGGGGCCACAGAGTGTGTGCCACTCGTCCCAGTCATGCACAAGTCACGTTGACAGGTTCAGACGCAACAACAAAATTTAAACTTGAATGTTTTTCTCCATTCTTGAAAAATGAACAGAAGACAAAAAAATAGATAATAAAAAAACCTTAATTGTTACACATTGTTCATTTAGATCAGTTGTTGATACAAACAATGGGGCACAAGTTTTAAACTATTATACTGGGACTTTTCCCAGGGGGCCTAATTTATACCTGGGCTCAGAGATATAATGTGAATTACAAAAGTAAGTAGCTATAAATTCTGATAGCTGTGCTCGGAAATATTAAAAATAAACCTGAGCATACAATTTATCATCCAAAACTGTCTTCCACAGGATATATTGCTGCAATAAAATTGCATCACAATGTTTTGGCGGCCATTGTGACATCATTGGTTACTATGACATTAGAACTATTAGAACTGAAGCTGGTTGTACTTTTCACAAACACTGGTTATTACTGTAGGAGGAATGGTTTTGGATAATATATAGAATCTTATCCTTGTGTCTTTTGATATCAGACGTATCAACTCAAGTCGATTAAAGTTTCAAACTTGATGTTTTAAACTTTTATATAACATAGCTACATGATAAATCACAAAGAACAATAAAGAACAAAGCCTTGTGGTATAAAACTCATAGAGGTACACATAAAACCCTGTGCACCCCGAGTGATCCTGCTACAATGAATTTATCTTACTGACATGTTAAAAAAATGACATTGTAAAAGAAATCAAACAAATTCAAAATTTATAGAAAACAGCTATTAACTTAGTAAGGTTAACTTGTGCTATGTCACGTGAATTCCATTGACTCGGGAAATAGCGTGTGTTTTTTTGCTTTGAACTTGGGTATAAGGGATTTATTTGTCTCTCAGAAATCCATGTGCAGCCTGATTTGCTCATGGCGGGGTATAAGAGATTTATGGCCACACTGAGAAATGTATAACCCTCCAAAGCAGGTTACATAATATTTTATCAAGATCACATGGACCAATCAGATCTCATCATTCTGACATGGAGGTATGATAAAGGGAGGCTTGTTACTAAATCCAAAAAGTTTGACCATATCACACCAATTCTACGGAACCTCCACTGGCTCAAAATCAATGAGAGAATCCAGTATAAAGTGATGCTGATTGTGTTCAATGCGAGACACAATCAAAAACCAACTTATATCAGCGAGCTTCTTGAAGAGTACGTGCCTGGGAGATCTCTCAGATCAAGCTGCCAGTCCCTACTCTCTGTGCCTAGTGTTAGAACGGCGACTTTTGGAGGTCGGAGTTTCGCCAAAGTTGCCCCCGAGCTATGGAATAGGCTGCCATTGGATATCAGGAACATTGACAGTCCTACTTTGTTCCGATCAAGACTCAAAACCTATCTTTTCACCAAATCTTTCTTAGAGTATTGAGGCTTTGTGTTTTCTTAGCTGTGTAATGTCTCTTTTTTTTGTGTAGACTCAAATGAAGTGCTTTTGAGCAGTTCTTCGAACTGGATACCAGCGCTTTATAAATCTGTAGTTATTATTATTATTAAATATGACAATCGGTATGGGGAGATAAGGTACAGGTAATATGACGTGAGGGTTGTGAGAATATGCAGGAAATAGACACCTGTGTATAAATGGACCTGTCCGCCATTGCAAGGGCCGAATTCCATTTTGGGAGTCATCATTATAAAATATGGGTAAATATTTTTAAAGTTTGTATATTTTATCATCTAATCCTTAAAAAGGCTTAAATAATGTTGATATCTCATGTAAGAAATAAATGATGATTTGGAGTTGTTTATTGTACAATAAACACTGCAGGAAAAATAAACTATACGGCGCTGTGCCACTCATGATTTATTCTCCCTACAGTGTTTTATTGTACGATAAACAACTCCCACTCATCGTTTATTTCTTACATATACTACACATCAACTGTCTATGTCTAAACAATATATATGCGGTTTTATTGTGTTAAGAAATTAGTGGAAAATCAGTTAACATCATAAGGGCTGAACTTTTAATCACAAATAGGTATCAGAACGTACTGATTGGTTTAATACTGCTTTGAACAGTATTCCATTTATATGACAACGTGTCAGTTCGATTCGGGAGGAAAGCCTGAAGAGACGTTTATCAATTTGGTGAGCACGGGTATGGTACTGACAGACATAGAAACATAATCATGGCAAAACGAGATCCAAACCCACAATCATAGGTTTGGATGTGCCCAAGACACCCAACTCCATACAGTGAAGTGAGCCCCCTTAGGTGACTGCGCCACCTGTTGGGCAAACTGACGGATTATACATGAAATCATAATTATCTAATGGTTAAAAATATCCAATTTTTGTGATAACCGTCTTCGGCGTAATAAGCGCCCTGCTCTTATAGGTGTCCATGGCGATATTTCCTAATATATTGGCTAGTGAACAATCCCAATTAGCACCCCTTCCGATTGATCAATGTACACAAGACTTATTTATTTGTGTATAATACGTGTGTTATATGCATCCTTAATTATGGGAAATTAAATTCTGGAAAAATATATCTGTTGTATATATAAACATTTCAGGCTGTCAGCATAAACCACGAAATTTACGATCTTTCATATCTGTTGCTTTTCACCAAAATTATATTCTAATAAGAGCCCCCTATTTCTAATTTTGAGAGCGCCCTGGGTGCTTATTATGTCGAATACGGTACCATGATCAGAAAATGAATTCTCTACATACAAAATAGATAAGATACTATCAAAAGGCATCAGTTCACCACTATGTGCAAAGTTTGGTTGAGATATCTCTCGTTTTTTTTAGTTCTGCTCAGGAAATGAAACGTGACGGACGGACGGACGGACGGACAACACCCACTCCTGTGTCTCCCCTCCACTTCATTGCGGGTGATGATAATAACCCCAGCTCTGAATTAATGTATCATTTTTCCTCGAGGTATAAGTTTCACATCACAAATATTCCTGTGTGACATCACTATGCTCTATACAACAAAATAACTCCATTCATAATATTAACAATATTAAAAATCATTAAATACATCAGCTGTCTCACAAATAATAAAATACACACAAATGATCCCCATATATAAGACCCTTAGGTGTACTTCTCTACGGTGTATTTCTCTACGATGTATCTCCATGACGCTTTACCAGTTGACATTAGATCGTAAATGTCATGTGAACATTATTCGTTGACATAAATAGCCTAACACATCGGAGAAATCAGAACACGAGTCAATGATCTGTCGCAGGAATTCATAGCTGTGCACAAATAAAAACATATTTTTTTATTGACTCATATATGATCATACGAATTCGAATATGGGTCAATAATAAACATGTTTATTTACATGCCGCCACGAATTGATGTGGTTCAGTGAACTTAACCAATGTTAACACCGAGGCCATATTTAGTGACCGAAACGCATGACAAAACGCCGAGGCCATTTAGTGACCGAAACGCATGACAACACTGTATCCAAATACCGCTTTCCGATTGACGGAATATTTTTCATCGAAAAAGTCTGACAACAAATCATAACTAATCCAATAAGACATATTATGAAGTAACTAAACCACGAATAACTTTAGTTGCCATATTTTTTACAACTGCCAACTCTATAACAACTGCAGTGACTGAGTGGAAATTTAACTGAAATGTTCTTACTTTCAAGGAAACTGTCCAATAAATCCACGAATTTAGTGTTCGGCATGTGAAGCTGCTCTGCGTGTCAGTGTTCTTATCGAAAACGAACTAATCTTTGACCTGCTGGCTCGTCACCGCTTGTTGAACTTGCATCAATCTGTGCCTTCCTGATCAGCCGATCGGATATGGGCGGGGCCACAATGTACTCTCTGCACTGTTCAGTTCCCTACAATGTCGTTAGCTGCCTAAGCGTATACCGGGATAGTATATATTAATGTGGGCGCGCTGAAATGAGTTCAGAGTGGGATTCGCTGCGTGGAGTCTAGTAGCAGGGTCAGGTAACTGTTGTCCCCAGGTATGCCGGGGGAAGTGGGATTTTACAAGCGCTTCGTTCTCACTTCTCAAGACACAAGGCGGACCCATTTCCCGCAAGGCCACAAGAAATCAATTATCAGATGTTCCTCCAAATTTATAAAAAGAAATGTGAAGGAGGTATTTCATTTTTTTAATCAAACTGATCAAATCATCTGTTTTACATTTACAGATGGGGCATGGGTACATATTTATGTTCCGATGCTCATGATGTCAATCACTGGATCATCTGGTCAATGTTCAATTCGGCACAATTGATTTTGTGAGATTTTTTTGTCAGAAAAATGTTGCAGCACAGAAGCAGATGCAGTTTTCTAAAGTGGGCAGTGGGGTGGGCGAGAGCATATTTCTAACAATTAATTTTGTTTTGAAAGAGGTGAGGTGAAACGCACTTTATAGCGACGTGCATGTGTGGAAGCTTGTACCGGTGGGGATAGTCGGTCATACAACCCATGCAAATCTAGAACATAGGTCTTCAGCAACCCATGCTTGCTGTAAAAGGCGACTATGCTTGTCGTAAGAGGCGACTAACGGGATCGGGTGGTCAGACTCGCTGACTTGGTTGATGCATGTCATCTTATCCCAATTGCCTGTATCGATGCTCATGATGTCAATCACTGGATTGTCTGGTCCAGACTCGATTATTTACAGACCGTCGCATATAGCTGGTAGATTGCTGAGTGTGGCGTTAAACAAAAAAAAAAAAAAAAACATTTGGTAAGTCCAGATTACTGCAGTATCTGAAAATGAAGAGTCCATGGGCTCCTTTTTATTATATGTCATTACCATAATTTATCAACTGTTTTCTTCTCTAAAATATGTTCATTTTGGAGACTAGAAGTTAGTCTATAGTTGGGACTAATGTCGGATATAATTTTAGTCAACTGAGATATCATGCCGCAGTTTAACCCCACTAAGGCACAGTATACTTTCTCCGAGTCGACGAATCCTTGTTTTAGCCACTTAATGCCGAGCGCTGGGGAGGGAAACAAAAAGTAACATCTTTTAACGAGGCCAGGAATCAAACCCCGAACCTTCCGCTCTTTGGGCAGACGCCCAATCCACTAGACCACGGAGGTGGTCACTCATTTTCAAGAAGGACTATGGAATATGCGTCATGAGTAGAAGACACTAATTAGCGTCATGTGAGACAAACTAGGACAATGTCTCTGTAATTTGGAGTCAAGAGTTGCCAACTTTTATGCGTATATACAGAGTTGAGTGGAAGTTCTTAGATGTGTACCACGTGATCTGATGTCTAGCTGTCACATTTATGTGCTACTCAAAAGAAGTTAAAAAAAGACCATTTTTCATATGACTATATTAGACTGCAGTCATATGAAATATTTGGGTGTTCTTTAAATTCTTTTCAGTCGTATATATGACCTCATTAAAGTGCTAATTTCGGAAGAACTCAACTGGAAACAGCTTCACTGACTTTTGTCCAGTTGAGCAAATAACAACACTAAAATATTTTGGCTGCAGCATTTAATGGAGACTGAAAATAATATATTTTTGTTGTAGCACAGATGTGTATATACTTCTTCATATTTGTACAATATATTCACATAAAGGACATGTCCGTATAAATATAGTAATACTCTCGTACATAAATATAATAACTATGAACATAGCACAGGGTTTATCACAGGTCTCAAAGGCAATAATCTCCCCAAAGCTGGCTGAACACGTCTATTTGCCCTTTTCTAAATAATACCATAAGGCTTTATGATTCTTATCAACAGATACCTACTTTCATTGACTAACACCATGTTTCATTGACTAACACCATGTTTCACAGACTTGCACACCATGTTTCACGGACTTGCACACCATGTTTCACGGACTTGCACACCACATTTCACGGACTTGCACACCATGTTTCACGGACTTGCACACCATGTTTCACGGACTTGTACACCATGTTTCACGGACTTGCAAACCACGTTTCATGGACTTGCACACCATGTTTCACGGACTTGCACACCATGTTTCACGGACTTGCACACCATGTTTCACGGACTTGCACACCATGTTTCATGGACTTGCACACCATGTTTCACAGACTTGCACACCATGTTTCACGGACTTGCACACCATGTTTCATGGACTTGCACACCATGTTTCATGGACTTGCACACCATGTTTCATGGACTTGCACACCATGTTTCACAGACTTGCACACCATGTTTCATGGACTTGCACACCACGTTTCACAGACTTGCACACCATGTTTCACAGACTTGCACACCATGTTTCACGGACTTGCACACCATGTTTTACGGACTTGCACACAATGTTTCACAGACTTGCACACCATGTTTCACAGACTTGCACACCACGTTTCACAGACTTGCACACCATGTTTCATGGACTTGCACACCATGTTTCATGGACTTGCATACCATGTTTCACGGACTTGCACACCATGTTTCATGGACTTGCACACCACGTTTCATGGACTTGCATACCACGTTTCACGGACTTGCACACCATGTTTCACGGACTTGCACACGTTTCACGGACTTGCACACCATGTTTCACGGACTTGCACACCACGTTTCATGGAGTCAGCAGGTTTCAATAACACACCTGCAGACTGTATTACATCCAGTCAACACCAGACTTCATTCACAACCTTAACAGAACTGCATGACTTACAATAATCTCAAGTGTGGAAACCAAACAATTTGTCAAAATCTACCAGGCACTGTGATGAGATACACAGTTCCTGAAACAACATCAAAGACATTTATCACAGATGTCACAGTCGTATCGCGCGTCTATCCCAGAGCATTCTCCAGCTGCAGCAGCTGAATGACCATCGGCATGTACAGGATCTTCTTTCCTGCCTTCTCCCTCAACACCTTGAAGTCAGTGGCTGACTTGGCGCTGTCCAACACGAGACTGTACAAGTGCTGGAATGACTGGGCCCCCAGCTGTTCCTGCAGGTAGGAGGTCAAGGTCACCACAGCTTTGCGTGTGCTACCATGATTGGCGATGACGGACTCGTACAGGACTTGGAGTTGTTTCATGGAGGAGCTGGAAACAGCTGATGTCGGAGAGTCTGAAAACATAACGTGAGTCAAAGGCTGAGCCAATATTGAGAGAGTGAGTTTTTATATGACAGCGTGTCAGTTTGATGGGGGAGAGGGGGAGAGGGAGTCTGAAGTGATACAGGTCTTGGACAATTACCACTTGTGTGAAACCCACGAGCACAAGTTTGGTGCGGACAGAGCAAGAAATATACATAATCAAACATGGTCATAGGTTCCTGGCATGCCCAAGGGGTGCAACTCTGTCAGTGTCACCATGTCATCCTAGCAGATCAGTTTTACGGACAAGTGAAAACTAAATTTAAATTAATTTATTTATATTACCCTGCAAACACAAATTGAATATTACAGCATCCAAAATTAACTGAATTGCAATATTCGTTTTTTTGCAATATTCCAGCAATATGATGATCATTATTTGCTTAAACTAGGCCAAAATGACCTAGGATTATCCCAAAACTATTTCTTAAAAAATAATGACATGTGACTGACCTCTCATCTGTTTTACAGTAGTTTGACTTTCACACATACAGAATAGTGAGTGAGTGAGTGAGTATGGTTTTACCCCGCCTTCAGCAATATTCCAGCAATATCACGGCAGGCATACAGACTAAAGAAATCTTATCTTAACTATTTGGCACAAGGACTATAGGACTAGTGCCAATTTCTAACGCTGACTTCCTGTATGCAGGTTCATGCATAACGCTCCCCGCATCGCCCATAAACACTGTCTACCATCCGCATGTCAAAGCATTAAATGATCAGTAAAAGTACTATTCTTTGATTCAAATCATGCAACCTTGAAAACGTTAACACAGGGAATTCCAAACGACATTATTATCTATCACTCGCTTCCGTGGGATAAACATTTGAACGGAAGAGGTGTTGCACAGTACATACAATCTCAACCATATATTAGACATTCCAGAATGTTTGTTTGTTCAGTTTTCAAAATTTCAATCAAGAACTGTGTCAACATTTTTCAAGCGTAGTCTGAAATGGAAGTCGCCAGGTTGAAACGAGTGCCGTAAAGCTCGAGAAAGCTGCTTTCTAATTGGTTGATGTCGACTTCTTGTTAGTCATTTCAGTGGTCGGTCAAAGTTCGCGAAAGGTCGTTCTGACGTGACCCGGCAGCGAGAACTTAGATCTGATTTTAATGAGATTGGTACGCCTCTTTCCAAATTTAAAACTGTTGCGGAACTGTCAAGAACTAATTCCAAAAATAAGTAGGTCAGGCCATTCCAAGTAGTGTTGGCAAGGGGACCAGTACTACGGCCCACAACACAGTAAGCTGGTTTGCGTTGTGTTTGCGTTATATATTTACGTGTTAAAACTGTGGCATTGAACAAATAGTCATTGTTTTCTTTTGACAATTTTTTTTACGTTACAGTGCTTATAAAAACACTACGACAGAAACCTACCAACCCTTACAGACGAGTTCAATTCCACTCTCGTGCCATCCCAGATTACTTACTCTCTTGCGAGAACGAAGAAGTTCGATTTTAAATCGGTCATGGTAGAATCAAGATAAACGTCCTGTTTGAAATGGCCCTGCAAAATCAACTTAACTGATTTCTCCATGTTTTATGTACATATTCTAAGCGGGAACTCTGACCCTGTTTTTATTCACGCTGTTGTCATTATATACATCTGGTCTTTCAAGGAGGTTTTGTTGTGGCAGACACTAAAGTACTCACGGAAATGAAAAAACCCTGTTTTTCTCAATTTACAAATCGACACAAAGTGTTACATAGCTGTAAATACGAAATAACAAAACAACTCGAAAAGTACTAGTCTGGATTTGCTAGTTTGATCTCAGTGAACAATACAAAATGTACTTTACAGGAGGTAATTTGTCGGCACTTTCAACATTCAAAAATATAACTAAGTCCAAATTGACATAGCAGAAACAGACTATAGGCATGATGCACCTGTTCTCACCTGTCGTCAAGGTGTCATAGGTCACCTTGATCTACTTACACCTGGTTATGCCCTGTTTCACAATAGTCTGTTTTATTCACATTTTTACACACTTTTACGTGTAAAAAGACATAAAAACATTTGATTCGCTGTATTTGTGCCACGGCCCAATTAGTACTAATTTAGGTGTTTGAATATTTACATATTTTGTATATTAACTGCATTTATTTAAGATCTGAGGTCGAAAAAACAGGTTTTTTTCATTTCCGTGAGTACTTTAGTTTCAACTCCTTCCAGTAAAGAGTGTAATATACATGATATAGAATGGCAGATCTGATAAAACTCTACAAATGATTTTCAGCACCAAGTAAATAACTTCTGTTAAAGCAGGGCAAAACATGTGAATGTGTCACAGAGGCCTCTAAACTAAAAAAATAAACATTTTTAGAAAAAAGTTTGGGGGTTTGTCTCAAAACTTAAATGAAGTTTTTATCCACCATCAAACTTTTGAACTGGTCCCTGAGTATGAGCAATGCAGGTCTCAAGACGTTTACCACTTTGGTGAAACCCACGAGCACGGATATGGTGCTGACAAACCGGGATTCGAACCCACAACCATATGTTTCTGGCGTGCCCAAGGGACGCAACTCTGCACAGCGAATCATGGCGCCTTAGACAACTGGGCCACCCGTGTCCCCCCCCCTACCCCTACGTATGGAGAAAGTGCCCACCCTGTGGAGGAGTCTCGGTCACCGTCATGCTGTCTATCTTGTAGGTGAGCGAGCTGATGGAGCTGGTGGGCCTGCTGGAGCAGACACTCATAGGGGTGTGCCCGGAGTCAAACACGTCGTCGTCGGTGGTGTAGCTGACGGACGATGCTGCAGTCGCGGGAGACTCGCACTCAGACTGGGAATTCAGGTAAACTCGGTACAGGTTCATTGTCGGTGGTGGGCCCTGTGAAGAGATGGGCATGCTTACCAACTGAAGGAATTGGGTTAATTAAGAGATAAACCAACTGTAATTTGAAATTTGAGGCAGTCTAACTGTAGATTTGATACCTCTAAATGTAATTTGGAATTGTTGATGGCATGCCCTGACAAAAGTTGTCAGTGTGTGTTTTACTTAATTTTGTGTGTTCTGAAATAGTTTTGTTTGTTTGTTGTTTAACTCTGCACTCAGCAATATTCCAGCTATATGACGGCAGTCTGCAAATAATCGAGTCTGGACAAGACAATCCAGTGATTGATATCATAAGCATCGATCCACGCAATTGGGATACGATAACATGCATCAACCAAGTCAGCAAGCCTGACCACCCGATCCCGTTAGTGGCCTCTTACAACAAGCATGGGTTGCTGAATACCAATTCTAACCCGGATCTTCACGGGGATTGTCGATCAGAGGGAAAGTGGTCCACAGTGTAGATCTTCACAGTTCTACTGGTACTAATACAAGTAGGAGTGTAACTATATATCAAGCTATTGATGTATTGAAGATGTTTGCCCTACAATATGTACTATATCGATGAGAATTAAGAAATGCCAATAGTACTGCCTATGCAATAATCGATAGTTTCAATTAGTTATAAATAATACAAGCAAATTTCAAACCTGCCTGGGTGTCGGCCAGCAAGGATTACAGTGAGTGAGTGAGTGAGTGAGTGAGGTTTAACGCCACTTTGAACAGTATTCCAGTTATATCACGGCGTGTCAGTTTAATGTGGGAGGAAAGCCCGGAGTGATGCAAGTCTCAGACGTTAACTACTTCGGTGAAACCCACGAGCACGGGTATGGTGCTGACAAACCTAGAAACATAATCAGGGCGAGCAGGGATTCAAACCTACGATCATAGGTTTCTGGCGTGCCCATGGGACGCAACTCTGCACAGCGAAACGGGGCACCTTAGACGACCCGTGCCCCCAGTGACAGGGAAGAGCTCCATGGCCAGCAAGGGTCCACTACTGTTTGGTCTAAGTGGTACTCACGTTCTTCGCCTTGGGGACGCGTTTCGGAACCTGACAGGACATGATCTCCCTCTGCGTCTTGACGAGTGAGTTGATGGCGGGAGTGAAGAGGGAGTGGCGCCGCAAGACGCGCCCCCCCTTGTACATCGACGGGATGTTCTCCTGGGGAGGAGACAACTAATGAAAGATTTTCCATATTTCTACAACAGCCTTAGAAGTTTGTGTTTAGTTCTGACTAGACCAGATGACTTGTGTCAATCTAATTGGTTGGTTTGGTTTGTTGTTTTACGCCGCACTCAGCAATATTCAAGCTATATGGCGGCGGTCTGTAAATAATCGAGTCAGGACCAGACAATCCTGTGATTCATATCATGAGCACCACTCCACGTAATTGGGATCGATGAAATGCATCAACAAAGTCAGCGAGCCTGACCACACGATCCCGATATGTTAGTTGCCTCTTACGACAAGCATAGTCGCCTTTTACGGCAAGCATGGGTTGCTGAAGACCTATTCTACGTAAATCTTCACGGGTATGTAAATCAAATTCTAGTCTTTGTTCTGTGTTTACATTTTCTGTCAGTATTTTTCAGTTCCACTTTGTATCAAAATTGTAGCATAGAGAACTGGTTCAGAATTATTGCCCTCAAATGTTACTACCATTATTGGATTTTTACTTGTCCTCAGCACAATCAAGTAGTCGTGAGCCGGCGGACTAGCGTGAATTTGAAGGCTGTGGATTAATTTGTTTGTTTGTTGTTTAACTCAGCAATATTCCAGCTATATGATGGTGGTCTGTAAATAATCGAGTCAGGACCAGACAATCCTGTGATTGACATCATGAGCATTGATCCATGCAATTGGGATACGATGACATGTATCTATAAAGTCAGCAAGACTGACCACCCGATACCATTAGTTGCCTTTTACGGCAAGAATGGGTTGCTGGCTGTGGGTTTAAGAAGCCAATAGAACCAGTAGTGTCAATGAAGACAGAGCTGACATGATCTCAACGTCCTTATACTTTCAACACTTGCTTAAACTGAAATGTCACATTGAAACATTAAATAGTAGCGTCACACGATTGTTTACAACAATGACGACAGTCATGCAGCACGGTGATAGGGACCGGACCCAGAACCCAACTTGGGCCATGAGGTCTAGCACAATGTCTTATGATGGGAGACGCCAGAAAGGGGAGACGCCAGAAAGGGGAGACACCAGAAAGGGTTGGTTGTTGGCTTGTTGTTTAACGCCGCACTCCGCAATTTTCCAGCTATATGACGGCGGTCTGTAAATAATCAAGTCTGGACCAGATAATCCAGTGATTAATATCATGAGCATCGATCCACGCAATTGGGATCGATGACATGCATCAACCAAGTCAGCGAGCCTGACCACCCGATCCCGTTAGTCGCCTTTTACGACAAGCATAGTCGCCTTTTATGTTAAGTATGGGTTGCTGAAGACCTATTCTACCCCGGAATCTTCACGGGGGGAGACAAGCATGGGTTGCTGAAGACCTATTCTACCCCGGAATCTTCACGGGGGGAGACAAGCATGGGTTGCTGAAGACCTATTCTACCCCGGAATCTTCACGGGGGGAGACAAGCATGGGTTGCTGAAGACCTATTCTACCCCGGAATATTCACGGATCCACCAGAAAGGGGCGACACCAGAAAGGAGATACAGCAGAATCACAAGGTTACATGGCTGACAGACTTGTCCAAAGATAACAAGGCCGAAGAGAAAGGATAGGATAGGTTGGTAGTCCTGCAACAAGATTTGCAGGATCAAGAAAGTTATAGGGTTAATATGGTTACCATGGAATGAACAGTCCTCACCTTATTTTCGAAAATAATCTTTTTTGGATCTGGTTTATTATAAACAGGTATACGGTCTGCACGTTTCGACTTTGGTGGATTTTTCTCCGGTGTTTTCGCTTCTGGGCTACTTGTTTCCTCCATTATGCAAGGGGAAATAACTCTGCCGTTAAAGATTCGCGCAGGGTGACAACTTGAAGCACGCATATCAGAGAAATGTGATATAGCTGGAGCAGACGCTCTCCTGCCCGTCACCCTGACCTTGACCTTCGGTATTGAATCTCGCCTCAGACCAACCCGTATCAAAGGGGAGACAACTTCCTCCATTTTTTTCTCCACACGACATGGCTTTTCAATGTTTCTGGGTACACTTGGAGGATCGACTTTGTCCTTGCAGGATTTGGGCAGAGGAGGATCACACTCGGGGGGGGATTCAGTAATGCTGCGTTTTCTTTCGATATGACCTTTGAGAAGTTGCTCAATATAGGGCTGGAGGTTAGGTACGGTCAAAAGCTGTTCAGCAGACGGACGCTTGTCAGGATTGGGGCTGAGCAGAACGCTGACCAGATCCTCAATCAGGGGGCCGTAGTGCCTTAAAAACGAATGAAAGGACATCAACCGTATTGGATATTTCAGATACCATTGGACTACACACTACGAGTACATTGAAACATTTAAAATAAGGTATGATAAGGACAAGCTAAATTGACAGATCCTAACAGTTGTTTTCTAACATCGACAGTGAACTAAACAAAGATGAAATTTGAATGTTCCGTCAACACTTCCATTTCATGGTAGATGCTAGAAGTGTCCAAAATAGTTATCAACTGATTTATAAAATTACTATCAGGATAGACAAAATTTATTCCAACCTGCCTGACCATCAAATTGAAAAATGCATCACTTTGTATTCACTGACAGTGTAGACTTACTGTTTTAAGAAAACATTTTCTTTACATTTCCATTGTGAAGACAATGGTAACTTGTTTGTCATCAAGTCCACCCATTTTGTTTGTTTGTTTGTTGTTAATGCCGCACTCAGTATAATATTCCAGTTATATGATGGCGGTCTGTAATCTCTGTACATGTATTATATAATCAAATCTGGACCAGACAATCCAGTAATTGACACATTGAGCATTGATCCATGCAATTGGGATACAATGACATGCATCAACCACATCAGCAAGCCTGACCACCTGATCCCGTTAGTCGCCACTTACGACAAGCACAGTCGCCATTTATGGCAAGCATTGGTTGCTGAAGACCTATTCTACCCCTTATCTTCACGGGTCAAATCCAGTATTCACTGTCAAGATGGTCGTTTCAGACACTGGCAGCTTCTGTCTATACGTTCCTGTACACCCTGTTATCATATAATGGGCAGGTTATAAAGCCAACGGATAAAAACGATATCTGTTGGGGTCATATGCATATAGAGATGCAAATATCAAAGGTTATGTAGGGACTACTTTCAGTGTTTATAAACAAACATGGCGTCGCCCTTATCACAGACCGATGGATTGCCGCAAAAGGCAAGTAAAAACAATTGTTGTTTTGCGTACATGTTGCTTCGCCACTGTATAAGAAACAGATTTCAGTTGGAACTATATTGGCTACTGTCACTGTCCGACTGACACATCACTTACCCTGTGGTAAATATAATGTGCACATTCCAGGAAATCTCCCGATGTTTCGGTAAGGTTTGTGAGAGAGGGAAAGCGATTTTAAAGCACAGAATTAAAGAATGACATTATATAATAAAGAGGTTATCACGCTTGTGCGTTTGGGGATGGTAAGTATCCTGTATTAGGAATAAACACTATGAATGACATTATATGATATGATATTTAGGTATAAACACTAAGGCTTGCTAAATACAAATTTTATTCCTAATGCAGGATATTTACCATCCCCAAACACACTCGCATGATAACCTCTATATACATACGTGGGAACTGGCTGATACTTTGCCTCCACAATTTTCAAGACGAGGGACGTGAGGTTGGGGGCATCAAATGGCACTCGCAGACAGCAGAGCTCGTACAGGATACAGCCAAGGGCCCACAGGTCACTCTTGTGATTGTAGCTGGAGGTGGGTCAGGAAACAATTAGAGATGTTGGTAACCATGGCAACTAATTAGTTAAATTCCCCGCCATATCAAGTCATGAAGTACCAAGGCTGACTTCAGTTGTTGTTATTTGTTGCTTAACGGCCCACTCAGCAATATTCCAGTTCTATGACGACGGCCTGTAAATAATCGAGTCTGGACCAGGCAATTTAGTGATATTGTAAAGCAGAGATTCACGCCATTAGACACTTTGACATGCTATCAGCCTAGTCATTGAGTCTAACCACCTGATCCTTATGACAGCAGAGGTTACCGGGGACCTATAATAACACAGAAGTACTACGGGGATTCAAACATTGTACCCAGTTTGGGATTCAAACCCAGGACTATATGCAGGGGTTAGAACTAAAGCCTTACTAGCCCAGGTAAAGATAAAATGCCCTTGTAATGTAAACTTCATGGGGAAATAAGGACATTTGTACTAGCCCACTTGAATTTGTACTAGCCCCTGGCCAGCAGGCTAGTGTTTAGTTCTAACCCTGGCCGGCGGGCTCGTGTTTAGTTCTAACTCGGCATTAACAGATATTTCAAAATCTTTTCATGTGTTTAATCAAGGTGCTCATGTGATTTGATGCACTTTGAGAAGTAAGACCCGTTTCATTATAGGCTAGATCGTGATTATCGGAGTGAGTGAGTGAACGAGTACGGTTTTATGCCGCTTTTAGCAATATTCCACCAATATCAAGGCGGGGGACACCAGAAATGGGCTTCACACATTGTGCCCATGTCGGGAATCGAACCCGGGTCTTTGGCGTGACGAGCGAATGCTTTAACCACTAGGCTACCAGACCACCCCTCGTGATTATCGATGAGATTATCTTCACTGCATGAAGCTTATGCAAGTGACTTGAGTGAGTGAGTTGGATTTAACGCCGCTTTTAACAGTAAAAGCCCCAAGCAGTCAGGGTGGCCTCTCTGGGATGTGGATTTTCAATTCCTACTGCAGGACCCGGTTTTTCGCGTGCGTGGGCAAAGTCACTGAAGCGCGTGTAAAAGGACTTTGAATGTCCTGTGTATTGGTGTCACTTCACCGTTAGCGCTTGGTTGATTCCCGGCCTTCATTACCACCAGGAGGCTCGTTTAGGTGTCTGCGGCCTGTGCGGTTAGCGGGTGAATGTGAATACATGGAAAGACGTGTGTGTACTTGAATGTTTGTGATTTAAAATTAACTTGTTGCACTATCAGGATTGTTTGAAAATTATTACGTGAACTTCACGAGTTTAGTGGTTTATCTATTCATTATAGCACACAATGAATGGTCTACGATTCAATACGACATTCAGTAGATGTTGAGAGTTCACACAAGTGTGTTGGTATTTCCTATATCAATTACCAGTATTTTCTTGAGTATAGTGCGCAACCCCCTCTAGCGGATTCAGTATTTTAGGGGAAAAAATCGAATGTCAAGTGCAGAAATAAATTACACTGTAGATCTACCTCTTCAGCGAATTCCGGTAAACGAACGGGTGATGAGAAACTTGGTCAGTACAAATTCAAAATTTGAGATAAAAAATCACCAGACAATTTTATTTACCGTTTAAATTGTATTTTGTGTTCTGCCAGGCATTGTTTTACATCCAGGGATTAAGATTACCTTGTGTATTTTCTCGTAAACTAAGCCGGACACAGCTATCAGCTGTACACACGTTTTCTTGGAATCTACCGGTGATACGGTCAAGACACACCGAATGATATATAACTTTACAGTATTTTAATGCAAGGATCGGCAAAAATTGTATCTGAAACTATTTTTTATCAGTAATAATATATCCCAATATCTTGTTAATTTAGTTGCAGCTTTTACTAAACATATTTTAAATAATAATAACCCTAAGCGAAGCAGCTGATCGCTATTGCCGGGTAATAATTTTTCACATGGAACCAGTCTGACCAGTCACCGTCAAGGCTCTCGCGCACGTGATCGCGAGAACTACGTGTTGACATAGAATCGTCAAACTATAACAAATATGACTTTTAACGAGTCAAAGTATGGCATTTATGATATATGTATCCATTCTCTGTCAATTAAAGTTCGTTTCAAGGCGTCAATAGCGGTAATCTGACCGTGGTCGCTGTTAATAAAAGGTGAGTTGCGCGATCTTCCGCTCGCTTCGCACGCGATTTCGCCGAAATTAATTTAAACAATATTTAAAGGAATTTTGAATAGAATTAATGAAATAAGTTACATACATAAGTCCAGATATAAAAAAACAACACTTTTTATAGCCAGACAGTGTAATTACATAATTAATTTGTGTATGGATTTGTTGACATGGTATTTCCGGTGTTACGTGCCCACGGCAATATCTTTCCATGGGGGGGGGGGGGGGGGGGGAAATCATCAAAAGTCATTATTTCGTGTATATTGCGCACCCTCTTCTACACAGCTATGTTTTTGGACAAATATTGCGCACTATACTCAAGAAAATACGGTAGCAGCTGATTAGTTATTTCATCCACGTCATGGAACAGTTAAGGCATATCGTTTTGATCGTTTATTTGAGGATGTTAGAAATAAAAGTCAACGGAAGAAATCCGTACGCCTGTTGTCTTGTTTCTTTGCTTTATGAAATATTTAGTCCCACCAAATATATATGTTCATTCTGAAATCGTGTTCAGATGTCATGAACAGCTCCATTTATTAGTGAACACGAACAATAATAATTATGGGATACATCAGCATCACAAAGAGCACAACGTGTTTCAGGCGGGTGTTTGTTGCAAGTTCAATTGCGCGTGTTATGGCAACAATATGTTGAATAAGCTATAATTTACACCATAGCAATTGCAAGAATAATAACAATAAGTATAAATATAAATGGGGAAGAAAACATGATCTTATTCAATGACAAGACAGATGGTTTACGTACTTGTCCGTTGTCGACAGGTCGAAATTCGCTTTATGCAAATATTTTTACCCGGGCATAAATTCCATTGGCTAACTTGGACAGTATGTTTTTCTACACACAATGTTGCCTGTGATATTCTGTGCGCGCGCGTGTTTACATGTATGTTTCATCGTTTCTACCGTTATTTATTATAAACGAAATTAGGTTGTTTTAACGTTCGTGATCGAAAATCGGACAACTACACGATCGATAACGATTCAAACTCGTAATAAAAAAGGAAATAATCATATTGTTATGTTACAATGTTAGCGGAATACGTTTTCAAAAACTACTGATACGGACTGTATGTCTGACTTAAAATACTTTATAAGGCATAGTTGGGAATGCAAGTCGGCAATTTGAAACTAAAGTACTCATGGAAATGGAAAAAACCTGTTTTGCTGGATTTAATAATCGACACAAAGCATTACGTAGATGTAAATACGAAATAACAAAACAACTGGAAAAGTACTAGTCTTGATTTGCTAGTTTTATCTCAGTGCTCAATACAAAATGTACTTTACAGGAGGTAATTGTAGGCACTTTCAACATTCAAAAATAAAACTAAGTCCAAATTGACAAGGCAGAAACAGGCTATAGGCATTATGCAAATTAGCCTGGAAAAAAGTTATCAAAACAACAATAAAAATAACAGCTATGTTTATGTACATAATAATAATGACATGTAAGTTGTTGTTTGAGAAGGGAATATGTTACTTTTACGTTCTGATATTTTGACGATGATTCACTATCCCACAATGCCACTGACAAATCAATAACCACTGACAAATCACATGCACGTGGGTCTTCAAACACCTGGTTATGCTCAGTTTCACAACAGTCTACGTGTAAAAAGATATAAAAACCTTTGATACGCTGTATTTGTGCCAAAGCCCAATTAGTACTAATTGAGTTGATTGAATATTTATATATTTTGTATATTAACTGCATTTATTTAAAATCTGAGATCGAAAAAAACAGGTTTCTTTTTCATTTCCGTGAGTACTTTAGTGCCGCAAATGCTTAGAAGGCTGCTTTCAATTCATAGTGGCTTGTGTCGACTTCCTGTTAGTAATTTGATTGGTCGGTCAAACTTCGCGGAAGGTCGTTCTGACGTGACCTGTAAAGTACACAGCGGTTGCGAGATTTTGTATATGAGTTTAATAAGATTGAGGTAATCGAGGCATGTGATTAATCCTGTTTTGTTTATTGAAAGCAGTAGTTGTTTATTGTTAAGCAAGTTTATCTCTGCAGCCGTTGAAATATGCAGCTACTCGCCGACTCGTCTCGCATCAAAACACGTGTCTGTGTACTCGCGGGCAGATGACCACGGAGTACGTTGATCACCGTGTCGGATTAACGAGACTATTTAATAAGTGATTTCAGTGGTTCGTTGCAAATTCGGTGTGTCGATGTCGAGGGTGCGAGGCTGTCGGATTAACGGGTCTAAATAGCGATGAAGTATATTGTAGATGTATATTGCTGCACGGTCGATTGTCAAACCATTAAAATTATTCCATGGTTCACACTGCCATACATCTAATTCAAGGAATTCGAGACACGCACGTCTGTTAAAAGTACCTTAATGCATATCCAAGATACTAACCCTTACTTGTTGACAAAGAAACTCGTAAGGTGTGTCATTGTCAAGTACAGCCTGACGCGTTATTGTTGTGACTTAATTTGACGCATTCATAATTACTGGATGAACGTTTAGGAGTATTTCAGACCTTTATTGATATCTCCCTGTATTTGTACATGTTTATGTACATAAAACATTAAATCAACTGAAACATGTATTATGTATTATATTAAAATAACATAATATTTTTAGATCATAATTTGTTTTAAAATATTTTAGCCCGTTATCAATTCCATATGTTATTGGGCAATTATTGGTATATTATTAATGTTAAATGTGTTCATATACAATCATATAGCAAATATTTCGATATTGACATCAATACATTAATTTTCGCTTCGCTTCTATTCTCTTGCATTTTCACAATTCTTCGCCAGTGGCTGGAAGTATGAACGATCGAGCGAATTCCGATTCAAATAATCTTTGT